TTAAGCAAACTCCAGGAGACAGTGAAGGACAGGGAAGCCTGGTGTGCTGCAGTTCATGGGGTCACAGAGTCAGACACAACTTATGGACTGAACAACAACAATACATACTGTATAATTATGATTTGAAAAATAAAATTATTAGGGACAGCATTAAATATTGAGCTGATATAAAGTTTCCAAATAAAATGCATTGCAAATTTTCACTTTCTTCTGTGAACGTAACTATTTTTCTCTTATTTAAAAATTCTTTTGGAGGTAACTTTTTTATTATTTTTAAATTTTATTTTTAATTGGAAGATAATTGCTTTACAATATTGTGTTGGTTTCTGCTATACAGTAATGTGAGTCAGCTATATGTATACATATATCCTCTCCCTCTTGAGCCTCCTTCCCACACCCCACCCATGAATGTAACTTTTCAGTATCAGGCTTTAAGCTTAAAATAGCTACTTGCAATAATGACCAGAACTTTTTCAGAAGGATATCTTTAAGTTCTTGACAGCCATGACTATTTAACTACTCAAATAGATAATAAAATTTAAAATGAAATTTCAATATTAAAAAAATGTATAAAAGTTAACATATTTAAAGAAATGTCTTATTTTCTTTCGTTAAAATTGTCAATTGAAATTTCTTATGATTCCATTAGTGGATCTTGAATCCAATCAGACTGTTTCATGTCAAACATTTAAAAATAATGACACATGGGATTTCCCTGGTGGTTCAGTGGGGGCTGGTTACAGAGGGCCCAGTTTGATCCTTGGTCAGAGAATTAGATCCCATGTACAGGAACTAAAGATCCAGCCTGTCGCATCTACAACCTGGCTCAGTCAAATAAATAAATATTAAAAATAATGACACAGCTCTGTTTTAAAGCACGTTCCTTCAGGGGTGATACCCACCTAGTATGTACTAGTATTCACTGTTTATGGTTAGCTGACATCTGTTCTGATTGGTAATGTCTGTGCCATCTCAGATGTTAAGTATTTTTCACGTTACCCTTGCCTATGCGTGCTTAGTCACTCAGTTGTGTCCAACTCTTTGCAACCCCATGGACTATAGCCCATCAGGCTCCTCTGTCCATGGGATTTTCCAGCCAAGGATACTGGAGTGGGTTGCCATTCCCTTCTCCAGGGGATCTTCCTGACCCAGGGATCTAACTCGGGCCTCCTGCACTGCAGGCAGATTCTTTACTGTCTAAGCCACCAGCCCTTGCCTATAAGCATTGTTAAAGCAGCCACCCTGAAGTTAACTTGGACACTGCTTGGACACCAGCCCCAAATGGACAGATATATCTGATTCCATGTGAAGACAGATTTGGGTTAGCCCTCTCAAGCTGCCCTGGCCAGAGTCCTCCAACCACTCTCCTTGCCCCTCCATCCCTGACCACCTTGGGTTGCAGCTCCTGCTACTTGGCCCCTGGAACTCACTTCCTCTAGCAGGGCCCTGGACCCTTGTCTGTAATGTGCAGCAGTGTACTCTGCTGCTCTGTCCTCTGAAGTTGATGTCCAAGTGGTAACATATGGCAAGCAGCAAATACCATTGACCTTCTGCCTACTTGTGGTGATTGCCAGGCAGGACGTCACACTCTGCTTTGCTTGGATTATCCCAAGAGGAGCTCTCCCCATGGGTTGCGTGTATCCAGATGTTGTTGTTCTAGCTGGCAGGCCCAAGAGCCATGGGATCTTTATGTTGTATTTCACCTGTAACCCAATCACAATACACCAGTGTGCAATGACCATGGTTGGGAAACTGCAGCAAAGGAAATAGAACAGTAAATGATAACACTACCTATTATTTATCAATGCTTGGTTTACAATGCTTTCACAGTGGACCTCATTTATCCCTCAGAAGAACATCCACTAAAAATTATCTTCCCATTTTACAGAGTAGGAAATAGATTTAGAAGAGTAAGTTGCTCAGGTTGACATGTTAAGTCCACCCTTCCCTGACTGGGGTGCCTCAAGGATGTACACATTGGTGGGCTGGATTAAATGATGAGTTACTAGAGTGACAGCTGTACTTTCAAGTTTTGGGGGAAATTTTTTTGTTTTCTTGTTTTTTTGGCTGCCCCTAGAGACTTGCAGGATCTCAGTTCCTGAATCAGGGATTGAACCCAGGCCCTGGGGTGAAAGCCCAGAATCCTAACCATGAGGCTACCAGAGAACTCCCTGGGGAAATTTTAACTGGTAAATAATACAAAGTATTTGGGAATTCCCTGGTGGTCCAGTGTTTAGGACTCTGCGCTTTCACTGCTGAGGGTGTGAGTTCAATCCCTGGTTGGGGAACTGAGATCCTACAAGCTTCATGGCCAAGAAAAGGAAATAAAATATTCTTATGCTAAAATAAACATGTATTATCAAATGGAATGAAAACCTTGCATAAATTTGCAAGATCAAACATGAAACACCAAAGAAATATTGTGCTTCACGGAGGGCTACTTTGAGCTAGGCCCCCACACCTACAGGGGATAGGGATGAGTTTTGTCTTCTACCTGCAATGCAGGAGGCCCCGGTTTGATTCCTGGGTCAGGAAGATCCTCTGGAGAAGGGATAGGCTACCCACTCAAGTATTCTTGGGTTTCTCTTGTGGCTCAACTGGTAAAGAATCTGCCTGCAAAAAAGGAAAAAAAAAAAAAAAAGAATCTGCCTGCAATGAGGGAGACCTGGGTTCAGTTCCTGGTTTGGGAAGATCCCCTGCAGAAGGGAAAGGCTACCCACTGCAGTATTCTGGCCTGGAAAATTCCATGGACTGTATAGTCCATGAGGTCACGTAGAGTCAGAGACTAGTGAGAGACTTTCACTGTCACTTTCAACAATGATTGAGGATTCACTACTAGTGGACCCAAGTTTTTTTTTAACTAAGAGTTCGAATGCTGCAACTAAAGTCCCTGCATGCCACAACTAAGACCAGGTACAGCCAAATAAAACAAACAAACAAACAAACAAACAAAAAATCCACCCCCCAAAACATCCAGGGAGTTAGCAAATGGGTGCCTGGAGCCCAGGGCTGGGATCTGGGTTGTGAATTATCTGCCCCTAGGTTCCGACTCTTTGCAACCTGAAGGACTGTAGCCCGCCAGGCTTCTGTCCATGGAATTTTCCAGGCAAGAATATTGGAGTGGGTTGCCATTTCTTCCTCCAGTGGGTCTTCCCCACCCAGGGATCAAACCTATGTCTCTTGCTTCTTCTGCACTTGCAGGCAGATTCTTTACCACTGCACCACGTGGGAAGCCCTAGGTGAAAGTCAAAGAAAGTAAAAATGAAGTTGCTTAGTTGTGTCCGACTCTGTGCAACCCCATGGACCGTAGCCCACCAGGCTCCTCCATCCGTGGGATTCTGCAGGCAAGGGTAGTGGAGTGAGTTGCCATTTTCTTCTCCAGGAGATCTTCCCGACCCAGGGATCAAACCCAGGACTGCCGAATTGTAGGCAGACGCTTTGCCGTGTGAGCCACCAGGGAAATCCAGGTGAAAATGGTTATCTTAATATTGGAAGAGATTGCCATCAGAGAAGGAGCCTTCAGAGAGCAGGAGAGCGAGCAGGGGCACGCCTATCAGAGAGACCCCTCTGGAAAGTTTAAAGGACAGGCATGTTCAGTAGCAGTGAATGATGGAGAGGTTGGAGTCGTTATTGCATAGTGCTTAGCATATAACAGGCACGCAAATATTTGTGAGGAGAATGAAAGAAAAAAAAAAGGTAAGATAATGATATGTTCAGGACAAGCCATGTGAAAGAAATGGTAGAATCTGGGTAAAAATGTGTTAAACTAAGAAGGACCTATACTGTATAGCACAGGCTTCCCCAGGGGCTAATCGGTAAAGACTCTGCCTGCAGTGCAGGAGACGCAGGGGATGTGAGTTCGATCCCTAGGTTGGGAATATCCACTGGAGGAAATGCGACCCATTCCAGTATTCTTGCCTGGAGAATCCCATGGGGTCGAAAAGAGATGGACACGACTAAAGCAACTGAGCACGCACACACTATATAGCATGGGGAACTCTATTTAATACACTGTAATGACCTATAATGGAAAAGAATCTAAAAGGGTGGGTATATGTATATATAGCAGCTTCCCTTAGGGTACAGTGGTAAAGAACCCACCTGCCAATGCAGGTGACTAAGGTTCGATCCCTGGATCAGGAAGATCCCCTGGAAAAGGAAAAGGCTGGGTCCTCAGCATGGATTCTGCGGAGTCTTTACCACTGGACTGCCAGGGATTTCCCTAATGTGTGATTTTATTTAAAGGGACCAATTTAATGAAAACTCCAGCCTTTCCCATTCAATCTCAACTTCTAGAGATTAAAAATATATAATACCATCCAATGGCTCCATAACTTCATTACAAATAAAACTTTTTTTTTTTTAACCAGTGGGCTCACCTCTCAGGGGCTTCCCAAGTGGTGCAATGGTAAAGAATCTGCTTGCCAATGCAGAAGACAAAGGAGACTCAAGTTCAATCCCTTTGTGGGGAAGATCCCCTGGAGTAAGAAATGGTAACCCACTCCAGTATTCTTGCCTGGAAAATTCCATAGACAGAGGAGCCTGGCGGACATGATTGGGCACGCACTGGCCTCTAAGTCCTTTTTAGAAAAAGTTATTTAAGAAAGACTTTCTGCTTCCTGAGACTCCCATTCAGACATTTCTTGGTACTTAAAAAAAAAAAGCTCCAAGTTCTCTCGCTTAGAGAAAGGTCTTTCCCCTTCATATCTTTCAGGTTTTAAAAGTATTACTCTGGGAGAGGAAACTGCCAAGGGCCGGATTCTAGGGGGCGCATACCCACCGGCGGCAGTGCAGTGGACGTAAGCCGGGGAACCGCGGGACTAGTTCTATTTACCGAAAGAGCTAGAGGCCAAAGTTCAGAAAAGGGTGAAGGGAAGCGAGCGGCCGGGTCCCTGGAGCCCCTCCCCTGCCCATGATCCCCGGGCGCCCCTGCACTTTGAGCCTGAGGCGGCTGGGGCTCTGGCTGCTGCGGGGACCAGCGGGGCGGGCAGGCGGGCGGGATGCTGCGTCTGCTGGCGTCCACCTGCGCAAGGGGCCTGGGGGGTGGCTGGGGCTCGCGGAGACTGGTTCCCGGGGGCCGAGCGCGTCCGGTCGCGGGACTCTGCGACCCCAGCCGCCGCTTGAGCCGCCAGGCCTCCGACGCCCCCCGGAACCAACCCCCCAGTTCCGAGTTCGTGGCCCGGTCGGTGGGCATCTGCTCCATGATGCGGCTGCCGGTGCAGGCCTCTCCCGAGGGGCTGGACGCCGCCTTCGTCGGGGTGCCGCTGGACATTGGGACTTCCAACCGGCCTGGGACGAGGTAAGGTCAGCAGGATTCAGGGACACGTGTCGGGCAGCCTGGCGGCCACCGTGCATACAAAACTCATGGAGAGGCGCTTTCGCTCACCCAGAGTGGAGCTGGAAGTCAGGGTCTAGCCCCAAAGTGCCCTTTGGGGGCAGGGAAGCAGGTCGGTTTGCCTCAAGTAATCCCAAGGGCTCAGCACGTGTGTCACCCATTGGTAAAGAAAGAGGGGGTTTAGGGACCGAGACTTCTCCATTCCCTGGCCTAGCTGGGATGGTGGCTGTAGGTACTTCCGGTTTACAAAAGCAGGGGACATTAAATTTGAGAACAGAAGCTGGCTGCCTTTTCCCAAAACCTCTAGATATCACCTGACTCAAAGTTTGCTCAAAATAAGGCAGGTTTTTTTGGCTGCGCCAAGGTGGCATGCCGGATCTTATTTCCCAGCCCAGGGATGGAACGGGCTTCCCTGCAGTGGAAGCGCAGAGCCTTAACCACTGGCCCGCCAGTAAAGCCCGCCAAATAAGGCAGTTTTCTTAAGATCAAGTTGTTTTTGTTTAGAAGCTGAAGTCCTGTAGAACTCTTTTGCTACCCCATAGACTGTAGCCCGTCAGGCTCCGCTGTCCGTGGGATTCTCCAGCCAAGAATACCGGAGTGGATTGCCATTCCCTTCTTAAAGGGATCTTCCCAACCCAGCGATCCAACCGGAGTCTCCTGCTTTGGCATGTGAAGCCAATCTTACCAAAAGCCCTAAGATTAAGTTAGAAGAGGTAAAATCGATTTTCCTAATTGTTAAACATGAGCTATTTCTGACTCAGCTCAGCAATATTCCAGCTGACTACTGATCTATTAATGCCACCTTTTATTAAATGCCTACTGAGTGCAAGTTGCTTTACATAGATGACCTGATTTACTTACACCAGCAGAGTAAGGTAAATGTCATTATTACTTTACAGATTAGGAAACTCAAGATCAGAGAGATTAAGAAATTATCTAATGACATTTAGTAAATTGGTGATGGGTGGCCTTCTAAATCTGTGCCTTTAATCTCTTCACTATATAGGTCAGATCAGTGGTTCCCAGGGGCTTCCCTGGTGGCTCAGATGGTAAACAGTCTTCCTGCAGTGCGGGAGACCCTGGTTTGATCCCTGGGTCAGGAAGATGCCCTGGAGAAGGAAATGGCAACCCACTCCAGTATTCTTGCTGGGAAGATCCCATGGACAGAGGAGCCTGGCGAGCTACAGTCCATGGGGTCACAAAGAGTCAGACACAACTGAGCTTTGAACTTTTGAGTGGTTCTCCGAGGGAGCATCCAGGTGTGTCTCTCCCCCCAGAGGCCACGTTTGGCAGAGTCTGGATGCGTTTTTGGTTGTGGCAACATGTGGGAAGGGGTGCTGCTGGCATCAAGTGGGCAAGGACCAGGGTTGCTGCTTAACATTCTACAATGTATAGGACGAACCCCAACCCTGCAGCAAAGATTCATCCAGACCCAGCACAGAGCCTGGAAAGCTCTGGCCCAGGGAGAGCCTCTCAACCTTTAGGGATGGCTCACAGAGTGACTCTTCCTTTTCCAGATTTGGACCCCGACGGATCCGAGAAGAATCAGTGCTGCTGAGGACTGCCAATCCTAGCACAGGAGCTGTTCCCTTCCAGTTCCTCAGGGTTGCAGACCTAGGCGATGTGAATGTCAATCTTTACAACCTTCAGGACAGCTGCCGCCTGATTCGAGCGGCCTATCAGAAAATCGCAGCAGCCGGCTGTGTTCCTCTGACCTTGGGTAATGGCAGCTGCAAGGCGAGTGTAGTTCTCTGAGCTCAGGGTTTATTTATCGTTAGCTGGAGTACAGTTACTTCTCCAGGGCAAACCACTGTGAATATGGAGACAGAAGGAAAGAGAACATTTTTAGTTCATTTATTTTGGCCCCTGGGGAGAGGATATTTACATTTTTTGGACTAGTAGGATGACAGGGATGGGCCGGGGGAAGCAAGTGAGGCATTTACCTTAGTGCAAAATTTAAGGGGTTCCTAAAAAGCCAACAATATGCATAACTGATTTTCCCTTTTGCCTCATGCTCCAGTAGGGCTCAGAATAGCACAATTACTGATCCTATCTTTTTAAAAATTTTATCATGGATTCTTTTTCTTGCACTGATTTTGAATTTTAAAAATATTACATTAAAATAGTATTTATCTTGATGACTGAGTAGTTCTCTCTCTGTCTTTTTTTTAATGGCCTTGCAGTTTGCAGGATCTTAGTTCCCCAACCTGGGATTGAATCTGGTCCCCTGCAAGTGTGGAGTCCTAACCACTGAACCACCAGGGAATTCCCCAATTACTGGGTTTTTTTTTTTTTTTTTCAAGTGTTCCTTCAATTTTGCATCCTTCAAAAAAAAAAGTTTTTTTTTTTGCATCCTTCAATTTATTCCTTCAATTTTAGCAAGTGCCTCTACCCACCTCACCTTGTCCCAACCCTTGATCTTGTGCCTGAAGAAAGCTGCTAGCAGGGGCTTAGTTGTGGCTCTTTTAACTATTTCAAGGATGTTGTTTTAATGACTTAATTTGCGAGAACTGCAAGGGGGCCTTTTTTTCTCTCATCAGCGTCTATGTTAATCTATAGGGCAACTTTCTTCTGACCCTCCCCCTCCATCCTGCTCCACTCTCACTGTAGCATTTCTCTTTCGGTTCACAAATAGTCAAAATTGTACCTTTTTCTAAATATCCAGTTGGAATTAAAAAATAATTTTATTTCTTTATTGGCTGTGCTGAGTCTTCGTTGCTGTATGGGCTCTTCTGTAATAGCAGCAAGCAGGGGCTACTCTTAGTTGTGGTGCACATGCTTCTCACTGCGGTGGCTTCTGTTGTTTCGGAGCAGGGGCTGTAGGGAGCAGGGGCTGTAGGGAGCACACGCTTCAGTAGTTGCAGCACGTGGGCTCAGTAGTTGTGAATCCGGGGCTCTGGAGCATAGACTCAATAGTTGTGATGCAAGGGCTTAGTTGCTCCGTGGCATATGGGATCTTCCCAGACCAGGGATTGAACCCATGTCTCCTGCATCGGCAGGCAGATTCTTTACTACTGAGCCACCAGGGAAGCCCTATTTATTTTGATCCCCACCCAGGGATCAAACCTGTGTCCCCTGCAGGAGCAGCTCAGAGTTTTAACCACTGGACCACCAAGGAAGTCCCTCCCAAATTTATTTTTGTCAAATTAGAGGGCCTAGCCTGCAAAGCACAGTGGTAAGGAGTGGAGTTTCTGGCTGTCATGGTTTGAAATCTCAGCTCTACCTTTCACTAACTGTTCATGCTTCATTCCCTTATCTGTAAAATGGGAAGAGTAACACCACCACCTACCTTCTTATATTGTGTCAGAGGCATATAACTAAGGTGCATATAAAGCATGCAGATTTGTGACTGGCATGTTTTAAGCTTCAATTATAATAGCTTTTGTTATTATTAATAATTATCAATGGTAATACTTTTCTAGGCCTGTACTGTCTAGTATGGTAGCCCCTAGCCATAGGTGGCTATTTGAATTGCAATAAAATAAAATAAAATAAAATAAAATAAAACATTCAGTTCCTCAGTTGCATGAGCCACATCTCCATAGCCAATGGCTAGGGCCCACCATGTTGGTCAGTGCAGATACAGAGCATGTGTGTCACTGCATAAAGCTTACCTGGGCAGAGCTGGTCTGACCATTTTCCCCATAAGCCTTAATTTTGTTGTTGTTCAGTCACTCAATTGTATCCAGATCTTGCCACCCCATGGACTGCTGCTTGCTCAGATTCATGTCCATTGAGTCAGTGATGCCATCCAACCATCTTGTCCTCTGTCATCCCCTTCTCCTTTTGCCTTCTATCTTTCCAGCATCAGGGTCTTTTCCAATGAGTTGGCTCCTCGCATCAAATGGCTGAAGTATTGAAGCTTCAGCTTCAGCATCAGTCAGGGTTGATTTCCTTTAGGATTGACTGGTTTGATCTCCTTGGTGTCCAAGGGACTCTCAAGAGTCTTCTCCATCACCACAGTTTAAAAGCATATATTTTTTGGCACTCAGCCTTCTTTATGGTCCAACTCTCATAACCACACATGACTACTGGAAAAACCAGAGCTTTGACTATATTAAAGCTTAAATTATAAGCCTTAACTTAATTTTCTCTTATTTATTTATTTTTTTTACTCTGTCCACACCATGTAGTATGTGGGATCTTAGTTCCCAACCAGGGATTGAATCCAAGACCCCTGGCATTGGAAGCATGGAGTCTTAACCACTGGACCCCAGGGAAGTCCCTTAATTTTCTCTTTTAAATGACAATGTAATGTCAGGCATTTAGTGGCCATTTTTTTCATTACTGAACAAGATCTTATTTTAGCTATGGTTATAGTTCTTCCAGTCTAATTGAAAAGATGGCAGAATTGGGCAAACTGAAGATGGTTCTAGGTGATACATGGTCCTCAAATCTTATTCCAAATCCACATTACAAGTTTTCTTCTTTTTTTTTCTCTTTGAAGGTGGAGATCATACAATCACCTATCCTATATTGCAAGCGATAGCAGAAAAGTAAGTCCCAAAAGGCGGAGCCCAAGCAAGGTTTCAAAATTCAGGAGCTGGAGAATGAGTTGTTTGCTGCTAGAGGGCGTCAGGTGACTTCTGCCGGCTCAGGTTACTGGGAGTGATAGGAAATTCCCCACTGAGTTGTTTCTATGGATCAAAATTAACGTCGCGCTCCAGGTGTGTCTGTCAGTCACCAGCTGGGAGCCAAGACAATTTATTATTAATGCCTTGGCCACCCTCGCTTGCCCTAGATCTGCTGTTATGCAGGCTCAGCGTTTGCCTCTGTTTTTGGAAGATGAGCCTTTACTGAAATACACAACCCCAGTTCACTTGCTTTTGTTTTGCTTCAAAGGCCAAATACAAATACTGACAAGCACTGTGGTGTTTCTTGCTGAGGGGAGGCCCTGTTTTTTCCTGAAAGGCCCCCTTTCCCAGAAGTTGAGGAGATGGATTTTTCCAGTAGTGAAAGTCTACCAGGCGTTGACTAATTTTGGTTACTTTGAGAAACAGACAGATGGGCGGAGGTGATGCTGCTCTAGAATTCATATAGAGGAGAGATATGTGGGTAGCCTTCTGGCTGGGGGTGGGTGGGCCCAAGTCTTTTCTTGAAGCTATGTTAGCCTGGCATGGATTTGGATTGTCTGTTTATTTTGGGTGGCTGGCAGGGTTGATGGAAATTATAGACAGCTGGGGGGAAGCTGCTTCTTGGTACTGCAGATGAAGAAAGGGTGGTGTTGATTTGCTGAGCCTTCACATGAGCTCACCTGAGTCACCACCCTATCTTCTCATCCCACCTAGCACTCTCTGTCTTTAAGTAAAGAAAATTGTGGGTGAGAGGTAGAGAGGGTCAGCTAAAGCACATGACTATTGTCTGCCTGATTCCTCTGAGCTTATTTTTCTTCTGAGATGCTCAGGGATTTGAAGTCAGAACCCAGTTGCAAGGCTGGTAATTGATGCCAGATTTCCACCCCTCTATGACTGTGAGTTGTCACTAGGATTTGGTGGCCTGGAGGGTGGCTGTGTTCGGGCCCCACTGGGAGGCCTGGCCTCTCAGCTGCCCTGTTGTCAACAGGCATGGTCCTGTGGGGCTGGTGCATGTGGACGCTCACATGGACACAGCCGACAAGGCCCTAGGGGAGAAGCTCTATCACGGGACCCCCTTCCGCCGGTGTGTGGACGAGGGACTCTTGGACTGCAAGCGTGTGGTGCAGATTGGCATCCGGGGCTCTTCCACGACCTTGGATACCTACAGATACAGCCGGAGCCAGGTGACAGACCGAAAGCCCCTCCTGCTGTCCCAGCCTCTCACATTGCCTTCCTCTCCATCGGCCACTCAATGGTAGCTATGGATTCAGTGAGGTTCTGCTGATCAAGTTCACAGAGTGGGGACGGAAGCTGCGTTTGCATCATGTGGAGCAGAGAGGAGCAAGGGTGCTAGCTGATGAGGCAGATGATGCCTTATTGCTGGGGACGGGAGACAATCAGAAACAAACCAAGCCCTTAGATGTTGCTGGCTTGGAAAAGAGCCAAGGAGGTCCAGACCCAAATCAATGGGTCTGATATGGGGATGACAGTTCCCTCCTCATGGAGACTGAGGGTCAAATGTGAGGTGCATGTAAGTTGAGAATACAGTGGGCCCATAGACAATGCCTTGTAAATACTCCAGGCCCAAGTGTCAAACTTCTGCTCCAATTTCTACCTTTCCAGGGCTTCCGGGTGGTCCTGGCTGAAGACTGCTGGCTGAAGTCACTGGTTCCTCTGATGGGGGAAGTGAGGCAGCAGATGGGAGGCAGACCCATTTATATCAGCTTTGATATTGATGGCTTGGACCCTGCTTACGCCCCGGGCACAGGGACACCTGAAATTGCTGGTCTTACTCCTAGTCAGGTAAGGAACTCCACCAGTGACACTTTGGGGTGAGGACACTGAGTCTCCCACTTTCCTGGGACTTGAATTGAGTCTTCAGGAATCGGATGGGATTTTAAAATCAGAGCACTTGGGCCTTTATTGTTCTCAGGGCCGATCACAGGTTTGGATTTTCCCTTACTGATGAGCAACTGATGTTGGCAAGGGCTCTCCTTTCTTTTCTGGGATATGATAACAGTCTGTTATTTGGTCTTTCTGCCTCTGGTCCACCTGTCCATGGGGATAGTATTGTAGTACCCCCTGTTAAGCACCACATTTTATTTTTTGGGGGGTTCAGTTTAAAATATATGCACAGTGGGATGAACCACCTCCCAAGGTAGTTCAAGAATTTTGGAAACCCTCAAATAAAGCTTTCATAGGTGTGCTGAGCATACACACAGGGAGGCAGAATTGGGGTGTGATTATAACCGGAAGGAAAGCTCTAAGGTGTGGACCTTTGTTCTGTTCACTTTTCTTGGAACTGAGGATAGTGTCTGACATATAAGTAGGAGGTACTCACAGATACTGGAGTAAATGAATGAAGACTGCTTGAACCTAACTGATTATCTTCTATCCGCTCAGAAAGGAGGATGGTCATACCTGCCTCTCTCGAAGCCTTTCCTGGTTCCCGCGTTTTCTAGAACACACTCCATTCCTCTGCTTTGCATCCTTTCAGCTTTTCACCTGCAAAATGGAGGCAAAGTGGTGCTCTTCCAACCACCCCTCTCACTTATCCTGTCTTCTAACTACAGTACTTCTTCCATCATGGCACCTCCGCACGTGTCTTTCCTTCTGCCTGGGCCACCCTCCCCCTGCTCCTCTGTTCAGTCAGTTCTTTGAGCTAAATGTTTCCACCTTAGAGGGGCCTTTCCCCACCTCTGAGGTTGTCTTCCATGAAACTGTCCCTGGTGCCAAAAATGGGGACTGCTGCCTGGATGCATGGCACTGAAGTGATTGGTTAGCTGGTTTCTGATGATCCCATGGAGCCTGTTGGTGAGTGAATGTTTATTGAGGGAGAGCGACAGTTTCAAGTTGAAGGGGGGGTTCTGGGTCGGGAGAAATCCATGGAGGCCTCTACTGGTGGCTTTCTGTTGTCAGTGGTTACCATTGTGGACAACTCAAACTTGATCTTGGACAGGCTCTGGAGATCATCCGGGGTTGTCAAGGCCTGAATGTGGTGGGTTGTGACCTCGTGGAAGTTTCACCACCCTACGATCCTTCTGGTGAGTAAGGGAGATAAGTGTGATCTGTAGGCAGCTGCTAGTTTAAACCGTCTTCCTCTAATTAATAAGTAGATGGATGGGTCCTTTTAGACAACTCGGGAACCTACTGAGTATGTCCTACAGTGAAGAAAATAAACCTATTAACGCACACTGTACAGATGTGAGCTAATGAACCCTAACAGAACCCCTGGGAGGCAGCTAAGGATTAGTAGCTGGCCCCACCCATCCGCAGAAGAGAAACCAGCCTGGAGTTCAGTGATGGGGTGGCGCAGTGCCATTCGCCTTTGATATTTCATTGAAGAGTGAATTCTTAAGGCACAAATGATATTTATAAATATTAATAAACTGGGAGAGTCAGCTGGTTTAGAAGAGAGATTCAAAGCAGATGCCATCCCAATAATTTTAATGTAGCAGTTTACAGACTTGGGCTTATTAGGTTCAGAGGATAGATAATAAATACAATACACAGCATGATGACAGGTTTTCCTTTGGGGAAATCTGGTCTCAGAGTGAACAGAGCCTTCTGAATTTTAAAATGCTATTTCTGAATGGTGCTGGATGGAGAGAATGCCAGGGAAAGCATGTCCACGAGGTGGTCAGGTAGCACAGGCAGGACGCTGACCTAAGGCAGTGGAGTGCGCACTGCTCATGTTTGGGTTTCACCTCTTTGTAGGAAACACAGCCCTGGTGGCAGCTAACCTGCTGTTTGAGATGCTGTGTGTTCTCCCCAAAGTGACAGTCGTCTGAACCTTGTCCTGTGATTCTTCAAGATGTAACAACAGCTTGCACAGATGATAATTCTCCAGAAGCACTTGTGTGCAAGCAAAATCTGAGAACTGAAGAGCTCATGCCAATAAAACATTCTGCTAAAAATGTCATTGGTAGCTGTAACCATCAGGGCATTCAGTAAAACTAGAATCCAAACAGCCAATATTCCTCAGGAGTTTGAATTAACTTAAAAAAAAAAAGATGCATTTGTGCTGTTTTTTCTTTTTTCCCCACGTTTTCTTTTAATCCTGGGGACACTGAGGCATGTATTGATTAAGGCATCGCCTTCACATAGCCTGCTGATACCTTGGACCCAATAAAACCCACTGTCTGCAACTATGCAGGATATAAAGTTTGTGTTAATATATACATATGTGCTAAGTATATGTGCTAAGTCGTTTCAGTCGTGCCCAATTCTTTGCAACCCCATGCACTTAAGCCCCCCAGGCTCCTGTGTCCATGGGATTCTCCAGGCAAGAATACTGGAGTGGGTTGCCATTTCCTTCTCCATGTTTTTCCTTTGAAGAATGGTGATGGAGGATGAAGGGGAGAGGGATGGAGAATGCAGTTTATCTATAATTTGGAGGAATGAAATGAAAAAATCCTATGAAATCATACTGTAGAAACATTCCAGATTTCTATAGTATATTCCTTTAAAATATAGCCCCTACTCTGAGGAGCCTAGGACTGCATCTTGGTTTTAGGGCTTCTGTGAACATTAAACAAAGTGTGAAAGGAAAAGAATGTGCAGATCCTAATAAAAAGACTTCCCACTCAAAACCCCAGGAAGATGCAGGAATGTCTTCTAAACCAGGTAACATGAGCTGGCCTCCAAAGGGCTGCTTATACACTTCCTGAACTTACTCCCTCTAAGCCTGTGTTACATTATCTTCTCTTCAAGCTGACCTACCCTCTAAGACAGCAGTACCCGAAATCTGCAGTGAAGGCATGATGATCTTAAGCATGTATTGAGTAACATGCAGATTTGATTCTGTTGATCATGTGTCCATGGTTAAATCATCACCTTGTGACATAAAAGCTACCCATAATCATCACACATTAAAATAGTTTATTTCTGTTTCCAGTCTGTAAGATTCTTAAAACAAAATAACATCAGCTTCAGTGCCTGTTTCACAATACAAAACAAAAACAACATAAAAAAAGACACCATTTGCCGAATAAGTTATTTGTTCCTAAGAGTATCAAAAGTGCAAAATATTCACCTTCTTTTCAGGTCTGTCTTGAAAGTATGATCATCTTCCTTGACATACTGAACAGAGAGATTCAGCAGCTGCCAGGCTGCGTTTCTTTTCCGAGGACGAGGTCGGATATTTGGATGTGAGCAGCGTTTCATTTGTCAAGTTGTTCTGCATCAGTTTTTCAGTAATTTCACTTAGGAAAAAATGTTTGAGTGTTTGCTCCTAATCCTTTGCCCCAAATAACACAAACCACTTAAAACACAGTCAGATCCCATTTCTTTTTATATCAGGAAAAATGTATGTACTGAATGAGGAGGAAATCAACCCATTATTTCAAAACCACAGCCAAATTTTCATGGTTAGTCAGTGATGGCAACAAGACTGTGGTGCCTCGTGGGAGTTAGGGCAGACTTGCTCACTGACACGTTGCTTGGTTGGAGCTGATGAACTCTATGTTAGACAGACTGTGCCACTGACACCTGGGCCTAATGAAAAAATGTTTTTTAAATGGGAGCATGTGTCTACAAAGGCTTGTTTTAGGCCAGTGACTGTCCCATCTGTTAACCATGAGGCATAAACTGTATCAACCAGAAAAACCTACCTCTAACAACATCAGTGTTGTCAGTTCCAAGATACCCGAAGACCAAGAAGTTAACTTAAAGCCAAAATTGGGTCTGTTTGATTTATATGTATGAAAAAGAGAAACAGTAGCATTGGCTGAGCAAGTGGTGGCTCATACATTTGACACGGAAGTAAACAAATTCATGGAAACAACATTCAGGAGGAAGGGCTAAGGTGGTCAAGAGTCAAGGTCAGTTTAAAATAAAAGCTTCTCAGTGTCCTCTTGGGGGACATTATCTACCAGTCCCCAAATAGATCTCTAGATGATTTTTTTGGACTGAAATATTTCCTAGGAATGTTTTCATCATTATCGCTTTCCTTTCTTTGTGCAAATGAAAGGTGCAGTGGTCTGAATGTGCTTTTTAATAAAATTTTTGAAAATGAACAGATCTGGGGTGTTTTGGTTTTTAGAAATTAAGGTCAGGAATCCCATTAGTATCAGAAACTAAAAAAGGAAAAACTTACCATTGAACCAAACCACTCCTCATATAAGCAACTTGGCCAGAGGAGATGCAGAAAATAATTTTGCATCACAGAGCCAAAACTGAATTCCTTGATCAGTCCCACCTGAGCCAGGTGCCATGTGATAGAGCAATCAAAATAAACACCCATTTTGAGAGGATCACTTGGAAAAAATAGAGCCTGTCAGTGATTTCATTATTTTTTTAAATAAAGCTATAGATTCCATGAAAACTACAAGAATTTCTGGACTCAATTTATTACTTGCCACTGTCATTCAATCCAAATGGCTTAGTTTAAAGCAATGATGATTAAAGAAAATAGCAGTTATTAACCTATTTTGTCCCATCACTGATTTTGAGCCTTCACTTTACAGAAGGACAATTTGCTTTGACATTTGAACTCTTTGAGGTTGTCCAAACTCCAGGCAGTTTGCTCTAAAAAGAAAAGGAAAGCTCTCTAACTGGCTTGTAGAGTCCTGCCTGGTGTCCATGGTTCACCGGAGCACAGCAAACTGGGGTGCTGACGACAGGTCTGATCCTGTTACTGGTGAAGCAGTTGTTGAGAGTGAAAACAATTAAGACGAGACATTGAAATATAGGCCAGAAGCTCAAAGTGAGCAAAACGGGAGTCTAGAACGTGTCTTGGCTCACTTGTCATGAAAGAGGACTTGGAGATACAGCACTATTGGGGTAATAGGGTTCAAAATAACAACTGCTGAGAAATTTTAAGTTCCTTGATAAAAAGACGTGTCTAGTATGTTACTAAGAAGACACCACTGGAGGGAGGAGGTTCCTTGAGCCTGACTCACAGCGGGAGTAATGTGTCTTCAGTTGAACATCTACTGGCTTATGGCAGCTTATCTCTACATTCTGAGAACATGATTACAAGTTATGACTCCTAATACCCATACCCCAGAACTGACAGAGGCAGCAAGGCATCTGAAAACATACAGGTAAATGGCTCAAGGTCATTACAGTACTTCTTGCCGTGAGGATCCCTCCGAGGACACTTTAGTGCTTGGGAGGCAGCCAATGGGGTGCTCAGAGAGGTGCTGCCTCAGGCCCTGCCCAGGCTGCCCCTCTCTTGTCTTGGGAAGAAAACTAAACTGAAAGGCAGAGCCCTGATTCATCCCTAACCTTTAAAACTGTGGCTGACCAGCCGTTGTAGGGGGATGCCCCCTAAATATAGTTTTAGCTATTCACTACCAGAGAAATCATTAATGTAAGACTGCTTGGAACTAGGCCTCTTTCGAGATGCAGACGCAGGGCCCAGAAGCTGAGGTGGGCTGTGCCAAAGGAAGAGCAAGCGCTGGGGCAGAAGCACAGCCCAGGCCGGATGGGGGAGGCAGGTGACTGCCCGCACACCCGGCTTGAGAGGCGCCCCCAGCACCTCCACTGCAGGGCCCACCACAGAGATACAGAGATGGGACAGGGGAGGGTGGGGCGAGCACGTGGCAGAGACGACAAAGAAAGAGGGAAGGGACAGTCTGTTTTAAATAGTGTGGCATTCAAATGAGGAAAAAAAGACCCAAAGGAAAATATTCTGATCCGGGGAAGTCAACGTGTGGTGTTCTTCACTCCTAGGTTAGGACAGGACAAAGGAAAGATTCTTCTAGCCATTGTTCTGGAAGAATAATCTAAAATCTATACTCCGTCCATTGTGATAGTTTGAGTCCCGAAAAATACCTGTTCACAGGGGCCTGTTAAAAAGTCTGAAGAGTTCGAGTCTCTTTTTTGAAACCCTGTCAGTCTAGGTCAGGCCATGACGGGATATAAAACCTCTGTAAGGAGCCTTCCAGCAGCCGTTCCATCCATAAGGACAGCTTGCTCAATTTTCCTTTGACGGGCCTGGGCCCAGGGCCAGAGGAAGGCTTCCCTCGACACTCACCCAGATGGAGTGAGGAGTCAGCGTCACTGCACGGCCCCATGGCTTCCTCCTCTTCCACTGCTTTTTGGGGCTTGAAGAGGCAGAAGTACTTCTTGTGGCCGTTCAGAGCCAGCACATAACCCGTGTAGTCACGCTCCATGAAATGCTTGTCGTACTGGTTTGGGATTGGGGCCGCGTCTTGAGCAAATTCTAGTAAGTATTCGAGCCATTCTCTGTGTTTATCTAGACTCAGGAAGGAAAAGTGTAGGCAGCTGCTCCTGGAGGAAGGACAGAAGGAGGATTTAGGGTACTTCTGGGCACATTTAATCACGGGGAACTTAAGAATCTCAGTCAGATTTCAAATAGGAAAAGGCTTTGTGTTGGGTAGGGTCTGAAGAAATGAAGGAGTTCTGCGGGGCCTGGAGGGTTTCTACAAGGTGGCAAAAGCCCCTCACCCATTTCCAGCTGGGTGTCAGTCCCTGCTGGGTCTCACTCTCAGTGTCAGGCTTCAGGAAAACACTCAGAGCCAGAGAAGTTTCCTGAAAGGGCTCAGGGGAGACTGAGTTCAAGCTCTTCTGTCCAGAACTGACAGTCAAGGGGAAGAAACGTCCCTGCACGATGGCCTGGATGGATCTTGGGGCTGGACAAGTAACAACCAACACCATGCTGCCTGGATAAAGCCTCTCTAGCCACCCCTCCACCCTCCCACCCCCGGTTCACCCAAGTATGCCCGCTCGCCCCTCCTCCTTCCATGCCTTCCATCCTGCCCCCTCTCTGGTGCACAGAGGAACTCACCCAGTGAATGAGTAGACCTCCAAAGCGAATTTCTGCAGCAGGCTGGTCTTGGTGGAATTGGACAGGATGAGAACCACGTTCATGTGGCCTGGCCTCAGGCGTACCAAGTTACTGGTGTATGTTATATCTGTGAGTTCTGTTACCTCCACAAAGCCTTTTTTAGGAATCTTGCTGTGAAGAGATATTGAGGAATTAAGATCTTAGAGAACAGGGGAATGCCATTACTTTGAAAAGGAACAAGTAGAAGAAACTGCTATGTTCTAGCCAGACTAGGTACATTATTAACTATCCTTGAGCCTATATATACAGGGGAAGGGCGGGACTGACCTGGCTATCCCAGCCTACAAATTACCTTGCAGGTGTTACCATGCAGTTGGTGAAGTGGCTTTAGTACAGGATGAAGGCTGTCAACACAGCTATTTATCTCTGCTCCTGGCTCATCTAGCATCTGCCTGACATGCTTCTTTGCTTCCCACCTTCATTATTAAACCTGAGGGTCCCTAGGAGACGATAACTAGATGTGTGTCTAAACACCTCCACGGTCTTAGTCAACGCTCATCAGCACTGTGTGTGCTCAGTCGTGTCCAACTCTTTGTGACCCTAAGGACTAAAGCCTGCCAGGTTCCTCTGTCCACGAGATTTCCCAGGCAAGAATACTGGAGTGGGTTGCCACTTCCTCCTCCAGAGGATCTTCCTGACCCAGGGATTAAGTCCAAGTCTCCTGCACCTGTGTTTCCTGCACTGGCAGGTGGACTCTTTACCAGTGAGCCACCTAGGAAGCCGTCTTTAGCGGTGATTCTTCCCTAAATCCACATCTCACACAAGGAACAGAGCCAGAGTTCTTAGCTGTGCTCGACACTCGGATCCTGCTTTATCAGCCTCTGCGGCCTGAAGGGCTGCTGCTGAGGAGAAGGGGCTGGCATCTAGTGAGAACCACCTGCTGGGCTCCTTGGTGAAGCTTGGCTCCGCCTTCCCTGTCTTCTCACGGGCTTCCTCTTTATCTGGAGGGCTGGACTCTCGCTCCTCATTTGAGTCACTGAAGAAAGAGAGATTTTACAGAAAAACAGCCAAGGAAGTGTAGGCCTCACCCTACAGACACAGCACTGAGGAGCATGGGGGGGTCTTACCTGAAAGCTTGAACGATGACAGTGCCAAAGAGGATGAAGAGGGCAGAGAAAACCAGGGACAGAAGGGGCATCATTTCCCGCCTGAAATGAAATTCACAAGCTCTGGTCAGTGCTACGCGGGCCGCTGATGTGTCAGTTAACAGTTTCAGGTTTCTTCTCTCTGGCTCAAAAAACCGCTACATGACCCCAAACCAAAAAGCTTTCACATCAAGAAACACTTTCTAATTTCACACAAATAGAGGATTTTTTTGCGGTAGTGGTCAAAGTAGAGATTTTTTTCCCTCAGTGTTCTAATTCACAGATCACCTATTTACAAAGTTTGACGTTGTGCCTCAGGCTGTGCTGAATGGATTCTGCAGAAGGAAATGACAAGAGGGGTAACAAAGGATTTAAGCTGTGAACATGGAGGAACATTCTGACATCAAGGGTAATGCGAGTTGACTAGAAAGTCTGTGGAATTACTTCTTTTATTTTGATCTTTTTTTTTTTTTTGGTCAGAATAATTCAGATGTGGCCCAGAAGGGTACAGTAGGGAGAAGAAAGTTGACTTCTAAGATCTCCTCTAGGTGTTCTGAAATTTTATTCACCTGCAGATACCCATCAAAGGCCTGCTGTTTTTTGGGAGCTGGGCTGGTGGCCAGGAAGCACAGACGTGAGTGGGACGTGGTCTGTCCTCAGGAGCTCGTGGTCTCATTGGGGAGGGGGTGGTGGGAGTGCCCTTGCCCTCTCTGATTAATTCACTGGTTCGTTTGTGTCTCGATTCACTGGACTACATGTGCGTCAGCCCTGTGCTGGGCACCAAGGTGCTCTGGTGAGGAGTGCAGTCCCAGGCTCTGCTATCTGGAAGGGTAGCTGGAGTGATCCTTTCTTTCCCAACCTATGGGAAAGGGTCAAACCGGCAAATATTACAAAAGGGAAGTTACCAAAGACAGAGAAAGGGGAATAGTCGTTGAAAATATGGAAACACTCTTCCACCTGCCCAAATGGAGTCTACACTGAAATAAAAGAAGAGTGGACCTTTTTTCAAATGAAAAACAGCAGTTCTGGTAAGTAACAGCAAGAGAAATTCAATCTGGCAATATTCCTACCAGTTGTTGTGAAATACACTATCCCAGCAGTCTGAGATGTAGTCAGAAGCAGAGTAGAGCCACCGAAGAAGAAAAATCTGTGGAGGGAGAAAAGGGGTCAGGACTGGACCCCAAGCCCCAGAGTGAGAAGTCCCCCATCCCCGACAGGGCACTGCAGCTCTGGGAGCTCGGGAGCCCTGCCCCGCACCCACCCGCCTGGGCCGCGTGCTTACAGGGGCGAGTTCATCGGTCAAGTCAGGGAGCACAGCTTCCGATGACAGAAGAGCTGGGTCTTTCCGCAGTTGGTCTAGATAACCCAAAAGGATGAATTTATCACTCTCACTCCCAGTCCAGGGATCCTCCAGGGTTTTATACACCACCCGCCCTGCAGTGTTGCGCCTTTCTAAGATAGACACCTGGGAGAAAAAGAGGCGAAAAACCATTAGAATTCTCAAGAGAATGGGAAATCACTGGTGGTTGTTGTTTTTTTTTCCCAGAGACAATGGAAAAAAAGGATCTAGTGAAAGCTCAAGCACAGATATGAATGTATATACCACATCTGCAAAAGATTTCCATTTTTCTGACAAAAGAAATTAGTTTTATGGTGACTTTTCAAAGCCTTGTTAAAAGTTAAAGCTCTTTCTTCCCAATAGGTTTTGTTCTGTAACTTCTACTTTTTTTTTTTTAAACATTTATTTATTTGGCTCTGCTGGTCTTAGTTGCGGCACATGAACCCTTAGTTGTGGCTTGTGGGATCCAGTTGACCAGGGATCAAACTTGGGCTCACTGCACTGGGAGCACAGAGTCTTAGTCACTGGACCACCAGTGAAGTCCCTGACTTAATGTTATAATAAAGCAAGCCTTTGTTTTTTTTCAGAGATTTTCCCATGAAAATCAGTTCAGCTGGTAAAGGATTCAGTTGGTAAAGAATCTGCCTGCAATGCAGGAGACCCTGGTTCAATTCCTGGGTCGGGAAGATCCTCTGGAGAAGGGATAGGCTACCCACTCTAGTATTCTTGGGCGTCCCTTGTGGCTCAGTTGGTAAAGAATCTGCCTGCAATGCGGGAGGCCTGGGTTCAATCCCTGGGTTGGGAAGATCCCCTGCAGAAGGGAAAGGCTACCCACTCCAGGGTTCTGGCCTAGAGAATCCCATGGACTGGATAGTCCCATGGACTCTCACAAAGATTCGGACATGACTGAGTGACTTTCACTTCCCATGATTACCAAGATGATGAAAATGACAAAGAATTTCATGCTTCTGTGGAGAGTGATGACACAGGAGGAAAGGAAGGGTAAGGTCATTTGGGATGAAATAAAAGAGGCAGAAGTACAGGAGGGAGACACTGAAAAGCATATTAATGGCTGCCTAAGGGAGATTCTACAAACTAGATACTGTAAGACTTGACCTGCACAGGGGAAGGACAGGTGAAAGGGACTGGGGATGCTCTTTAATCTTTACCCAGAGGAAAGATGGCTTTTGTGAAGGTCCAAGGTTGAAAAGTCAGGAGGTGAAATCAGCAGGGTAAAAGACTAGTTTAAGAGTGCTTTCAGGGACTTCCCTGGTAGTCCTGTGGCTAAGACTCTGTGCTTCCAATGCAGTGGGCACAGGTTTGATCCCTGGTTGGGGAACGAAGACCCCACATGCCACAGGACAGGGCAAAAAACAGGTCAAGTGGTTTCCAAGCACTCAGAAAGAAATAAAACAAAACATGCTTCAGAGATTTCTGGATTTCCCAGAATCTATATTCAAAACCCTTGAGGAAGGAGAACATGGAATTAAGTGCCACATGCTTGTGAAGAGCTTGGGACCAGGAGAGAACCCACAACTCACCGCTGATTTTCCTTGAAACGTGCCACTGTCTGGCAGTAAGGTGCTGGCAAATTCCTGCTGCCGATTGCTGTAGACATGCACGAACCTCACAGTGTCCTGTGTGTTTGCCAGGGCAAAGGATAGGAACGCCTCAAAGGGTTTGCTCAACTTGGTAGCCTCAGCGGTCAGTAAAACCACACAGTACCTGCACGTCAACAAAAGAAAAAGACTATGTAACTAATCCCCGAGGCCCTGAATGGCAAGGGAAGGTGAAGGAGAGAAGTCATTCACAGAGAGAACCAGCATGTTTTAGAAACCAAAGCTGCATGAGGGTCGCCAATGAGATAAGATGTTCAAGGCATTAAGGACCTGCTTCTTTCTAAATTGCTGATGCTCTCCCCACATGAAACTTCACAACATTTGGAAATGCCCTTGAAGGGAACAGTCACTGAACCAATGATGCAGAAGAGCCTTGCAGAAGGCACCTGTTCTAGTTCTTCTACTTCAGGCAGGGCTGGTTAACCCTATTTCAAGCCAGGGCCACTGGGCCTCATTCTGAAGAGCTTCCTTTGCCGTGTTTCCAATGGCAAATTAATCTAATCATTCAAATCAGGCATTCTTTCTCCAAGATACTACTTAGCACTCACTAGATGCCAGGTAAGACAAACAACGTTCTTGCCCTTATGTTCAGTCACTCAGTTGAGTCTGACTCTTTGTGATTCCATGGACTGTAGCCCATTAGGCTCCTCTGTCCACGGGATTTCCCAGGCAAGATTACCAGAGTGGGTTGCCATTTCTTCCTCCAGGGGATTTTTCCAATTGAGGGATCAAACCGTGTCTCCTGCTTTAGCAGGCGAATTCTTCACTGCTGAACCACCTGGGAAGCCCCGTTCTTGCCCTTGTGGAACTTACATTCCAGTGGGGAGGGCAGACAAAAAAACAGATAGATAGATTGGCAGGTAGATCATGACAAGTAGTGTTTTAAGTGTTACAGAAAAAAAAAAGTGAAGGGGAAAGAGTGCAGGGTGGGTTGGGAGTCAAGCTCCATCAGACAGCCTGGTCAGGGAAATGTCATCTGGGAAGGTGACGCTGGAGCAGAGATCTGAATGAGGTGCCACAAGAGGAAGTGAGGTCAGAGCGCTCGAGGTAGAGAGCATTCCAAGCGCAGACCCAGAGACGGAGGGGGACTCGATCCAATTCAGTGAGGAGGATGATCACTGGCTGATGGGGAGAACTGACTGAGGGGGTGAGAGTGGAGTGGAGGCAGAGGGGGGTAGGAGGCTAACACGGTGGCCTTGGCAAGAGGCAACACTGGCCTGGCTAGGGTGCTGGTGGAAACAAAGGGGAGGAGTGTGTGGACTGGGATATTTTTTGAAGGCTGTATAAATAATAATCCTCAAAGTCCAGGATCATCTTCCTTATATTTAATTAAAGTGTTTCTTCTCTTAGTCTATATAGGAATCTGAAAAGTCTGGAAATATAGTGAATGTTTCCTATTTTAAACAGTATTTTAGTTGTATTTTCAAATAATGTGATCAAAATTATTTCCTTTCATATCCAGATGAAAGAGCCCTAAATTTCACAGATGAAACAGCCCTAAATTTAAAGGCACCGGCTCCTTAATCTGAAAGAGCTATAAGAAGTGTTTTCCCTGTCTTTCCAGACTTTTCAGATGCTCTGTGTGAATGAGGATGCCTCGGCCATGCCATGCCATGCCATGCCCAGCTAATTATTTTACCATTTCCTCAGCACCCTCACTGCCCTACTGTTCGGTCATTTACCTGGCTCCTCTCCTAGACCTGCAGACATTTGCCCTGTGTGGGACACTCTGGTAGAAACAGCAGCATTCTCCCACTTCACACTGCTTCACCAAGCTTCACAGGCTGTCCCTGACACCTGGCAGAACCTACTCACTCTTTAGGGCTCAGCTCTCAGGGGGATCTTCTCTGGCACAGCCAATCATTTGGTCCCAAGGTGCCCTGGACTGACATACCCCTCTACTATCATAGCTGTTCATCTATGTGCATCTATTTGCAACATGAAGCATAGATTCTGACTGTTCCAGGGTCAATGTTTAACTGCCTTTCAGTAACATATGACATGATGAGCAGGGGCAAGGCCTTCAGTCCTTACTTTCTCTGTCGGTGAGACCGTTTCACGGGGCAGAGTTCATGGAACAACTTCTGGCTGGTGAGCCTGGCTGCCAACAGATACTTGTTTTGGGTGATAAAGTCATCAATGACCTGTCTCTTCATACCTCGGGCCTGGAGAAAAACCAAGAGACAGTTGATTCTTACTCAGTTTTCTCACTGAGAATGGGCTTGACTTATAGTTTAATAAAAATATGCCTGAGCCTGGCTAAAGCAATAAAACCAAGAAAGGTAGACCTCTTTGAACAAATAAACATGTGGTATTTTTCCAACAATGTGGGGCTAAAAGCAATGATGCAACTATTTCAGGTCAAAGGAAAAATCAGGTGATTGGGGAACTTTTGTAGACTGTTTTATGCTGGCAGACTGAAAAAGTCAATAATTTTGAAATTTTAGGCAAATTTACTTCCATTCGAGATTTATAGTAAACTGAGCAATTAAAAATAAACTTCAAAGTAGCAATGTTATTGAGTATAAAAGATGGACTACAAAACTGTCTGATGACCACTTTGTTATTACTAATTTTCACATATTTCAAAGAACTGAAATTATATGTAGCAGGTTCTCTGACCACAATTAATCAAGACATCAATGTAAGATGTGAACCAGAAAATCGCTTTATGCTTAGAAATTAAGAAACTCTGAGTAACTTCTTGATCTGAGAAGAGAGCATATCAGATGTAAGAAAATAGTTTGAATTTGGAGTGATCAGTGAAAATATTATTTATCAAAGCTTTGGGATGCAGATAAAGGAGAATTTGGAGAGTGTGTGTGCTCAGTTGCTTACTCTTGTCCAGCTCTTTGCAGCTCCATGGACTGTAGTAGCCTGTCTGGCTCCTCTGTCCAGTGGGATTTTCCAGGCAAAAACAGTGGAATGTTCCACTGTTGCCATTTCCTACTCCAGGGGACAACAGGGAACCTCCCTGGTGGTCCAGTAGTTAAGAACCTGCCTCCCAATGCAGGGGACGTGGGTTCGATCCCTGTTGGGCACTAAGATTGCACATGCTGTGGGGCAACTAAGCCCTTGGGGCCCATCGACTGAGCCCCAAACCATAGAGCCAATGTGCTCTGGAGTCTGGGTGCCACACTGAAAAATTCCACCTGCCGCAATGAAGACCAAACAATAAAACAAATAAATATTAAAAAATGAATATAACAGAAAAGAAATTAATGAACTAGATATCCCTATCACGAAGTCACAGCAAAAATACAAAAGTAGAAAGAAGGAAATAATAAACATGAAAATAGAAATCAATAAGACAAAATAAAAATATAAGGACAAACCAACATTCGTTCTTTGGAGGAGCTAATAAAATTGACAAACCTCTGGTAAAACCAATCATGAAAATAAAGAGAGAAAGCACAGGTAACCATTACCAAGGATGATGCGGAGGAATCACCACCTATGTTGCCGAAACTAAAAAAAAAGTGTACACATATATGTGTATATTATATATATATTTAAATTTGAAAATTTCAGAGAAACAGAAAAATCTTTAGGAAAAATAAAACAATGCTTGAAAAAAAGAGAAAACAGTTCTATAACCATTAAAGAAGATGAGTCAGTAGTCAAAAATATTTCCTTAAATACAAATTCAGACTGAGATGGCTTTGTAGGTGGTTTTGACCAGACTTTCAAGGAAGACAATCTAATCTTCTGTAAAGTCTTTCTGAGAAGGGAAGAAGGGAGGACATGCCCCATCTCATTTCATGATGCAAATATTCACATGTCCATCAACAGAAGCATGAGTAAAACCTATTCTCATGTGGCCATACATGATACAGCAAATAAAAACAAATTACCTAGAGCCAAGAGTAACCACTGGTGCGACCAGTGTTACACTAAGCTTCTCCTCATTGCAAGGACTCGGTTTATGTTAAGGATGCATTTTTATATTCATAAAGAGCAAACTGGGGACTTTCCAGTGGTCCAGTGGTTAGGCATCCACCTGCCAATGGGGGGACATGGGTTCAATTCCTGATTTGGGAAGATTCTACATGCCGTGGGTCCCCACACCGTAAGTACTGAAGCCTGTGTGCTCTGCAACAAGAGAAGCCACCATAGTGAAGACGCAGAGCAGCAGCCAAAAATGCATAAATGAAAATAAATAAGATTATTCAAAATAAAAGAGCAAATTGGTAAGGCATCCATTGTTCTGGTAATTTTATTAACGTATTTGATTTATAATTTTCCCCAGGGAATAAGTAAATAACAATTCTCAAGGGTACATGGCTATTACTAAAAAGCAATTTAGGAAATCTTATAGATTAATCTTGGATTGAGATGACCTTCCTTCCTCTCTTCTACAACTGGTGTTTGCTTGCTTCCTGACTCTCTCTCTTGGTTTCTGCTTAGCTGCCGTCAGGCACCCCCTCTTTTTTATTTGCTGGTTGTTGTCCAGAGTTTCGTCCTTGGCTTCCTCCTCTCCTTACATAACATAGGATGCCTGGAGGATCACCTTCTGCCTTTCCTCAGATCTAGATCCCTGCCTCCTTAGGAAATCTAAGGAGGCACAACTCCCCTTAGATTTCCTAAAGGCAGTTCTTTCTTTCTTTCCTTTTTAAAAATATTTATCTATTTATTTGGCTGCACTGGGTCTTAGTTGTGGCACATGGGATCTTCTATCTTTGTTGCGGCATGCGGGATCTTTCCTTTTGGCATGTGGGAAACTAGTTCCCAGATCAGGGATCAAACCTAGGGGCCCTGCATTGGGAGTGCAAAGTCTTAGCCACTGGACTGCCAAGGAGCTCACAGGTAGTTCTAATTCTTTTTATTTTTTTTAATTAAAAAATTTTTTTTCATTTATTTTTATTAGTTGGAGGCTAATTACTTTACAATATTGTAGTGGTTTTTGCCATACACTGACATGAATCAGCCATGGATTTAAATGTGTCCCCCATCCTGATCCCCCCTCCCACCTCCCTCCCCATCCCATCCCTCTGGACGGAACCTTTTGGACTTGTGGGAGAAGGCGAGGGTGGGGTGATTTGAGAGAATAGCATTGAAACATGTATATTATCAAGTGTAAAACAGTAGTTCTAATTCTTATATCCACAACTGAACTCATTGTCTTCTTTTTAAACCTGCTCTTCTTTCCTTACTATCCACTTTCCCTATCTGGTTCCTTACCTTAGTCTCATAGTCTCAGGTAACCTTCCTTCTTCACATGGCACCCAGAGTTCACCAGCATCTAAGGGAGACACCTACTATAAGGCAGTGGATGAAAACTGCCTCCAGGTCTTTCTCCTCCCGACTCTGAGTCCGATAAAGACTCAGGACAAAGACTAACTCTGGATGTCAGAGCTGTTCTGTATTTAGTGCCCAGCAAGCAGGCAATGAATGTACTGAATGAATGAAATAAAGGATTTTTATAGAATATCTCTTTCTTTTCACTTTAGCCTCTTATAAGAGAAAGTATCAAAGGGCTCTTGTTGATTTTTAAAAAGTAACATTAAAAAATATGTGTTCATTATAGGGATTTCTGGAAACCCAAATACTGAAATAATATTCACTTTACAAAATTGAGAGCAATGCATTATAAACAGCATATACAACTTTGCATGCTGCTTGCTCACTAACATTATGTTATGAAAATTATCCCCATCATTAATTATTCTCAAATTGCCATTTTATTTTTTATTTAACTTTTATTTAAAAAATTTTTATTTATTCATTTATTTCGGCTGCATCAGATCTTGGTTGCCTCACACAGGATCTTTTATTGGGGTGCATGGACTCTAGTTGTGTCTCAAGGGCTCCTGAGTACCTAGGTTTAGTTGCTCTGTGGCATGTGGAATCCTAAGTTCCCTGATGAGGGATCGAACCTGTGACCTTTGCATTGAGAGACGAATTATTATTATTATTATTTTTGAGAGACGAACTCTTAACCACTGGACCACCAAAGAAGTCCAAGCAAACTATCGTTTTAAATGATGTGGGGCTTCCCAGCTGGCTTAGTGGTAAACAATCTGAGCAGCAAGAGACTGGGGTTCAATACCTGGGTCAGGAAGATACCCTGGAGAAGGAAATGGCAACCCACTATAGCATTTTTGCCTGGAAAATTCTATGGGCAGAGGAGGCTGGTGGGCTACAGTCCATGGGGTTGCAGAGTCGGACACAACTGAATGACTGAGCATGCACATCTGGGAGGTATCAATAATTACCCTACTGTTGGATGTTTATATTTCCCTCTCATTTTTGGTATTATGAATGATATTTAACATCTTTGTATGTAATTCTTTGCCTGAGTTTCTATTCCTTTAGGATAGAGTCCTAAAAGGTAATCCCATCTCCCTCAGTTCTTTACTCAAGTGTCACCTTAATGAGTGAGGTCCTTCTTGGCTGGTCCACCTTAAAAATGTGAGCCCTTTCCCCCAGTACCCTGGACTCCTCTCCCCTGTTTTATTTTTTTCTTTAGCACACATCACTATATAATATACCATGACAGAGGTATCATAATGATTGTTGTCCCCACTAGAACCCAGTCAGGGAATTCTGCTGATTTTGTTCAGGGCTGCACCCTCAGCACACACAGCAGTGTTTGGCACACAGCAGGTACTCAGGAGTGCTGTTTTGCTAGGAAGTTGCTATTTTATCACCCAATCACTTTTCTGAAAACTTTTTTTTCCTGAGAATTTTTGAAGCTTCTTCCAGCAAGGCAAGGAAGAGAAGTGCCGATTTCTCTGTACCTTCAACTGTAATGAATATTTTTACTTTAAAAATCATTAACAATTTGATGAGAGAAGGAAATGTAAATTGCTTTTCTCTGATTATTAGTGAGATTTACTTTTTTAAAGTATTTATTGAGATCTCCTCTACTTGGTGATCCAGTGGCTGAGATTCCACATTCTGAATGCAGGGGGCCTGGGTTTGATCCCTGCTCAGGGAATCTAGATCCCACACTAAAGTTGCAACTAAAGATCCTGCATGCTGCAATGAAGACCCAGCACAGCCAAATAAATAAATAAAATACTTAAAAAAAAAACCAGTGTTTATTAGTAACTTAAATCTTTTCTCAGGATTTTGTTCATCTGCTTTACCCATTTTGGAGGGAAAATTTAAACTGGGATAAGAGTAACATAACATGAAATTAACCACTTCAGTATATAACTCAGTGGCATTTTAGTACATTCACAGTGTTGTGTAACCCTCACCTCTATCTAGTTACAAACATTTTCATCATCCCCAAAGAAAACTCTGTACTCATTAAGTGGTTATTCTCAAGAAGTTTGGGGTTGATTTCTTTGATTAGAAGAAGCTCATCAGAAATGAAAGATAACAATCCCTTTTATATTGGTTGTAAATACTTCCCTTATTGTTTAATCAAAAAATTTTAAGTCTTTCTATAAAAATGTACAGCTTATAATCAAGTTATTAAGATTTTTCCATTGAGATTTTTCCTAGCACTTTTAGCTTTTCCTATCTTAAGATCAGATAAATATTCACTGTATGTTCTTTGAGTTAGTGCATACATTTTTTTTCTCAGTGATTTTAATGTATATATTTTTTGAGCAAGATCAAATAACTTTTACTCACCTACAAGATCTCAGTACAATGAAAGTCTTTTTAAAAGCTCTCCTCACAATTCAATACCTACCCACTTTTGAATATCAAATTATAAAACTAAAAACTTCCAAGGGATTAATGGGATGAAATGAAAGAGTAATTTTTTCTTATTCCTTTCAACTACTGTTCTATACCGAAGCCTTAAAATTATTTTTATAACTTGTTTTAGAATAAGATTATTGATTTTTTAAAATAGGAGCTTTTTAGAGGTCAAAGATGACTATTATTTATTGTTCTGTTTTTGTGGTTACAGAGTACATAAAATTACCATTTTAACCATTTTCAAGTGTATGATTCTGTGGCATTAACCATTCACGCTGCTCTGCAACCATCATCCGCCATCCATCTCCAGAACTTTATTGCCTTCCTAAACTGAAATTGTGCCCCTTACACACTAACTTCCTATTTCTTCTTCCTCCAACTTCTGGCCACCGCCATTCTACTTTCCATCAAAAGATTATCTTTGTAAGCAGAATAGTACCAAATCATATTTTTTAAAAAACTCATTTTGAAACTCTATGACTTTAAAAATTTCCTTCTATGAAGGAAATAGTCACCCATGAGATTGAGAGCTGCTTGAGAAGTATCCTCAGTACTTAGCATACTGTCTGACACACAACAGACAGGTCTGAGATTTTTGAAAGCTTTATTTTATTTATTTATTTAGGCTGCACCACAAGGCATGTGGGATCTTAGTTCTCTGACTAGGGGTCAGACCTGTGCCCCCTGCAGCAGAAGCTCAGAGTCTTAACCACTGGACTGCCAGGGAAGTCCCTGAAGAAGAGATTAAAACTAGTTTCTTCTCCTCTCCTACTCTGCTCCATTTTGCTATTTATTTGTGTGTGACATCCTGAGAGAAAACGGGAGGGCCACCTTGAAACAAGGCGACACCCACGTACCTGGATAACATCTGCAGGCTTGTGGATGTGTTCTTTAAAGATCAGGATGGTGGGGGTATAGACATTGACGTTGTATTGCCTTGTCATCTCTTCTGCCCCTCTCAAACCGACATACACATATCCAAATGACAAGTAATCTTTGTATGCAAAAGCAGTCAACTGTTAGGGAGTAACAGAGAAGAAATGAAACTGGTAGCACAGCATCTAAATTGTGACTCGTTCTAATCAGTGGGTGGAGATGAATGCTAGCTTATATGGGCCCACTCAGGCTGCAACACCCTTATACTCCTGTAGGAATTCTATGGTCCTTTAGGTGCAAAAACCATACCAACAAAGCTGAGTAACAATTAACTCTGTTTTTCAGATAGAGCAAGATATTCGTCTTACTGAGATCTGTACTGGGGGTGAGAGGTTTGAGGAATTACCTGTACCCCAACTACTATTTATTTTTTTAAACTGGAGTATAACTGCTTTATGATGTTGTTAGCTGTACAACAGGGAGAATCAGCTATATGTATACATAATCCCCTCCCTCTCTGACGTCCCTCCGCCCCCCCCCCCCGCCCCCCAATTCCACCCCCTAGGTCATCACAGAGCACTGAGCTGAGTTCCCACAAGCCACCTATTTTACACATGGTAGTGTATTTATCTCAGACTTAATCTCCCAACTCATCTCACTCTCCCCTTCCCCTGCTATGTCCACCCATCCAATCTGCATCTCTACTCCTGCCCTGGAACTAGGTTCATCTGTACCATTTTTCTAGAATCCACATATACTCATTGCTATATATTTGTTTTTCTCTTTCTGACTTACTTCACTCTGTATGACAGACTCTAGGTCCATCCATGTCTCTACAACTTGTACCCCAAGGACATAAGACGGCCGTGACCATGCCAATGGTTAAGCACTTTCCTCACCCATCTCCTGTCACAGTGATAACCAGAGGTGTGCAAGTACAGTGCAGAATATCATTCAGAGGGCAGGTTTAGAATCACGCTGTAAGGGAGTTGATATTCAACCCACTGTAGGGAGACCTGGGGCAGGTTATACAACCACTATAAGCTTCAGTATTCTGGTCTATAAAATAGGGATCATAATCTGTACCACTGGGTTCTTCTGAAGATTAAATGCTATTGTGTGTGTGCAAAGTGCTAGCACAGTAATAGCATCAGTAGGTCCTCAATGTATGGTGCTTCAAGGCAAATTTCTGGTCTTCAAACATTTCTCATGGGGTGAGCTATTACTGATAAAAAGGAAAATCACCAAAGTAAGAGGAAACACTACCCGGGCCCCTAGAGTACCTTGTAGAGCAGTGGTACGGTGGGCATCTGGTCAAACAGGAGGACACGCGGCTTATTCTCTTGCTGCCAGCCAGAGAGGAACCTGACATAATTTTTGTTTGTAACCTTGAATTGAAAAGAGGATGTCAGTTTCAACATTTAATTCTTAACAGTTACATTATAATCCAGTCAGGAGATAATTAAACAGAATCAAGTAAGTGTAAAAGACTGTTTTGTAAAAAATAAAAAATGCAGACAACTAATCTTTTTGTCTTCAACTAAAATTAATTAAAAGAACAGAGACATTGTTTCATATTTTCATGTGATCCAACTCTTACAGACTGAAATCATAATCTTTCTGAAATTATTACTGACCATATCATTAAAAATTGAGCTTTTGAAGCTGGCTTGCTTAATTATAGGTGAGTTTTTAGTTTATTAGAAGACAATGAAATAATTGCTCTTTCAAAATAACTTAAATAAAAATAAGTGGGCCCACTCCACCTATATATCACATAATTTCATTCATTGCCATCTGAATTGCTACTTTAAAAAAAGCTTTTTAATTACAGTATAACTGCTTTCCAATGTTGTGTTAGTCTGAATTGATACTTATGTGCTTCCCTGTTTATACCTTAAAATAATCCTGAGAAAACAAAAACATGAGTAAATTACTTTCTAAAAAATTTTTATCATAGGTCAAAGTTTATCTTTCAACTGTGCTCCCAGAATAATCTGTATAGAACTTCAATCTGATCATTTCACTCTACTGCTCAGCCTCTTTCAATGGCTCTATCACCTGCAGGCCAAGTCTCTTTAATGGAGACTCTCATGGCGAGATTCCCCTGCTCCTCCCCCATTAACCACTTTAGCCTGTCCTCTTCCACTCACTAATGACTACTTCATACAAAGCAGGCTATCTCATGTTCCAGACCTCTGTCTGCCTGGAATGCATTCCTTACTTCACTTTCCTCACCCAACAAACTCACTACAGGGGTCACTTCTGCCAGGAAGCCTTTCTCAAGTTTCTAGAATGGACACGCTGCACACAGGATGTAAACAGTCACCCATTAGATTGGGAGCTTCTTGAGAAGTATCCTCAGTACTTAGCTTAGTGCCTGACATACAACAGGTATTTGGAAAGGGCTGAGGACCTACCAAGACAGTCTGTCACAGTTTTAGAGTGTGCTCTGACAATTTCAAGCTAACTCCAACAAATGTTTCTTTTGTGGTTAATGATCCTGGTGGGATAGACTGTGTAAAAATAGGATGGAAACAACTGGGTATTTAACTCTTCTTGGTATTATTAAATAAAAAATCATTTTCTTTTTAAAAATTTTATTTATTTTTTAATTGAAGGATAATTGCTATACAAAATTTTGTTGTTTTTTGCCAAACATCGACATGAATCAGCTACAGGTATACATATGAATCATTTTCAAGTAAGCAAAATAAGAATCCTGTTCTAAGAAACTGAGGGAAAATGCTTCTTAAATATAAAAATCATAGTTTAGCTTGTATGAACTCCTTGTGCCTAGTTTCTCTAGCTCAGTCTTTTGTTTGTGAAATTTATTCATACTGTTGCATCATATGTGCTTTGAAAGTTCCAAAAATAATATCTGATTTCATGGAATCTAGTGCTTTCAATAGCTAGGATCCTTAAATATATAACCAAATAGAACTTAATTTGAATACTCTCTTAAGAAAAGTATCTTCAAATGAACAAATGCATGAAGCTGGAAAGAAACTCTTCATTCTATGTTGTGATCTAACTTTTTGTTGAGGAAATAAGATGCACTCTCATTTTAGGCTCAGATTCCTGTGACAGGGAAGGGAAGGGAAGCTCCCCTGGTGGCTCAGATGGTAAAGAGTCTGCCTGCAATGCGGGAGACCTGGGTTCTATCCCTGGGACAGAAAGATCCCAAGGAGAAGGAAATGCCAATCCACTCCAGTATTCTTGCCTGGGAAATCCCATGGATGGAGGAGCCAGGCAGACTATAGTCCATGGGTTCGCAAAGAGTCAGGCACGACTGAGTGACTTCACTTCCTATGACAGCATCAGTCTTCCCAGTGGTTGTAACAGGGATAATCCTTTCAGTCTCTCTACTTCACCTATTTCAATTTTCAGCCTCTAGCAGACTTCATTTAAGTCTGAGCAAATAATTAACATGTGTCTTGTCCTGCTCAAAATGAAACTCAGGTCTGAGGATGACCACGGGTTGAGCTCAGAGCAGCCAGCAACCCTAGGTGCTCTTAAACTACCTCTAAGCCACATACTTACTTTCTCCACCAAGTTCCCTGGAAGCAGACTCTCTACAAACTGCCGCAGGTTCTCACGGACAACTGCATTGTGGAAGAAGGAGATCTTCCCATTTATGATTCCTAGGATCGAGGGTGTGCTGTGTGCTCCCAGGTGATGGGCTAGGCGTCGCTCGTACCCAGCATGGACCACGCCAATTCCTACACCTGAAAAATATGAAAGACCTTCATGAAGGCCTTTTATGCCCCTGTGGCAGGTGAAAAAGCATTGTTAAGTAATTTTCTGGTGTGAAACTGAAATCCTGACTTAGTAGGAGGGGGTATCTTTCCCGACAGACTGTCTAGCAACCCTTCACTGCTGGAATTCTAAATTGGTTCAGTTTTTCTGCAAAGCCATCTGGCAATGTTTAAGAAGAGCTACAAATCTTTTTATCTTTTAGTCTGTTGTTTCTAATTTTGGGAGCAGATCAAGAAGAAATACTTCAAAAGAAAAGAACAACCTGTCCACAATGGTCCTATTCATAAAGGACACCATCTGTAAACAATTCAACGGTTCATCGACTTGGCAGTGGTTGAAAAAACCCTAGAATTGGTTGATAAGCTAGAATCAGTCTTCTCAGAGCATGTCTCCCTTTTATTTTATAGAGATGTCATACAGATTCTCAAAGAGAGAGATGAGGTAAAAATCACTCGGCCATATCCCATGTAACTACTGTTAATATTTTGGTATCTGTTTATATCTTTTCTTATACAAATATGTGTGTATGCATGTTTGTATACACATAAAATAAAATGGGATCATCTGATACCTATTTCATTTAGTGTTTGAGTAACTTTTCTTGTCTTTCATTCAAACAATATATTTGGAGGGCTAGATCCTTTGCTAAACATTGGAGATACATTAAATGTTAATAGCTAGTAAATATTCTTTTTTCCCTGGGATGTCTAACAGACTTCTAAGTTTCAAAAACAAACCCCTCATCTTCTTTCTCAAACCTGTTCCACCCAGGCTTACACCATTTCCATCGATGGTGGTTCCTTCCTATTACTCAGGACTTTTGTCTTAAGAGTCATCTTTGACTCCTCTCATCTCTCACACCCCACATCCAGTCTGTCAGCAAGTCCAGTTGGTTCTGTCTTCAAAATACAGTAGGAATTCAAGCTGTTTTTCTCCACTTGCACTGTACCCTGTCTCTCAGTCATCTTTCTCTCTCTCTCCCAAGCTGCTCTAATAACCTCCTCAACGGGGTCTTGTTTCTCCTTGTCCCCCCACACTGTCCTCAGTATGGTGGCCAGACGGGCCCTTCTAAAACATAAACAACAGATCATGTCACTCCTCTGCCCAAATCCGGCACCGACTCCCCATTTCACTCAGAATAAAAGTCAGTCTTCACCAAGGCTGACAAGACCCTCTGTGATTTGGCCGTTGGCCTCCTTCCTCTCCCACTCCTCACGCTCACTTACTCCAGCCCCTAGTATCCCTGCTCTTCTTGAAACACACTGGCAGGTTCCCGCCTTTGGCTTCAGCACTGGCTGGTCCTTCTGCCTGGAGGGCACATCTCTGGACATCTGAGTAGCTGACTCCTTCACCAACTGCAAGTCCTTCTCAATGAGGCTGAGCAGCTCCCATGTTGAAAACTGCTCTCCCCACATGCAGGATCCCCTTCAGCCTACTTGGCATGTCTTGAGTCCTTTCCAAGTCAGGCAGCATGCCTACACATTTAAAGATGTTATCACTGTTCACACCAGCAAACCCTGAGTGCTAAGTATTGTCATCTTCATGGATGAGCAAGCTGGCACTTGGAGAGGCTAAGGAAACCTTCCTGGAATCACAGTTAGTGTACAGTAGCACCACGATTTGAACCGTGGTTCAAAGCTGACCTGCAGCTGACCGCAAAGCCTGGTTCCTTCCTGTCCCCAGTAGGTTCTACCACTAGGTTCTGAATGCTGGAGGGATCAAATTCTTAGAGATGGACTCACCATCAATGACCTTACCAGGGACTGCTATATAGGCCAGAAACCACCATATTAAACTGATTCTGGAGAATATGCCTTTCCAGTAACTATTCAGAGGGGCTCCTGACCAGACTTTGGGACTACAATCAGTAATCAGAACTGTGGCTGGTGGGCCCAGAATCAGGACAGGAGATGCAGGCAGACCTGGGAGAGCAAAGGAAACTGAAGCGATCTTTTGAGATTGCTGTTCACCCCACTCTCCCCTCCGATTTTTCTGAAGCTCATTCTTTCAGCCCGGGCAGGATGCCTGCTCAGTGAGATCTTCCTCTTCTGCTGAATTTTTTTTTGGCTGCATCGTGAAGCATGTGGGATCTTAAGTTTCCCAACTAGGAATCAAATCCATGTTCCCTGCAGTGGAAGCAAAGAGTCTTAACCACTGGACCACCAGGAAAGTCTTATTGCTTCCTGATTTAAAACTGAAGACTCTCACCCTGGCATTCCCTAGAGCCCAGCCTTTTTGTTTTTTTTTAAATTATACTCTACCAACCAGCTGACAGATTGTATATTTTGTTTCTTTGTATCTCTTCACTAGAATATTAGCTCTATGAACGTAGGGGCTTGGGGCATTTTGTTTACTGCTTTATAATCCTTAGTATCTGGAATAGTTCCTGCCACTTAGTAGTCATTCAGGTTTTTAAAAACAAGTAAATGAATAAAGTATTCAAAGTCAGAACCAGATTCAAGTCCCAGCTCTGCTACCCATTAGGTGTGCAATCTTAGGCAAGTCATTTAATGTCTCTGAGCCTCAGTTTCCTTATCTGGATAATGAAGACAAATTGTTGTGAGGATTAAATGACACACTGGGTTGGCCAAACAGTTCACTTTGGTTTTTCTACAAGATGTTATGGGAAACCCAAACAAACTTTTTGGTTAAGGCAATATAAAAAAGAACTTAGCCCAGAGCCTGGAATAGTGCAGGTGCCTAATTAATTATAACTGCTATTATCAAGTATTATTTCATCTAGACCATGTGAAGTCTGATCTAGAGACTGTCTCTCATGTGAGTGGAATTATAACATCCACAAAACTCTCTCCCTTACGTAGAGTGGGATAAACCATGTCACACTCTCACTCTTCATATCATCTTCCCCACAACGTTCCTATACTCCCATCAATATAGCTTTTTTCTGGTTAAAACAGAATACAAGTGATCGGCTTCATTTATCTTACTTAAAATTACCACTGAGTTCTTGGGATTACCTACATCACCTTAATTGTAGCATTTCTCAGCCTATAAAGGCTATTTCTTTGGATCATTCCTACAAAGCACTTCAATTCTTAACATTATCATCCCATTTCTAAATTCTGGAAGAATGCTACTTCTTTCCTATAGATTAATTATCACATAAATTAGAACAGAATAAAGAATGATACACATTTGATATTTAAAGTTGTGGCATATTTGTTCCTGGAAAGATATTTAAGAATCCAACAGGAATTCCAAAATTCTCTGAGGTCCAAGCCCTAATCCTTCCCTCGCTCCCCATCCAAGCTGGGAAGGAACAGTCAGAAAAGTCAGCAGCACTGTTTTCTCCCTGAGATTCAGGCTGGGAGATGACTGTGATGACCGGTGGTGACTTACGGTCTCTGAATCACAGTGCACAACACAGTTTTCATGACCCCTCCTCTTGCCTCCAAACTCTCTACACTCCAAAGCTCTGGGTTCATGAAGCAAGCTCAGCTGGGCCAACCGAAGTACAGCTCATCTATTCTTATCTTGAGTCAGCATAACCTGGCTGGATGACAAGGACACACCAGTCTCTAGACATATTTGAGTTGCAAATTTAAAAGAAAGGCAAAGCGTATGTGACTTTTTTCCAGAACCATTTGGTTTTTCTATGGATTGATGTTTCTGGCTAATCTGCAGATCCCGGGGAATTAAAATATAAATACTTTCTCCTCTTTTTGAGTTTGTAAGAGAGTGTTTTTTCCGTAAAGTACTAAAGATCTCTACTCTGAGTCATCAAATTATATTTGCTTTTGTTATGCCATCTTAAACATGTATCCCATCTTTTAGGGAAATTCTCTCACCTCCCTCTCTCTTGCATACAGATATTCATCTTTCAACTTTTCCATATGCCTAAAGGGATGGTACAGAGCCAACTGGAAGAACACGACACTGTCAAATCTGGCTAAATACAAATCTGTCAATAAACTACTAAGATGCAAAATGATGTGAAATAACACAAAATCAAGAACATGGAGTTTCAGTAGGAGAAAATAAAAACAAACTTTAACCAGTATCTAAGCAGACCCTTTTCCTACACAAAAGAAGTTGTCATACACTTAGCTACTTTTAGGAATAACTCCTTGAAAGGGAGAAATTATTCTTTCTTTTAAAATAAAAAGTCTCATGGTGGATAAATACTGCATAATCATCCAAATTCGGTTTCCCTAAAATGACATCTGATTTCAAGACCCCAACTTCCTTGACGCCCTGGTAACTGCTGGCACCTCCCAGGGGGCACTGTGTATGCTGCGGTGATTCAGGTCTGTCTCTTACGTGCGCTTCCTGGATGTGAGGACTAGGTTTTACTTATTTCTGAGCAGAGCAGCACAGTGGTTAAGAGTGAACTCTGGGGTTAGACTTTTGGGTCCATACCTTAACACCGTGGGTTATGAACAGTGTGACCTCACTTGTTCCTTAACCTTCCTGAGCCTCACTTTCCTCATCTGTAAAATAGGCATAATCATAGTCTCTCTTTCATTGGGTTACTCTGGGAATAGAGACAATCCAAAGTATTTAGCACAATGCAAAATAAGTAAAATGCTAAAAAACAAAACAAGCAAACAAAAAGACTTATTAGTGTAATATAGTACTTGGTCCATTAAGAAAACAGTTTTTTTTTTGGCTGTGCCATGTGGCTTGCAGGATCTTAGTTCCCTGGCCAGGGATTGAACCTGGGCCTTGGCAGTGAAAGCGCCAAGTCCTAACCACTAAACCGCCAGGGAATTCCCAAGACAAATGTCTTAAATAGGAACATGGAATGAATTCCTTATCATTTTCTACTTACTCCTATAGTAATGTACTATTCTGTACGTGCATGTGTGAGGCTGGTGAGAATTTCCTGGGTAACTATTTTCTCTTCCCAGTAAGAGTAAGCTCCTCAAGGTCAAGGGCAGAGCTGACTATTTCTGGGCCCTCCTCCACAGCATGGCTGTCTATAAACGTGGTCTGCTTTTGCACACTAGTTATTACCAAACAACACGACTGTAGATTCCACCTAAATAGCTACAACAGTTCTTCTCTGGGTGGAACTGTTTCATTTCCTTCATTTACTGCAATTCAGGCATTTTATGTTATTTTGAGATAATGTCCAGGCTTCCCTAGACCACAGTTAATCTTTAAGGCTGTCTGCTTTTTCTGTCACCTCAGAATAGAAACATTTTCTGCGGTAGCCGTCTTAAAGGATAACACTGCCTTGCTTTGACAGGGAGTGGCCATGGATATTGTTAGGATCTCATCTCAGTATAACCCAACTATAACCAAGTGGAACTTGAGTGTTAGGAATCTGTAACGACTTTGAATGTTCCAAAGAGGAAAACTAAACTAATCTAATACATTTAGTCAAAACCTGCTTTCTAGGGGACTTGGGAGGTGAAGTGTGGGAACACATTATATACTCTTAAACATTACTTCTATGAATCTAAATTCATCTTCTTCCATCCTTGTCATTTTGCGTCCTGACTTATTAGGATTATTTGTCATTCAGTTGCTAAGTCATGTCTGACTCTGTGACCCGTGGACTATAGCATGCTATCCTCCACTATCTCATGAAGTTTGCCCAAATTCATGTCCATTGAGTCAGTGACGCTATCAAACCATCTTATCCTCTGCCACCCCCTTTTTCTTTTGCCTTCAATCCTTCCCCACATTAGGGTCTTTTCAAATGAGTTGGCTCTTCACATCAGGTGGCCAAAGTACTGGAGCTTTAGTTTTACCATCAAGCCTTCAATGAATATTCAGGGTTGATTTCTTTCAGGATTGACTCGTTTGATCTCTAAGCTGTCCAAAGAACTCTCAGGAGTCTTCTCTAGTATCACAATTCAAAAGCATCAATTCTCTGGTGCTCGGCCTTCTTTATGTTTCAACTCTCACATCTGTACATGACTACTGGAAAAACATAGCTTTTGACTATACGGACCTTTGTCAGCAAAGTGATGTCTCTGCTTTTTAACATGCTGTCTAGGTTTGTTGTAGCCGTCCTTCCAAGAAGCAAGCGTTTTTTAATTTCATGATTTAAAATTTTCTAATTTTTAATTAGGATTATAGAGCATAACAATCCCAAAAGATGGCAAGACCTTCAATCATCAGATTTAAGGATCCTGAAAAGCAGTAGAGCATCACGTTCACTGCATGAATTACAGAGCCAATCTCCCTGGGTTTGAATCCCAGCTCTGCCATATACCAACTGTGGGACCTTGGAAAAGGTACCAAAGTCAGCCAAGTCTCTATAAAAGAAAGATGACAACAACACCCTCCTCAGAGTTGTTTATGAGTTGACACTTACATTAGTGCTTGGCATACAGTAAACATAAATACAAGCTATGATTATTATGCATATGTTATTAGTGCCATGTCATCACACTTGGTAGTCCAAACCGCAATCATTACTCAAAACAACTTCTCCCAATTCAACTCTTTCCTGTATCCTCTGCCCACCCAGTAGCCCAAGTGAGAATGCAGAGTCCATTTTGACCTCCTCTCTTTTCCTCAGTTCTTACATTCAAATGGTCCCCAGGTGCCAGGTCCTTCTATGATCCTTCCCTTGAAATATCCGATACCTGTTCCCCCTCTGTTCCCATGACTGAGCTCAAGCCAACGGCTGCTGCTTTGCCAGGACTGGTAACCTTGCCGCCTTTATTCTCACCTTCTTTAGTTTGTCCTTCATGCAGCTTGAACAGTTAGCTTTCTAAAGCACAGATCTGATAGGACCATCCTTGGCCCTATTACATACTATAAAGTAAAGGCCAGCTTCCCTGGCCTGGACTTGAAGGCTTCCTACCACCTGACTCCCAGGTTGCTCCTCCTGCTTTCTCCCCTCTCATCTGCACTCAGTCACCCGTCCCTGCTGGCTCTTTGTTTCCCTGCCTGCATGGTTCCCTCATGCCTGAATGTTACTCCTCCACTCCCTGTCCAGTCAGGTGGCACTAGTCGTAAAGAATCCGAGCCTGCCCTTGCAGAAGACGCAAGAGACACAGGTTCAATCCCTGGGTTGGGAAGATCCCCTAGAGCAGGAAATGGCACCCCACTCCAGTATGCTTGCCTGGAAAATCCCATGGGCAGAGGAGCCTGGTGGGCTGCAGTTCATGGGGTCATGAAGAGATGGACATGATTACGTGACTGAGTACACAACTTCTAATCATCTTTCCAAGACTTAGCTAAAAATAAGGAAAAACTCAGTGCTTTATAGTCTGTGAGCTGTAGAAAACTAACATTTAGAAAAGATTTTTTAAAAGGAATTTATAAAATAGGTGCTTTCAAAAACTTAACTCTGGTAAACCAGAAAACTCAGTTAATCAAAGATTCTCTAAAGTTCATTTATTAAGTATTCAGTATATCTCAGGTACTTAATATATGCTTTTCTCATTTAATATTCATAACAATCCTGTTGGTTTGACATTATAACTCCATTTTAGGGCTGAAGAAACTGAAGCTAAGTAGTCTGTCCAAGGACACAAAGTGTTATAAATGACACATCTGTGATCTGAAAACTGGTGCATCTGACTCCGAGGCATGTGGTCATGACAGTGACCACTGTGCTATGCAGTCTCATGTCGTGTAAGTTCACCTGTTGGCTCTGATCTGACCTTGGTGTACATGCATTACCATTCTAAATTATGCAATGGTCCAGTGTCTATGTTCTGCTATGCGATCTTAAGGTCAGCTCCTGGACTGAAGAGGTTAAATGGTTTCTAGCACATCACCCCACATGGCACAAAGTGTGACTGTGTTGTGTGATGAAGAAGCTGTCCAATCTGACAGCTGACCTGGGCCCCTCATTTATTCATCAGGTACCACAGCAAACATCTGCTGACCACCCACCACATGTGAGACCACGTGCTAAACCACATGTTTCTCAACTTCTAAGAACTTCTTAATTCCATCGTAGGAAAGCATTATGGCATATCTGAGCACCCGAGTGCCTCTGAACAGCAGGTTGAAATGTTCTGTTTTAGAATAAATGAACTGGTGACTTTCAGTGGTGCATGTTCTCCAGAGCAACCCAGGCCTCTCAGCTCCTCTGTTTGTTAGCCCCTTTCTAATTATTCAAGAATAGGTCTGCTAGGGCAGGGGTTCCCAATCCCCAGGCCATGGACTGGCATGAACTGGTACCGATTTGTGGCCTGTCAGGAACCAGGCTGCACAGCAGGAGGTGAGCAGTGGGTGAGCAAGCAAGCAAAGTTTCATCTGTATTTACAATCGCTCCCCCCAGATGGGATCAGCCAGTTGCAGGAAAACAAGGTCAGGGCTCCCACTGATTCTGCATTATGGTGAGTTCTATGATTATTTCATTATATATCACAATGTAATAATAATAGAAATAAAGTGCACAATAAATGTAATGCCTTTGAATCATCCTGAAACCATCCTCTCTTCTTTCCTCTCAGTCTATGGGAAAAACTGTCTGCCATGAAACCAGTCCCTGGTGCCAAAAAGGCTGGGAACCACTGTGCCAGTGACTTCCCTGGTGGTTAAGAATCTGCCTTCCAATGCAGCGGACACAGGTCAGGGAACTAAGATCTCAAATGGCATGGAGCAACTAAGACTGTGCAGTGCAGCTACTGAGCTAACACGCTCTGGACCCTCCGTGCTGCAATGAAAAGCCCGAGAGCTGCAATTAGGATCCAACTCAGCCAAATAAACAAATGTTAGGAAAAAAAAAAGATCTGGGCCTTCCCTGGTGCTTCAGTAGTTAAGACTCTGGGTTTCCAATACCGGGGTTGTGGGTTCGATCCCTGGTTGGGGAACTAAGATCCCACAAGCCATACTGTGCAGCCAAAAATAAAAAAATAAATAAAAGTAGGCCTGCTAATGCCTATAAAATAGACACACATTTAATTCAGTAATTCCAATTTTTATAAGTTATTAAAATAAATACCCTCCCCGAATAACTAAAATTTTCCTGGAGCTAAGTGATATCTCTGAACAAAAGAAAGGCTAATCTATGATGGAGAGTGGTAACCTATGACAATTAGAATATTATTTGTTACAGGTGGAGCTATTTGCCCCCAAAATGCACAGGTTGACACTCTAATCCCCAGTCCTTCTGAGTGTGATTATATCGGGAGACAGGGCCTTTAAAGGGGTAACTGAGTTAAAATGGGGCTTGGGGGAGACCTGAGCTCCATCCCTGGGTTGGGAAGATCCCTTGGAGGAGGGCTTAGTAACCCACTCCAGTATTCTTGCCTGGAGAATCCCATGGACAGAGGAGCCTGATGGGCTACAGTCCACGAGGTTGCAAAGAGTTGGACACGACTGAGTGACTAACCACAGGGTCACAGAAACAGAGTATGAGATACCAGACCCAAACACACAGACACAGATGGCCCTGTGAACACACAGGGAGAAGCTGGCTACCTGCAAGCCAATGAGGCAGGCTTCACAAGATATCGAACCTGTTGACACCTCAATCTTGAACTTTTAACCTTGAAAACTATGGGAAAATAAATTTCTGCAGTTTCAGTCACCCTGTCTGTGGTATTTTGTTATGGCCACCCTAGCAAATTAATACACAGAGTGAACTCACAAATACCATAAGGATAACCTACCAGCATAAAGACCGGTACTTGAGGGCTGCTCTATTCAATCAATAATTTTTAAGTTTCTCCTCTGTATTAGGCCCTCAACTAGATGTCAGGAGACTATACAGACTTGAAGTTAGTAATGGAGAATGAAAGTGGCTTACCCATTTCCCCTCTGAAAATGTGTCCTCGGGAAACCCCAGTCACCATGAATTTCTGAAGAGAAATTACATTAACTGTTCCTTCTCTCCAATATCCCAAGAAATTCAAGAGACATAAAAGTCACCTTCTCTTATACAAACGTCTTCCAACGAATAAAATGCTCTTACCCAAACCTTCAAGTTCTTGAACTACTTCTTTCCAGACAGGCTCAATGTGGATACAGCTGAAGCACCAGTCTGAGGTGATCTTAATGAGGTAGGGTTTCTTGAAGCTGTCTGGAACCACTTCATTCACATAGTGTGAAAAGTGCAATAAATACTTCTCATCAATTGAGTCCCGTCGTTCGGAATTAAAAGGGAAGTGAAAAAAAGATTCATCAAAATAAAAATTCTCGTGGAAGTGGCGGAAGCGATACTCTCGCTGCTGCTGCTGCTTCTGGAAGCCCTGGCTCTCCCCAGCATCTCCATAGTGGTCATAATGTGATCTCCTTTCCTCATTGGAAAGAATCTACAAACAAAGGGGAAGAAAGTAAGAAATCCAGAAAACAAAACAGCAAAAAAAGGGCCATGCAAAGGACTTTCCTGTAAACACTTCTCAAGATAAAGGAAGAAAATAAATGTAAAGATACAACACAATTTGATATTTTAAATGTAGTTACGCAACATACTGTGAAACTCTTAACAGAAAAATTAAGTATTTCAAGACCAAAATACTTCAACTGTGTAGCTAGCTACTCACGCTCATCTTGGCTTTAAAGATTTTGAACTTTCATAATACTAAAGACATCAATAAATCAGAAAACTTTTTTTTTTTTTGCTGTGCCGTGGGGTTTGATGGATCTTAGTTCTCCGACTAGAGGCTGAACCCAGGCACTTGGTAGTGAGAGTGTGAAATCCTAACGACTGGATAGACAGGGAAGTCTTAAATTTGATATAACTTTGACCATCACGGTTCAGCCATGAGAATGTTGACTTAGTCGTATCATCTAAGTTGGAATAATTCATTCAAATGAAAGTATGAAAAGTTGTGAACACCAAAAAGTAGCCATAGGGTTGAATTCTACGATTGTATGTTAGTTGACTCTTACTGAGAAACAACTTGGAAGTCTAATTCAAGAACCTGTTTTAGGATGAAGCATCATTCCATGAGCTAAGCACTTTCCGTTGAAGAACATTACCTTACACAAATCAGGAAGCCATGGACTTATCTTTCTTACATATTCCAGACCAACTTACTTAAGCTGATATGTTGGAAAACTGTTAAAAACCTCATGTTTAAATGTATTTGTAACCTTGAGTCACTTTAACAAATACAGGCAAACTGGTCTATGCCTCTTTAATATTAGTTTCTAGTCTGCATGTGTGCTCAGTCACTAGTCATGTTTGCCTCTTTGCGATCCCATGGACTGTAGCCCACCAGGCTCGTTGTGTCCATGGGATTCTCCAGGCAAGAGTACTGGAGTGGGCTGCTGTCTCCTCTTCCGGGGGGTCTTCTCGACCCAGGGATCAAACCCAAATCTCCTGTGCTGCCAAGCTGAGCGTGTGATGTAAGGGAGCAGACATCCAGGTTACTCTAACACTCCACCTACAGCCTTTAAAATAGGGCAGTTTCTCTAAGAGCAGAGTGTGTAGGCGCTGGTTTCAACACTTTGGATGTGGTAGAAAATGCTGTCTCTACCACTACTTAGACTGGGTCAAGGGCATGGGGAACATACCCTTTCCAAGAGAACTTTACAAAACTGATCATCGAAGATAAGTTTTACAAAAGCCAACAGATGCATCACAAAGTTTGACACGATACCTCGTAAGCTTTGCTAATTTGAATGAACTTGTCTTCTGCTCCAGGATCTTTGTTTTTGTCAGGATGCCTGAAACACAAACGGGCAGGTGGTGACAGTGGATTTAATGTTTTACACATGGTTAATCAACATCCTCGTACACAGAGTTCACTACATCAGAGGCAAATGGAAGGGCATTTTGCTAGAACAGTTCCTTAAAAATAAGTGGGAGAAGCAATTAGTTGCTTCACATGACTAGAGTAAATGAAACTGTGAAACAGGCAATTTCTTCCCACAGTGCTTTAGCCAGGCACATTTTCAAAGCACCAGATAGTGCTCCAGGCTTTCACTGAGGAAGTGTGGGTACATCTGTCTTTACACTGCTCCTAAACACTGCTGGAGCCCAAGGCTAAGGTCACTTGTTGGTAAGAACCAATTTCTTTTCCCAGGATGGCAGCATTTCATCCCAATGTTAGAATGATATCAATGTAGGTGTTTCTTCTGACAACTCAGGTGGACAAAACAGTTTTTAGGATACTCCATGAATTTGTTTAGTAATAACCATGTTCCAAACGGTATCTTGTTGCTGATGTTCAAATTAGAACGTTTTAATTTTCAACATTATCCTGGTTATTCCATTCTGCCTCACTGCCTTTTATTTACAAATGGATAATTATTTCAAGGTCACAAGTTTTAAAAGTGTGAGGAAAGTCTACAGTTTATGCAAAGTGATTTCAACTAATATTTGAACTAACATTTGCTATTATACACAGCTGGCAATTAACTGTATCTATCTTGCTGCCATATATTATTCTGTAATATTCTTACATTTACCAATTTCAGCTTTGGCAATTTTAAAGTCTTGGGAAGTAGGGGCCGGGTTTTACTTTGTTAGAACTCTCTAACATCTAAATCAGTGTTTTATACCAACTGATTTTTCAAAGTTCATTTTATTAAGAGATTCTATTACAGAGCTTATTTTTTTTTAATAATTACTACTGCTAACTTCTGGTAAATTTCTTCTAGCAAAGGTTCTGTAAAGAGAAACAATCCACTGGGAAGCAAATGACTACTAAAAACAGTACCAAGTACATCTGAATAAAAAAATTTACAACTTGACCAACTTATTCTAGCAGAAACATATTTGAATTATACCAATATTCTGACTTCTCTAAAAATAAAGGAACTTAAAATCACTGGCTGGTGAATTTAAACATTGCTCCTCCCTTAAGTATTTAATCTTGTTATGAATATTAGTGGGAAAAAAACTCAGCTAAATGTAATGAAAATAATGATTTAAGGAAACAAGATGGTGGTTCCAAAATATGTTTCTGGATGACCAAAGGAAAAAAGAAAAGCGTTTTCAATATTCAAACTTAGGCCAAAGGCTAAGAGGATAAAAATCATGCAACTGCATAAATGTAGATTTAACATATAGAACTCTGTAGGGCGGGGGGGGAAGAGAAGGGAAGAAGGGACTTTTAAGGAGACTGAACCAAAGAGAGAGTATTGGGGGCTGGATTAAAATCACAGATCCTGAAACAGAGGAAGCCAAGGCCCAAAGACAGGCAGGAAACCACAAGACAGTTTCAGCTTAAAAGGAATATTTTCCTGATTAAGGGAAGATACCACAAAGTTGAAAACATTTAGAAAAGGATAAATTCACCTCTAGGAAAGCACCATCCAATGCTATGTTCAGTGTATAAGTAACATTTCAGACTACAATATAATGAAAGTAAAAGTGTTAGTCACTCAGTCATGTCAGACTCTTTGTAACCCCATGGACTGTAGCCCGCCAGGTTCCTCTGTCCATAGAATTCTCCAGGCAAGAATAGTGGAGTGGGTTGCCATTCCCTTCTCCAGGGGATCTTCCTGACCCGGGATTGAACCTCAGTCTCTTGCATTGCAGGCAGATTCGTTAGTGTCTGAGCCACCAGGAAAGCCCACAATATAATATACAACTTTTAAATTTCAAAGTAAAGAAAACTGTATTTGGTATCCATTGGGCATCTGCCAATAGGGAGTAAAAAGGAAGGTGCTACCTTTAAGGGAATAAAAACAAAGACAGAAAAAAATAATAAAGTATCAGACAAATTGATTTACTGTTTAGGGGACTGACCATGTTGTACCCATTTGCTTCAAATCAAATTTTATGATGCCTTTTTCTTGGGGTTGGAGGAGTTATTTTGCCAACGTAGGTGACACAAGAAAAGTACTTATAATAAAACAATCATTGGGAGAGAAATGTCATTTTTCTGAGATTAAAAAGGAATTTAAAATGGTTTCACCAAGCAAAAAGAAAGCTCTTGAACAGGGTAAGCGTTAATCGCTCAGTTGTGTTTGACTCTTTGCAGCCCCACAGATTATAGTCTACCAGGCTCCTCTGTCCAAGGGATTCTCCAGGCAAGAAAACTGGAGTAAGCCGTTCCCTTCTCCAGGGGATCTTCCTGACCCAGGGACAGAACCTGCATCTCCTGTACTGCAGGAAGATCCTTTACCACTGAGCCACCAGGATAGCCTTGAGCAGGGTAAGAAATACTATTAAGTGATAAAACAGCAGAGGAAAGCTACAAATTGAATTCAGTAATTAACCATTCCCCATGGAGTAGCTCATTCTGAAAAGTCAAACAAGGAAACTGCTATTTTTCAGTGTACAAGTGACCCTTGAACAACATGGGGGCTCAGTTGAACTGTAGAGTTCAAACCTATGTTGTTTGAAGGCCAACTGGATATGAAACCACTATGAAATGAAACAAACAGTTTCAATGATAAAATATTACCAGAGCCTAAAAAGTAGAAAATAATAGTACAGTGAAAATACAAGGGTAAAGGAAAATTTTAGACTTTCACTAGGTGATAGTTTATTTATATGTATGGTGACATAATACTCCTAAAGAGAATCTAATTAAGGAAGTGAAGCATATGATTCATTTAATTAATATTGTAACAACTTTTTCAGCTCTGGAAGACAGAAAATTCAAAGCTATACATTTTAATAGGATCCACAAAACCATCATTTTTGCTTTTAAAATGTTGTCAAAGACTATACCCTGTCCAAAAGAATGTTGCTACCTTATGAATTAGTCACAGATTTATGTATTTTGCTTTAAATACAAAGAGGCAGGAGACTGAAATGATGTAGTAAAGAAAGTGACTTTGCTGTAGAGTCCCTGGAGAGAGGCCATGCACAATCAGAGATTTCATTTTTAGTATCCAATTCTGGGTATCTCATAATATGAATATGGTCTAAAATGGTTAGGTATTCAAAACATTCAAAAGTATATTTTAAACCACATTTCACCTTTATCACCACCAACTGGATACTAAGATGCACTTCTCACTGAAGAATAATGGTATCAGGCAAAGTCAGGCACAGCCTGCGTTGTCATCTGCACGCGGCAGCTTTGCTGCTGTGTTAACTTCCTACCCACCCAGACTAACCCACTCACTCTCACTTCTGCCCAGATGGGCAAGTGATTAAAAAACAAAACAGCAAGAAACCTGCTGGTGCAGAAGGTCAACCTATGGAACCCAGAGGTAATACAGACTTCCCAACTCTGAGCCTAGTTGCTCACCCAAAAAACAGGGACAGCAATATCTGCCCTCATAGGGGTAATTATAAGGCTTAAATGAGATAAAACAGTATAGAACCTGGAGCCTAGCATGCAGTTGGTGCATGATGATGGCTCCCATCCCTAACTTTCTTTCCTTACTTGCTTGGTTCACCAGCTTTTGTCTCCTGTGTTCTCACTGTCCCTTCCTTCCCCTGTGGCTCCCCTCTAGCTATATAAACCATAATTTCTACTCTGTCATGTCCAAGGCACTGATGGAAGACACAGATAATGTTTGCCCAAAATTATCTTTAAATTCGTGGCTCTCCTGCTAAATCACAAACACTGGCATATTCCCTAGCATATACATCTACAGGTAAAAATTAAGACTTTTCTATACAATAATTTTTTTAAGTAATGCACTCAGTTCCTGAATATTCTCTTTGAATTGAGAGCAAAAAGCTCTTACTATAAAAATTTTTTTTAAAGCTTAGAAATTAATAATCTAGAGAATAGGACTGGGTAGTGTTCCCTTTAGCAATGATACTCATAAAGAGTTACTTTATGAATAATGTATCATGGGAAGGGCAGATTATATATATCATATATATACATATAATTTATATATATTAAAATGTATTTATTAATTAAAGTTCCCTCCTACTTACTTTAACATTAAATAAGCAAATAGTATCAAGGCAATTCGTTAAGCCAAAGAATTCCTAAAAGGGTTTTCATAGTAACTAGGTTTTGGATTCTAAAAAATTATAGAATAACATGAATATACGTTCTCCCATATAAATTATGTTAGACAAACATATATTATATATTTAACAAACACAGAAACACAGACAAATAAAAGCTAACCATAACTTAGGCTTCATTCTCCTGCTAAAACTGCTTAGCTTATTTAAACTTCTATTTCTTTGTTTCACCTACCATTCCCGGGCGAGCTTCTTATAAGCCTTTTTAATATCAGCCTGACTGGCTGTTCGGCTGACCCCTAGGACTCTGTATGGGTCAAAATCCAACGCAGACAGAATTTGCAGGATCAGAACCAGAACTATCAAGAATTGCCAGGAAATGCTCAACTTTTTCACTTCCATTTCTCTTCCTTTCCAGAGCTGAAATGATTGAAGAGGCAATAAGTTTCAGTGGTAGAAATCTGGACAGTCTAACTTTATATGTAAAGGTATAAGATGTATAGATGAAAAACAAAACAAAAGATATTTTGCAGGAAAAGTACCAAGCTGTTTGACCCCATCTTCTTAAATGAACACCCTTGCTACTGTTTTTGAATATCACAAATAAGAACTATTACAGATGAAGAGATGAGCAATAAGATAGCAACTCTCCAAAATCCTTGGATTGGAAAAGCTTTAGAAATGACTGAAAACAAATGAGATGAAGAAATAAGCAAATGCAAGAAAACATACATAGGGAAATCTAGGCAACTACATCTCTAACACACTATTTCATGTATTACGACAGTAACAGTTTAATCTTTATTTTTTGGCCACATCACACAGTATGTAGGATCTTAGCTCCCTAACCAGGGATGGAACCTGCACTCCATGCAAAGGAAGCATAGAGCCTTAACCACTGGACTAACAGGGAAGTTGTCTGACAATACTAGTTTAAACCTAAAATATGTGGTTAGAGAATCCCTTACTGAGCACTTGCTAAATAAATTCACGAAATCGTAAAATTTACTATATGCAAAACTACAAAATGAGATAGTTGTGATGTTCTTGGGAGTTAAATAAGTACAAGGATGAAAGTGAAATACTCTAAAATAAAACTGGAGTTACAACTTCACATGCTCCAATTCTATTCTTTGTCACCATGTCCATTCAAACAAGAAAACAGGAAACTGTCTTTAATCACTAGCAATACTGTAACTATAAGTGGAGACCTCAAATGAGAAAAAGTGGTGGGAAGAGTTTTAGTTTGCCATCAGAGAGGCATTAATGGCAAAGACTGTAGACCAGGTATGGTCTTCAAATGTTAAAGCTCCATCTCCGCTGAGGGTAGTGATTGAATTCACTGTGGATTTTGAAAGTAATCCTGGCAAGTTAACAAGGTAGCGCTGCATTGCATGGACATATTTACACTCTAGGATCATGATCTTTGTTATATCACACAATGATTTTTCAAAGGTCATATTTATCTTGTGTGTGAAAGTTGCTCAGTCCTGTCCAATTCTGAGACCCCATGGACTATACAGTCCATGGAATTCTCCAGGGGATCTTCCCAACCAAGGGATGGAACCCAGGTCTCCCGCATTGCAGGCAGATTCTTCAACATCTGGGCCATCAGGGAAGCCCCATATTCATTTTGGTTTCTCACAAATCACTAACATCTTAAGGATCAAGCATCTAATGTGACGTCTTACTTAAGGGAGGCAAAGCTGTAACAATGTGGATTCTGACAAGTAGGAGTCTAAATGCTACCTCCGAGTCTTCACCAAAGACTAATCTGATGGCCACTGTTTACGACTGAAAGCACACCGAATAAAACCCTAAAACAAAAAGAAGTTTCTTCTTTGTTAAGGCAACCTATAACCTATTCTGTCGTACAAGATAAACATAAAAAAACTAAAAACTGAGAAGGCGATGTAGCTATTAGTTAAGCACATGAACTCTGGAATCAGACTAACATTGGGATCTGTCCTCCATCGCTTTATGACCTTGGACAAATTACTTAAAACTTGCTAAGCCTCAGTGTCCTTCATAAAATGGGTGAAAATAATACCACCTTGAAAGGCTCGACATGGGAGTTAAAGGGTAAAGGATTTACTGAGCACGGGGTCAGCAGCCAATAAGCGGTATTTATTACCATTATTTTTTCTACCATGCAGTGCAACCAGTGCCTTATTCAACTGTGTCAGTCGCCTTCACTTAGAGAGCCCAAGTGCCGGGGCGCTGTGTTCTTTTGCTGACAGCCCGACCGTGCCAGCCTCAGGACAGGAAATAACCTGCCCAACAGGTAGGTATCGCCCTCGGGCAGTATCCCCTGGACCAGGCAGACGCTCCCAGAGACATGCTTAGGTCTGAGCCCCGCCTCGAGCTCCCGCCGAAAGTCGCAACCCTCCAGAAGACAGCCGCATCCCTCGCCGCCCCCAAGAGCCCTGGGTCGAGCCCTATCGGCTCCGGGTTCTCCCGGGGCCCAGCGGGGACCCGGAACGAGGAAGAACTGACTGGAGATCCCTGAGCCTGCCCGGTCCCGCCGCGTCCGCGGCTCCACGCGTCACGCCGGGAAGGAGTTACCGGGAAAGGGCACCGGCCTAACCGGCTGCGGCGTCCGTGCTCCAGTTAGTCCGCCGGGCCGGGAGCCTCCGGTCCACACCAGCGCTCGCCGGGGCCTGGGGAGGGGAAAGAGAAGGGACGAGCCGGAGGCTAGTCACGTGATACTTAAAGGCCCGGCGCACCAAAGGCGAGGACAGACCAAGTCGAGGTCTTCTACTCTGTGAATCTGTTTTGACCCTTGCCACCCGCCGTCTGCGCGTGGACCTGGCACGGTTGCCATAGGAACGAAGAGCGCTCTCCGGCGGGATCCAAAGGGAAGGTGGTGACCAAGGAGGCCAAAACGTGCCTCCTAGAGAGGCCAAGTCGCGATGCATGATGGGATGCCAAAAGACCTCCCCGATTCAGGGAGGAGTTTCCACCTCTACCAGGAGATGGCCCTTGTCTAGCAGCAGTTGCTAGGGTGGGGAAGCTATCGCTGTTCCCTAGTCTCTTTAACCCTATTCTTAGACTCTGAGAGCGTCAGAGTTGGAAGGGACCTTAGGGATCGTTTCTAGTTAACTCCTCCTTATCCTGATGGAGGAGACTGAGGCCTAGAGAGGGTTAGAAACTTGCCCAAGGCTTAGAATCCAGGTCACTTAATCTTATTTTCCAAAAAGGCGATTTCCACTCTAGATAATGTGCTAGATCCTGTCCTAACCACGGGAAAAGGATATGTGTGTGGTGATGCTGGGTGGGGAGGGCGATGGGGGAGAGGCACAAGTAAATGTGATAAGCTTTCCGTGAGCCAATGACATAGATTCCTTGGGGATATAAAGAAAGATTTTATATTCTCCTGCCTTGCTTATTTACACTTTATTTCCTTTGCATTTATCACTATCTAACATACTATATCTTTCATTTATTTATGCTGTTTATCACCTGTCTCCTCCTACTGGAATATAGGCACCTAAAAGCAGGACTTATAAAGTCTCTTTTGTTCACTTCTATATTCTTGGTGGCTCTACAGACCTTGGCACAGATAAGATCTCAGTAAATATTCGTGAAATAAATGAGTGAATGGGGCTGAAGTTTAGCTGCTCAAGAGAATATATGCTAAAGTAGATTCCCAGTCGCAAGTGGACTTTGAACTGGGTTGGGGTTTAAATCCTACCCGCCTCTACCACTCTACCTTTGTGATCTTGAATGGTGACTTCACTTCCTAGAGCCCCAGTGTCCATGTCTGAAAAATAGGGGAAAAGAATCTCATCTCCCTGTAGGATTGTAGTCAGGGAGAAGTTAGATAATACAATGTAAAATGGCTTGCACAATGCTGGGAATTAGCAATTGCTCAACAAACAGGACCGATTTTTTTCATATTTTTATGTTGTCTGTGAGAAGGTTTTTTTAAAAAAATATTGAAATATAGTTGACGTATGAGCAATTTTTAAAATGAGGAAATGAGCCATACAAACTGGTAATTCAGAGGGCAAGATTTCTGCTCGTTTTTTTCCTTGTGGGAGGTGCTAGGGTGGGAGGGAAGAGGGGAATGGAAGACTGTACGGTGGGCTTGGTTGGATTGGACAAGTTTGGAACAGTAAACACAATAAACAAGGAGATCCCGGCATGCTAAAGGATACTGTTTCACTGGGGTCAGGGTACAGAGCTAGAGGGGTAAGATGCCCTGGAGCGGGTTGAACTGGGCGGGACAGACCATGGCTCCAGGCACGACATTCTCTCTTAGTAGAAATATGACCGCCGCCCCTCCCCCGCTCCCCGAGAGTTTATGAATGTGCGTGCCTCTTTATCTCTTTGCGACCCATGGGCTGTAGCCCACCAGACTCCTCTATCCATGGAATTTCTCAGGCAAGAATGCTGGAGTGTGTTGCTGTTTTCTTCTTCAGGGAATCTTCCCAATCTAGGAATGGAACCTGGGTCTTCTGCATTGGCAGGCGGTTTCTTTACCACTGCGCCACCAGAAAGCGAAGTGCTAGAGAATTCTGGCTAGGAGCCCCTGACAACTGCGCGGGGGTGTGTCCTGGGGAGATTCGGGCTCTAGAGGTGTGGTGGGGCGCCGGGGACGAAGCTGAATAGCCTGGGTGAATAGCGGGGTGGCAGGGCCTGGGAGCCGTACAGTGACGCGAGGGTGGGTCTTGGGGGCGGTTGGACGCCGGGGGCGTGAGCGAATGGGGGCGGGGCGCAACGCGGGGGCAGGTCCGGGGGCAGGTCCTGGGGAGAGGGCGGGGCGCGGCGTCCGAAGCCCGGAAGCGGACAGAGGCGACAGGGGTCCCTGCTGTCTGTCCGCCATGGACGAGGCTGACCGGCGGCTCCTGCGGCGGTGCCGGGTACAGCTGGTCGGTGAGCTGCAGGTTGCCTCGCTTTGGGACGCTCTGCTGAACCGCGAACTCTTCACTCCCGACATGATCGAGGACATTAAGGTACGGTCCCCAGCTTCCCGCGCAGCGCAGACTTCAGGTCACAGTTGGGGGCTGCGAGGCCGCGCGGAGAGGGTTGCTGAAGCCACACCGTGACTTAATGGCCCGGCTCGCCCCCTCGCCTCCCCGCCTCACGTCCTACCCGTCTGTGCCACACAGTACCCCTTCCCTTTGGGGAACCATCGTGAGGGAACCCCGTTTTCCCCCAGGGCGTCGAGCCTGCTAAATTTCCCAGAGGAACCAAACAACCCCCAAACACCTTTCTGAGGGTTTGCTAAAGCGATCTGAGGGTTTGCTAAAGGCGTGTAATACCTTGCACGAGCAGAGTACACCCGGGAGCTGCTGCGGTGCTGGATGCCTGTCTGGAGGCATACCTGTTTTTTCCTCCCCTAGGGTGGAGGTTGCGGCTTCTCAGGTCGATCAGTGGTAAAGAATCCACCTGCAATGCAGGAGACATGGATTAGATCCCTGGGTGGGGAAGAGCCCCTAGAGAAGGAAATGGCAACCCACCCCAGTATTCTTGCCTGGGAAATCACATGGACAGAGGAGCCAGGTGGGCTACAGTCCATGGGGTTCTCAAAGAGTTAGACATGACTGAGCTTCTGAGCATGCACAAGGGTGGAGGTTCAGAGCACCCACTAGGTAGGTCTGACTGCCTGGCACTGTATCCTCTTTGAGCCTCAGTTTCCCCTGCTGTGAAATGGGAAAACATCATACTGCCCTGAGGGCTAAAAGAGATAAGGGTTGTGAAACAGAAAAGCTTCAGGCACAGAATGAGGACACATCAGATGGTATCTGTCTTTGCCCTGTCCTCCTTGGCCAGCCCATGTGTTATGTGTCTTTTAAGGAGTTTGGAGATGAGGGGCCTACTGCAGATAGTGAAGAGAGTAATAAAATCAAACATTTGAGGTTCTCTTCAAAAGCATTTATTTTGGCTGCGCTGGGTCTTTGTTACTATGCACAGGCTCTCTCTAGTTGTGGCAAGTGAGCCTACTCTCTAGTCACAGTGGGTGGGCTTCTCATTTCAGTGGCTTCTCTTGTTGTAGCTCAAGAGCTCTAGACCGCTGGCTCCGTAGTTACAGAGCGTGGGTCCAGTTGCCTTGCGGCATGTGGGATCCTCCTGGACCAGGAATCAAACTCATGTCCCCAGCACTAACAGGTGGATCCCCAACCACTGGACCACCAGGAAAGTCCCTGAGGTTCTCTTTAAAAGCACTGTCATATCTTTGTCTTATTTGACCCTCATCACAGGCCTGTGAGGTCAGGAGCGAGCAGGATGTATTTCTTACCAGGAGATACAGTGGGAATGTGTGGCTTCCTAGAGGCCCTTGCATAGTGCCCTGTAGGCTGCTTGCAGGCCAGTTTCTGCATCATCCAGGAACTTGGCCTGACCATTGAGAAAGTCTTTAATAGGACGAATATCATATGGGAAGTCACCAGTGTATAATATTAAGAGAAGTCTTATGAGCATCTGCTGTGTACTAAGGAGTGGAAATAATTTGAGATCATATGCTTGCTACCAGGAACATTCACAGGAGTGATAAACTTGAATGTCCTTGGAGGCATAATAGGTGGGCACCAGAATGGGCAGCCTCTGCCCTGCCCTCCGACTCCAGCTGAGTATGATCATACAAGAATGCTGGCCCAGTGTTGCCAGATCTTTTATATCGAGAAAAGTGAAAGTGTTAGTTGCTCAGTCATGTCTGTCCCTTTGCAACCCCATGGACTATAGCCCAGGCTCCTCTGTCCATGAGATTCTCCAGGCAAGAATACTGGAGTGGGTTGCCATTTCAAGTGGGAAATTATTTTGTTTTTTTTGGCCACGCCCTGAGGCTTGCAGGATCTTAGTTCCCTCACCAGGGGTTGAACCCAGGCCCTTTCAGTGAAAGTGAGGAATCTTAACCACTGGACCACCAGGGAATTCCTGTTTCCTGGTTTTACATGTTAGCAAAAATAGCACAGGGAACTCTGCTCAATAATCTGTTATAACCCAAAGGGAAAACCAGTTTGAAAAAGAATTGTTGTTGTTCAGTTGCTAAGTTGTGTCTGACTCTTTGTGACCCCATGGACTACAGCACCCCAGGCTTCCCTGTCCTTCGCTATCTCCCGGAGTTTGCTCAAACTCATGTCCATTGAGTCAGTGATGCCATCCAACCATCTCATGCTCTATCACTCCCTTCTTCTGCCTTCAATCTTTCCCGCATCAGGATCTTTTCCAGTGAGCTGGCTCTTTGCATCAGGTGGTCACAGTATTGGAGTTTCAGCTTCAGCATCAGTCCTTCCAATGAATATTCAGGGTTGATTTCCTTTAGGATTGACTGGTTGGATCTCCTTGCAGTCCAAGGGACCCTCAAGAGTCTTCTCCAGCAACACAGTTTGAAAGCATCAATTCTTCGGCACTCAGCCTTTTTTGTGGTCCAACTCTCACATCCGTACATGACTACTGGAAAAACCATAGCTTTGACTGTAGAGACCTCTGCTTTTTAATACGCTGTCTAGGTTTGACATAGTTTGTTTTTTTTACCCCCAAGGAGCAAGCATCTTTTAATTTCATGGCTGAAGTCACTGTCCATAGTGATTTTGGAGTCCAAGAAAATAAAATCTGCCACTGTTTCTATTTTTCCCCCATCTATTTGCCATGAAGTGATGGGACTGGATGCAATGATCTTAGTTTTTTGAATGTTGAATTTTAAGCAAGCTTTTTCACTCTCCTCTTTCACCTTCATCAAGAGGCTCTTTAGTCCTCTTCACTTTCTGCCATTAGAGTGGTATCATCTACATATTTGAGGTTGTTGAAATTTCTCCTGGCACTCTTGATTCCAGCTTGTGCTTCATCCAGCCCGGCATTTCACATGATGTACTCTGCATAGAAGTTAAATAAACAGGGTGACCATATAAGCCTTGATGTACTCCTTTCCCAATTTTGAACCAGTTCCGTTGTTCTATGTCTGGTTCTAACTATTGCATACAGGTTTCTCAGGAGGCAGGTAAGGTGGTCTGTTATATGTAAAAGAATAGATACTTGCATAACTGAATCACTTTGTTGTATACCTGAAACTAAGACATTATTATCAAGTATACTCCAATATAAAATTAAAAATAAATGTTAGCAACAAATTCAGAATTTTTAAAGAATGTGTTATGAACAATGGGCCACTGTTTTACCACTCCTAGTATGGCAGAATCACATGGATCTGGGCTGTCATCCTGGCTTTGTGACATATTACATATTAGCAAGTTGCAGCAACTTTCTTAGACTCAGATTCCTTCATCCTTAAGTTGGGGGTAATTGTAATTTAACCTCTTTAAAACAAGGTTGTTGAGGAGGACTAAGTGAAATGATGCATTTAACACGTGTCTGTGAGTGTTTGTAAACATTGAGAGAAATCAAAGCCCCATGACTTACTTGTAGAGAAGTAGGCATGTAGCTAACTTTTGCTAATGAAAATTAATCATCTCAGTGATAGTACAAATATGTGCTATTCAAGGAGCTTCCCACGTGGTGCTAGTCGTAAAGAAATGACCTGCCAGTGCAGGAGACATAAGAGACACAGGTTCAATCCCTGGGTCAAGAAGACCCCCTGGAGAAGGAAATGGCAACCCACTCCAGTATTCTTGCCTGAAAAATCTCATGGCAGGCTACAGTCCATAGGGTTGCAAAGAGCTGGACTTGACTGAAGCACGTGCTATTCAGTGTAGTGTCCATTAGTCACATGTGGCTATTTAAATGTCAATATGAAGTAATTAAAATTGAACCCAGAAAAGGCAGTTCCTTAGACATATGACCCAAGTGCTCAGTAGCTACATGTGGTTAATGGCTGCCATTTTGGACAGCTCAGATAGAGATTTCTGTTGTCATGAAAAATTCTCTTTGATCACACTTCTGTAGGATATTTGCGAACAGGGTGGTGTCTTATCCCTGTGGAACTTGCCCAAAGTTGGGCCTCAACCAGCAGATAACTGGCATCTTCCTCCTGCTCCCTGTCTCCTTCTCTGGTCTCATCATCCTGACATTGTGAACCTTGACCACTCCTGCAACTCCACAGTCCACCCAGTCAATGCCCAAGTCTTGTGGATTTCCCCTCCTTATTTCTTTTATCTGTCCTCTGACTTTTCTCCATTCCAGCTGCAAGTCTTTGCCACCACATAACTTGGCTGTGGCCACTCCCTGCCATTGTCCACTTTGCCCCCAGGATGAGTTTTTTAAAAGGCAGATCGGACACTGTCACTTCTTAAAGCTCTTACGTAGCTCTCACAGCTTTCTTGACATGACTGTGCAGAGATCTCTCTCCCACCTGACTTCATCTCCCATTTCTCTGAATTCACTATTCCTTTCTTAGTGTTCTGGGGGCTCAGGCAAGCTAGTCCCTCCTGGAGGCTTCCCTGATGTCTCAAGTCTGGGTTGAGTGCACCTGTACCCTTCCAGCCCCATGTGATTTTCCTTCTGGCATTTCTGTCTTTGCTGTGTCATTGTCTCTTTTTTTTTTTTCCTCCCATTATTTATCAATTTTTTTTTGGCTGCACTGGGTCTCATGGGCTGAGACCTCTCACTGCAGTTCACGGGCTTCTTGTTTCTATGCATGGACTTTTTCTAGTTGTGGCGAGTGGGGGCTACTCTCCAGTTGCGGTGCATGGGCTTCTCATTACAGTGGCTTCTCTTGTGGTGGAGCACAGGCTCTAGGGCACGTGGGCTCCAGTGACTGGCATACAGACTCAGTTGCCCCATGGCATGTGGGATCTTAGTTCCTGGACCAGGGATTGAACCTGTGTCCCCTGCATTGGCAGGCAGACTCCTAACCACTGGACAACCAGGGAAACTCCTGTTTGCATGCTCCACCAGAAGTGACTCCATGAAGACAGACTGTTCTCTCCTGCATTTTCAGCACTTGGCCCTTTCTGGGCACAGAGTAGACATCCCTGACATAGAGATTGAATAGATAAATGAAGACTGGCAGGTGGCCTATGCTCAGAGTAACCTCAGGCTCAATTTTTGCCCATGTGCCTGATTGTTTAGACTTAGGTAGATGGGAATTGGGGGGTTAGGTCAGCAAAGTGTGTGGATAATAGTGACATGTTTTTCTTTCCAAACAGAGGGCGGGCTCAGGATCTCGGCGTGATCAGGCCAGGCAGCTGATCATAGATCTAGAGACTCGAGGGAGTCAGGCCCTTCCTTTGTTCATCTCCTGCTTGGAGGACACAGGCCAGGACACTCTGGCTTCATTATTGAAGACCAATAGACAAGCAGCAAAACAGGATGTAGAGGCCATCAGACCCCTGGATCTCAAACCGGTGGTGCTTGGACCAGAGGGCCTCAAACCAGAGAAGCTGAGAGTGGTGAAACAGGACCCATCAAAGCTGAGCCAAGGAAAACTCGCTCCAGTGGTGCTGGGACCAGAGGAGCTCTGGCCAGCCAAACTCAGGCCTGAGGTTCTCAGACCAGAGGTACCCAGGCCAGTGGACATTGGTTCTGGAGGATTCACTGATGTCTGTGAGTACCAAGAAGGGGTGGTGGGTGGGTGTACCAAGCGGTCATTGACAAGTGACCAGTGATACAGCTGGGTAGTGTGAACTTCAAAATTTAATTTTGGTGTTGTCTTTCTGAGTACTCATAGGGGATGGGTGGAATATTCTGGTAGGGGTTCAGGAGTGCCCGTCCTCTGAAAAACATGTGTTGAAGTCTGGTTTGGATGTCATGGGTTTTGATCAGTGTTTCCAGATCGATCTATTGTTTGTGATTTGCCTTTGGGTCCAGGTGAGTCAAGTGGACTAGCCCAGGCTTGGGGGTAGGAAGGAGGCATCTATTAGAGTCTGTCCCGAGTAGGCACTGTACATACCCTTACCTCCTCTCCTCATAACAACCCTGCAAGGCAGGGCATCATTAGACCCATTCTTGTCAATGAGGAACCCAGGACTCAGGGAGGTGAAATAATTGCCTATGGTCACAAAGCTACATCCAGTAAAATACATAAATCCAAAGACCGCAGCTGGATGATTTTTACCAATTGGGCTTCCCTGGTGGCTCAGCGGTAAAAAATCCACCTGCTACTGCAGGAGACGTGGATTTGATCCCTGGGTGGGGAAGATCCCCGGAGAAGGAAATGGCAACCCACTCCAGTGTTCTTGCCTGGGAGATCCCATGGACGGAGAAGCCTGGCAGGTTGCAGTCCATGAGACTGCAAAAAGCTGGACATGACTTAGCGACTAAGCAGCAACACACAGATAACCACACTCCAGATTATTACTGTATAGAGCATTCTGGTGTCCTTTAAGACTCTCTTGTACTTCTTTCCAGTCTATTCCCACTCTTCCCCCTTCCAAAGGAATCATTATTTTGATATCTATTGCCATAGATCCCTTTTGCTTGTCCTTGAACTTCAATGTAAATGAAATCCTATATACTGTTTGAATCTGGCTTCTCTTGCCATCATTATATTTGTGAAATTCACTCATGCTGTTGTGTGTATCAGAAGTTAATTCTGTTTCATTGTGAGGTAGTTTTTATTCTGAATCATCCACAGTTTATTTAACCATTCTCTTGTTGATGAGCATGTAGTTTTTTCTTTGGGCTTTGTTTCCATGGCAGCATGTGGAGACCTAGCACTTTCTATTTCATGGTTGCCCAGTTGACCATTGCATGGTATGGATGCTAATAATAATAGTAGTAGTAATGGTTAACTTTACGAGTGTGGCATGTGAGATCTTTAGTTGCGTCATGTGGGATCAAGTTCCCCAACCAGGGATCAAACCTGGGCCGCTTGCATCGGCAGCTTGGAGTCTCAGCCACTGGATGAGCAGGGAAGTCCTCCTTGTGTGATTTGAGTTGCCTAGGCCCAGCACTAGGACATCTACCCTTCCTTCCCTTAGGCAGCAGAGGGGGTGTGTTTCCCGCCTTCTCTGTCTGCTGGAGCCATGGGCATGTGCTTAGTGAGCTCAGGCTATGACTGATTCTTTTGCACACACACTTGCCCACATGTGCTTCTTGTCCCCTTGGAAGCTGTCATTTTGGGAGAAATGGGTTTCGTGCATGTTATATCTGACTACTTTATCCTCCGTGTGGGTCTAGAACCCCTCCCTGCCTTTGTTAGTGCAGTGACTGCTGCCTGGAGCCTTCCTTACCTCTTTTCTTTCTTTCTTTTAAAAAATTATTTATTTGGCTTTGCTGGGTCTTGCTGCACTTGGGCTTTCTCTAGAGTGAGCGAGGCCTACTCTTCTTATTGCTGTGACTTTTCTTGTTGCGGAGCATGGGCCCTAGGGTTCGAGGTTCAGTAGTTTTGGCACATGGGCTTAGTTGCCCCAAGGCATGTGGGATCTTTCTGGAATGAACTCATGTCAACCACTGGACCACTAGGGAACTCCTTCCCTACCTCTTTCTTTTGGTACCTTTGTCAGTTTACTCCCTCTACATGTTGCTGTGGCCTATGGACCTCTCAAGAGCAACCATTTTGCTTTGTAGATTTTTTTTTTTAGGTAAAAATTAAAAAAAAATTTTCCATCTTTATTGAGTTATAATTTATGTATAACACATTGTGTAAGTTTAAGGTGATAATTCACTACTTGGATGTATTATGGAACAATGACCACACTAAAGCTAGTTAGCACATCCATCAACTCACATAATTAACACTTTTTTTTTTGTATATGTGGTGAGAACATTTAAGATTTACTTGCTCAGCAGCTTTCAGGTATGAAAGTGAAAGTGAAAGTCGCTTAGTTGTGTCCAACTCTTTGTGACCCCATGGACCATACAGTCCGTGGAATTTTCTAGGTCAGAATACCAGAGTGGGTAGCCATTCCCTTCTTTAGGGATCTTCCCAACCCAGGGACTAAACCCAGGTCTCCTCATTGCAGGTGGATTCTTTACCATCTGAGCCACCTGGGAAGCCCTGATATTTGAAGAAAAAAAAATAGTAATACTGTATGATCCAGCAGTTCCACTTCTGGGTATATATATTGTCTTTCTTTGTTTTCCTTTCTTTTATTTTTTAATATTGTCTTTCTCTGTTTTCTTCTAGCTCACTTAGCTTCCTTAAAACAACAATTTTGAATTCTTTATTGGGCAAATCATAGATTTCCATTGTGTGTTTTTGGTGGCATCTTGTTTCCTTAATTTTTCATATTCCTCAAAGTCTTGTGTTGCTGTCTTTGAATTTGAAGAAGGAGCAATCTCCTCTAGTCTTTATTCTTCAATGTGTCCTATGTAATTGGAATTTTGCACCAACAGTATACTGCAACTTCTCTGCAAGACTCTTGGACTTGCACAAAGGCATTCTTGTCTGTGGATGATTGTCAAGAATCAGTGTTCTTTGGGAGAATGAAGGTGGTAGAAAACTCTTATTCCGTCATTTTGATGATGTTACTCACTTTGTGGATCATTACTGTCAGTCAGGAAATAAACACATTCTTCAGCAGTAGTTGCTGCTGTTGTTCAGTCGCTAAGTCACGTCCCACTCTTTGTGACCCCATGGGCTGCAGCACACCAGGCTCCCCTGTCCTTCACTATCTCCCTAAGTTTGCTCAGGTTCATGTCCATTGAGTCGGTATCTAATAATTTCATCCTCTTCTGCCTCCTCTCCTTTTGCCCTCAATCTTTCCCAGTGTCAGGGTCTTTTCCAATGAGTTGGTTCTTTGCATCAGGTGGCCAGAGTATTGGAGCTTCAGCTTCAGCATCAGTTCTTCCAATGAATATTCAGAGTTGATTTCCTTTAAGATTGACTGGTTTGATCTCCTTGCAGTCCAAGGGACTCTCAAGAGTCTTCTCCAGCACCACAGTTTGAAAGCATCAGTTCTTCAGTGCTCAGCCTGCTTTATGGTCCAATTCTCTCATCTGGATATGTAGTAGATAATGGTATATTCAGTAGTATTGGTATTTGTAGTATTGACGTTTGTAGTATTCAGTAGTATTGGCATTTTCTAATACTGAAAATGATATTTTCAGTAGTAGATAATGGTATTTTGGGGAGTGCAGTGGAATTTTGGAAATGAGCAGTTGTTTAAGAATTAAGTCTGTGGTCTAATGGGAGTCTTCAGGCTAGGCAAAACCATTTCTAATTTAAAAGATGGAATATAAATGCATTTGTGACATGACTTTTAAACTGGCAAAAGAATATCTCCTAACAAGGTCCAGGCCCGCTCTAAGCGATGAATGGCACCATGGTTGGACCATGAGTATAGTCTGTGGCATGACCAGGTGATGGTCAATGTGTGTTTATTTAAAAAAGAAAAGGTCCTATAACCTTGTAGGCTGGTGGTCAGTTGACTTCTTGCTAATTGAAATGAAAACTCTTTTGATACTGAAAGAAAAATCACACCTTTACTCATTTATTCATTCTTCAGCTATTTGGTGTATGCTGGAATTCCATGGACTGTATAGACCATGGGGCTGCAAAGAGTTGGACACGACTGAGCGACTTCCATTTTCACTTTCACTTTACCGTGTGCTGGGCTCCATGGATTCCACAGAGAGGGAACAGATCTGGAGCTTCCCTATGTCTCTCTGTTCTAGAATTTCACATAAATGGAATCACACCATATGTACTCTGCTGGCTTTTTAAAACCCAGAATGGTGTTTTTGCAGTTATCCATGGTGTTGCATGTACCTCCTTCTTTTTTAAGCTCTGTTGTGTCCCTTTGTGTGGTTGTGTCACAGTTGGCTGACCCATCCACTTGCTGATGGATGTTTGGGTTGTTTCCAGTTCGAGGAGTATGAACAAGGCTTTGATGATCATTCATGGCCAAGTTGTTTGGTGCCCACTGTGCTCATTTCTCTTGACTATGTACCTGGGAGTAGAGTTGCTGGTCAGAGAGTAGGTGTGTGTTCAACCTTATTGGAAACTTCTTTTTTTTTTTTTTTTAATGTCTGTTTAAAAAAATTATTTATCTATTTTTGGCCGTGCTGGGTCTTCATTGCTGCGCATGGGCTTTCTCTAGTTGAGGTAGCAGGGGCTACTCTTTGTTGTGGTGCATGGGCTTCTCATTGCAGTGGCTTCTCTTGTTGCGGAGCATGGGCTCTAGTTGCTCGGTCTTCAGTCATTGTGGTGCATCCCAGGGATCAAACCTGTGTCCCCTGCATTGGCAGGTGGATTCTTATCCACTCTACCACCAGGGAAACCCCTGGAAACTTCTAAATAGTTCCCGAAGGTGGCTTTGCCACTTGACTTCACCAGCGGTCCCCAGGGGTTCCTGAGCTCCTGTTCTTCTGTGTTTCTGTGGGAGGTGTCCTCACAGGGTCCCTTGTTCCTTCCCTGTTGGACCCTGACATTCACGTTTTCCCTCTTTTTCTCTCCAGGTACTCAGGACAGAGCCAAGGGAAATGTCGATCTGGTGAGTCTTCATGTCATTTGGGGCCGGTTGTGTTGGCTTTTGGCTCTTCTGCTCTCCACTTCCCAGGTCCTTCCTGAGCTGTGTCAGGAGCCCCCGGAGCTCAGCCCAGCTGGAGAGAGTCCCAGTCCTGGGGCCCCTACAGTGCCCTGAGCCTGGTACAGCTCTTCCTGAAGCAGATTATCTAGCCCTGCTCTTTCCTCATCTGTGAAGTCGGGTTAGATCTAAGGAGGGGTCAGTTGAGAATCGGCTGTGGCATCCACCCTGGACCAAGTCACTGCCTGTCTCAGTCATAGTATTTATTTTGTGACTCCCCTGGGTCAGCCTGGACTTCGCACTAGGACACCTGGGAACCAACCACTCAAGTTTCCACTCATGGAGCCATCAGCCTAGCGGAGACTCGTCACACAAAGAAGTATATAAATGTAAACATTGTAGAGTGCCATAAACAACAACAGCAAAAAACCCCAGGCTGCTGTAAGAGAGAATTACTAGAGAAACATTGAACCTCTAGAGGAAGTGGCCTCAGACTCTCCGAGGGTGACTTGGGCAGGAGTCTGCTGGCAGAGCTGATCATGTGATTCTCAGTACGCCCCAGGTCTGGGCGACTTGTTGGTCCTTTGGGGGATCAGTGTCTAGGGGGGCTGGGTTTCTCAGCTAGTGGTTCCATCCTGAGTACTCTGAGGGGAGCTAATCTTCTGTCCCAGGTTTAACTGATCATTTGTCACACAGCTACGTGTGTGTGGTGTGGATACCAGACACCTGCTTCAGAGGGAGGCAGACTGCAGGCTCTATCCCATCTCTCCAGACTGTCCTCCCCATGGTTGAGACCCAGGGTGTCGCCTTTTCTCCCGAGGAGTGCAGCGAGACCCTGGTTTACGCTGGTCCTTCTGCTTGGGCAGGCTTACGTCCTGAACGCAGACCCCTGTGGCTACTGCCTGATCATCAACAACGTGAACTTCTGCCACGAGTCGGGGCTCAGGACCCGCACAGGCTCCAGCATAGACTGTGAGAGGATGCAGCGACGCTTCCACCTGCTGCAGTTTGCAGTGGAGGTGAAATGTGACCTGACTGCCAAGGTACGGGCCCTGTGCATGGAGAGAAATGGGGGCTCATGGGGTAGTGTCCTAAAGAGGGCCCCTGAAGGCCAGCGACTCCCCAAGACGAGCCCTTCAGTCTGTAGGACCGCAAGAGGCAGTGTTGCTCAGTGGTTACCGGTGAGAGCTCCAGATTCAGAGACCCGGGTTGAGGACTGACTCTCCCACTACCTCTGTGACTCCCGAGCCTGAGCTTCTCTGTCTATAAATCGAGACCCATGCTCACCTCCTAGGGTTGCGTTAGGTAAGTGTTAGTCACTCAGTCATGTCTGACTCTTTGCAACCCCATGGACTGTAGCCCACCAGGCTCCTCTGCCCATGGAATTCTCCAGGTAAGAATACTGGAGTGCGTTGCCATTTTCTCCTCCAGGTTCTTCCCAACCCAGGGATCGAATCCAGGTCTCCTGTATTGCAGGGAGATTTTTTTAGCATCTGAGCCACCAGGGACATTGTAGAAGTAAATAAAGAGTGCCTAGCCTACCATCTCTTCCCCAATCTTCTCTTGTGATCACTGTGACTGTCCTTTTACTTCACTACTGGCCCCGGGAGCAGGGGACTGGCCCATGATGAGGACGTGATCCGTCAGTGGTCAGGCTCACCCACGGCCCTCTCTTGTAGCAAATGGTACAGGCTTTGATGGAACTGGCACGGCGGGACCACGATGCTCTGGACTGCTGCGTGGTGGTCATCCTGTCTCACGGCTGTCAGGTAGGCGGCCTCACCTTCTCTAGCAGGCGCCCAGGAAGGCTGCCCCGAGAGGCCCTGCAGGAGCCTCGTCCCTTCCTGTGTCCAATACACCCTGGCCTTTGTGGGAAGAGCCACAGGGCCCTGTCTCCCTCCTGTTGTTTTCTCAGAAGCCATTTGGCCCTCTGAGGAGTTGGGTGCTCCTCCTGGGTGGGAGGGCTGTGACCCCAGGAGAAACCATCTGGGAGAGGCAGGAAGAGGTAAGCTGGATTTTGTTCAGAGCCGGGCACAGCTTACAAGAGCTCCCAGCTCCTGTCTTGGTCCTGCTGGATGTTGTTCTGGGCCCTTGGCTGTGAGTTGGGACACTGGGACCCACTCTGGCCTTTACCAGTAACGTGCTGGGTCATTGTGGCCAAGTCTCTCCCCTTTTCTGGGCCTCAGTTTCCTCATCTTTTGAGTTGATGGGTTGGACAGCAGAGGTAACCACCCCAATGGATTGTACAGTGTTTTCAAAACTGGCAATGGTAGCACAGAAGTCATGATTTTCAGCTTGTCCTGAAAAACCACAAAGGTCTGACCCATCAGGCCCGCATCCTCAAAGAGCAAAATTCTGGCCTGTGGCTGGGCTGGGGCCACCCCTTTGGTCCTTTCATTCACAGTGTGGCCCCTGGACGGAAGCATGGGTATCACCTGGCAGCTCGGGAGAATGTAGGTTCTCATTTAGAGCCTGTACCTTAACAAGACCCCTGTAAACACAAAGTTTGAGAGGTATTGCTCTAGAGTAGTCGTTCTCAACGTAGCTGTAACAGAGGCACCTGAAAGGCCAGATTTCTGGTTCCCCACAACCCAGGTTTCTTTTTTTTTTTTTTCATTTATTTTTTTTAGTTGGAGGCTAATTACTTTACAATATTGTAGTGGTTTTTGTCATACATTGACATGAATTAGCCATGGATTTACATGTATTCCCCATCCCGATCCCACCTCCCACCTCCCTTTCTACCCAGTCCCTCTGGGTCTTCCCAGTGCACCAGGTCCAAGCACTTGTCTCATGCATCCCACCTGGGCTGGTGATCTTTTTCACCCTAGATAATATACATGTTTCGATGCTGTTCTCTTGAAACATCCCATCCTCGCCTTCTCCCACAGAGTCCAAAAGTCTGTTCTGTACCTCTGTGTCTCTTTTTCTGTTTTGCATATAGGGTTATCGTTACCATCTTTCTGAATTCCATATATATGTGTTAGTATACTGTAATGGTCTTTATCTTTCTGGCTTACTTCGCTCTGTATAATGGGCTCCAGTTTCATCCATCTCATTAGACCTGATTCAAATGAATTCTTTTTAATGGCTGAGTAATATTCCATGGTGTATATGTACCACAGCTTCCTTATCCATTCGTCTGCTGATGGGCATCTAGGTTGCTTCCATGTCCTGGCTATTATAAACAGTGCTGCGATGAACATTGGGGTGCACGTGTCTCTTTCAGATCTAGTTTCCTCGGTGTGTATGCCCAGAAGTGGGATTGCTGGGTCATATGGCAGTTCTATTTCCAGTTTTTTAAGAAATCTCCACACTGTTTTCCATAGCAGCTGTACTAGTTTGCATTCCCACCAACAGTGTAAGAGGGTTCCCTTTTCTCCACACCCTCTCCAGCATTTATTGCTTGTAGACTTTTGGATAGCAGCCATCCTGACTGGCGTGTAATGGTACCTCATTGTGGTTTTGATTTGCATTTCTCTGATAATGAGTGATGTTGAGCATCTTTTCATGTGTTTGTTAGCCATCTGTATGTCTTCCTTGGAGAAATGTCTGTTTAGTTCTTTGGCCCATTTTTTGATTGGGTCATTTATTTTTCTGGAGTTGAGCTGGAGGACTTGCTTGTATATTTTTGAGATTAATCCTTTGTCTGTTTCTTTGTTTGCTATTATTTTCTCCCAATCTGAGGGCTGTCTTTTCACCTTGCTTATAGTTTCCTTTGTTGTGCAAAAGCTTTTAAGTTTCATTAGGTCCCATTTGTTTATTTTTGCTTTTGTTTCTAAAATTCTGGGAGGTGGGTCATAGAGGATCCTGCTGTGATTTATGTCGGAGAGTGTTTTGCCTATGTTCTCCTCTAGGAGTTTTATAGTTTCTGGTCTTACATTTATATCTTTAATCCATTTTGAGTTTATTTTTGTGTATGGTGTTAGAAAGTGTTCTAGTTTCATTCTTTTACAGGTGGTTGACCAGTTTTCCCAGCACCACTTGTTAAAGAGGTTGTCTTTTTTCCATTGTATATCCTTGCCTCCTTTGTCGAAGATAAGGTGACCATAGGTTCGTGGATTTATCTCTGGGCTTTCTATTCTGTTCCATTGATCTATATTTCTGTCTTTGTGCCAGTACCATACTGTCTTGACGACTGTGGCTTTGTAGTATAGTCTGAAGTCAGGCAGGTTGATTCCTCCAGTTCCATTCTTCTTTCTCAAGATTACTTTGGCTATTCAAGGTTTTTTGTATTTCCATACAAATTGTGAAATTATTTGTTCTAGTTCTGTGAAAAATACCGTTGGTAGCTTGATAGGGATTGCATTGAATCTATAGAGTGCTTTGGGTAGTATAGCCATTTTGACAACATTGATTCTTCCAATCCATGAACAGGGTATATTTCTCCATCTGTTTGTGTCCTCTTTGATTTCTTTCATCAGTGTTTTATAGTTTTCTATGTATAGGTCTTTTGTTTCTTTAGGTAGATATACTCCTAAGTATTTTATTCTTTTTGTTGCAATGGTGAATGGTATTGTTTCCTTAATTTCTCTTTCTGTTTTCTCATTGTTAGTGTATAGGAATGCAAGAGATTTCTGTGTGTTAATTTTATATCCTGCAGCTTTACTATATTCGTTGATTAGCTCTAGTAATTTTCTGGTAGAGTCTTTAGGGTTTTCTATGTAGAGGATCATGTCATCTGCAAACAGAGAGAGTTTCACTTCTTCTTTTCCAATCTGGATTCCTTTTACTTCTTTTTCTGCCCTGATTGCTGTGGCCAACACTTCCAAAACTATGTTGAATGGTAGTGGTGAGAGTGGGCACCCTTGTCTTGTTCCTGATTTTAGGGGAAATGCTTTCAATTTTTCACTGTTGAGGGTAATGCTTGCTGTGGGTTTGTCATATATAGCTTTTATTATGTTGAGGTATGTTCCTTCTATTCCTGCTTTCTGGAGAGTTTTAATCATAAATGGATGTTGAATTTTGTCAAAGGCTTTTTCTGCATCTATTGAGATAATCATATGGTTTTTATCTTTCAATTTGTTAATGTGGTGTATTACATTAATTGATTTGCAGATATTAAAGAATCCTTGTGTTCCTGGGATAAAGCCCACTTGGTCATGGTGTATGATTTTTTTAATATGTTGTTGGATTCTGTTTGCTAGAATTTTGTTAAGGATTTTTGCATCTATGTTCATCAGTGATATTGGCCTGTAGTTTTCTTTTTTTGTGGCATCTTTGTCTGGTTTTGGAATTAGGGTGATGGTGGCCTCATAGAATGAGTTTGGAAGTTTACCTTCTTCTGCAATTTTCTGGAAGAGTTTGAGTAAGATAGGTGTTAGCTCTTCTCTAAATTTTTGGTAGAATTCAGCTGTGAAGCCATCTGGTCCTGGGCTTTTGTTTGCTGGAAGATTCCTGATTATAGTTTCGATTTCCTTGCTTGTGATGGGTTTGTTAAGATCTTCTATTTCTTCCTGGTTCAGTTTTGGAAGTTATACTTCTCTAAAAACTTGTCCATTTCTTCCAAGTTGTCCATTTTATTGGCATAGAGCTGCTGGTAGTAGTCTCTTATGATCCTTTGTATTTCAGTGTTGTCTGTTGTGATCTCTCCATTTTCGTTTCTAATTTTGTTAATTTGGTTCTTCTGTCTTTGTTTCTTAATGAGTCTTGCTAATGGTTTGTCAATTTTGTTTATTTTTTCAAAAAACCAGCTTTTAGCTTTGTTGATTTTTGCTATGCTCTCTTTAGTTTCTTTTGCATTTATTTCTGCCCTAATTTTTAAGATTTCTTTCCTTCTACTAACCCTGGGGTTCTTCATTTCTTCCTTCTCTAGTTGCTTTAGGTGTAGAGTTAGGTTATTTGTTTGACCTTTTTCTTGTTTCTTGAGGCAGGCCTGTAATGCTATGAATCTTCCCCTTAGCACTGCTTTTACAGTGTCCCATAGGTTTTACAACCCAGGTTTCTGATTTGGAAAGTCTGGGTGGGAATTTGCATGTCCTGTAAGTTTCCAGGTGATGCTGATGCTGCTGGACCAGGGACCACACTTTGAGAACAACCAATCTAGAGGAAGCTGGCCAGAGTTCTTGAGTTAGGCTATCTGGTGCTTATAGGCATGTGAGTTTGAGACCCTTGGAATTGAGGCTGCCCAGGACCAACCTGCTGTGTTTCAGTCAGCCTTGTGCCCCTGGTGGAACTAAATGCTTGGTCCCCACAAAGCCTCTGCACAAACAGGCCATTGGATTCTTACCATAACTTCTTGGGTTTGTCACCAGAGTTCTTGGTCTTCTAGGCCAGCCACCTCCAGTTCCCAGGGGCTGTTTATGGCACAGATGGATGTCCTGTGTCTGTCGAGAGAATTGTGAACACCTTCAATGGAACTGGCTGCCCCAGCTTGGGAGGGAAGCCCAAGCTCTTCTTCATCCAGGCCTGTGGTGGAGGTAAGCCGATCCTCAGCGTTGCGGCCGATGAGGCTAGTGGGAAAGTAGAGGTTGATCCAGGCATCCAGAGGGCCCCAAACATGGTCACTGCTATCTGAAAGTGGCACCTCCATTTATCTGGAGTAGCCTGAACTCTGTCTAACTTTTAGAGGTTTGCATCTCATGATGCTGTAGCATCAGGGGATCATTGAACTATGGCCACTTCAACCTCAGACTTGGTGAAAACAAACAACGCAGAGGAGAGAGGAAACTTATTTCATTTTCTTTAGCTCCTGTCATTCTCCTGACCTCCATCAACCCAGCTCCCTCCCACTGTTGCAGAGAAAGGGAGGCCACTACTGGATTAACTGTTGGAATTCTCAAAGGCTTTGGGATTAGGGAGTCAATAATTTTTAAGGATTATTTAGATTGTTTGTAGCTTTGCTATATGCGATGATTTTAAACCTGAGCCCTACTTCACCGTTATCTGGTTTTCTTGTAAAATAAAAGAGGAAGAGAGAAGGACATTGTGTGTCCTGGATTATGGGACATGAGGTCATCTCCAGGTGATCTGGCCCTGACTTCTTTGCCTCCCCCACCTGGCATGCTGTGCCCACCCCAGCACTGCTCAAACTTTCTAGGATGTCAGGCTCTGGCTTACTCCTCAGCCTTCCTATGTGCCATCCCTCTGCCTTATCTCCTGGCCAACTCTTAATCATCCATCCTTCTGGTTACAACTTCCTGGTCACTGCTTCCAGGAAGTCTTCGCTGAATATCCCCTTCCTTGCACAGAGTCAGGGTTCGCTGGCCCTTGTTCTCCTGTAGCCCCTATTCTTCCCTTGTCTTAGCAGTTTCTCCTAGTATTGAGACGGCCTCATCCCTTGGTCAACCCTCTGAGGGCAGGGCTAGTCCCACCTTCCCTATAGCTGGGCCCCTGCCTGACACAAAGCCCGTAGTATGCTTGCATCTTTTGTGCATTCTAATTGTTTGACTTTGAAATAAAACCATATAAAAATATCTGTGAGCAAAATCTGAAGTAATGTAGACTCCCACCAATAAAAACTAAACCAAACGATTAACTGAGAACAGGAGAACTCCAGAGCTGGAAAGCAGTAATTAAGGTACCACCTTTGAAATTCGTGTCCCTGCTTCCACCCTTGTGTTTTAACGCCGTGGGGTCGTGTTTTTAACGCTGTTGCCACGTGAGGGCGCCACCATCAGCTGAGACCAGAAATACCCAAAGGTTGCGGATCTCTGCCAGCGTCTGGTGAGGTATCCTGTTGTTTACACATCTCTGAACTGGTCTGCCCTGGGTTTTGGTGACTCGTGTTGCTATTTTAAGATTCACTGTTGTTGCAATTTAAAACCATTTAAAAATCTTCTAAATGTCATCTGCCCCTTCATTAAGAGAGAGCGTGGGCACCAAGGTGGAAGAACGCACCTCAGAGTCAGTAACTCTGGTGTGAAATGTCAGTGGGTAAGCCATGTGATGAACTTGGCCAGAGTGGAGGGACCTGAGATTCGGGGGTGACCCCTCCAGAACTTTGGAGGTCATGCTGAGAGGCCAGGAAGGAAGAATCATGGATGACAGTGGTTGTGGATTTTATGTCCTGAAGGAATGGTGCCTCATCCCACTGTGTCTATTCTTATGGGAAGTCAAGCTTCCTCGCAGGAGTTTTGAATCAGTGAGGCTCCTTAAGAAGAAAGCAGTGCCTTACCTGCATAACTCGTAGGTGAGGTCTTCCCCCTCAGATTGTAGGAGGATGACGCGTGAATCGAGACACAGCCGGTATCCCCTGTCTGGCCCCCTTCTTCCTCTGTCCCCCATCCTCCCCTCCCGGAGCCCATTGTCTCTGCTTCATTTTCAGAGGCAGCCCCTCTGCCTGCCCCGTCTCCTTCAGCCCTTCCTGTAGCATCCCCCTCGCTGAAGTGCCTCCTATCCCACTGCACCCTGCCACCCTGGGCGGACCCAGCCACAGCCCCACGCTCCCAACCCAGCCCCACGCTCCTTTCCCCGTCCCACTTCAAGTCATTCCTGGAACCCGGGGTGGATTCCAGAATCTTGGTCAAGAAGACAACCGGAAGCAGTGACCTGGGATACCTGTCCAGTTTTCACAGATCTAAGAAGCCCCCGGTGCAGGCTTGGGGGCCCCCATGGGAAGCAGCAGGGTAGCTGAGAGCCAGAAGAATGTAGGCTGGAGTCCTGGTCCCCTGCATATTAGCCGTGAGATCACAGACAGATTACCAGGTTTCTGAGCTTCCGGTGAGAGGTCAGTCGACATTGGGGTCATTATTGTGGGGTTTCTAGAGCCATCTGTCCTATCTCTGTCCCCTGCAGGTGGGACACCAGGTTCCCTAGGTGAACCGTGACTTCCCTCGTTCCTTGCTGTTACCCACCATGGATCCAGCCACACAAACTCTCCCGCTCTCCTGCCCTGGGACCTGCCTGATAGGTGCCGTTTCTCCCCGCAGGACTGTTCTCCCTTCTCACAAGGGAGACTGGGTCACAGCCGCCCACTCCAGAAACCTCTGGGCCCCTCCACCCTCTGCCTGTCTTTACTGAAGCTCTTTTTAGGTGCCTTCTTTCTTTTGTTTTGGTGGTGTAGCTTGTGGGATCTTAGTTCCCCGATCAGGGAGCGAACCCTTGCCTCCTGCAGTAAAAGTGTGGTAACTCAACCCCCGAACCTCCAGGGAACTCCCTAATGTGACTTGAGTTTTTATTTTTTTATTTTTGCCTGTGCTGGGTCTTCATAACTGCACACAGGCTTTGTCCAGTTGCAGTGAGCGGGTGCTGCTCTCTAGTTGTGGTGCGTGGGCTTCTGATTGAGGTGGCCTCTCTTGTTGCAGAGCTGGGCTCTAGGGTCTGGACTTTAGTCGTTGGCAATAGTCATCCCGGGCTCCAGAGCACAGGTTCAATAGTTGTGGTGCACAGGCTCAGTTGCATGTGGGATCTTCCCAGACCAGGGATTGAACCTGCGTCTCCTGCATTGACAAACTGACTTTTTACCACTGAGCCAGCAGGGAAGCCTGTGACTTGATCTTTAATGACATAAAATAAAACTTGCCATTTTAACCGTTAAAAATTGTTCCATTCAGTGGCTGTCAGTACAGTCACAATGTTGTTGGACCATCATCACCATCTAATTCTAGAACATTTCATCATCCTCCCAAAGAATCTCCATACCTGGTAGCAGTCACTCCATTCCCCCTCCTAGCAGCTAATCTGCTTTCTTCTTTCTGGATTTGCCTCTTTTGGATATTTCATATAAACAGGATATCATATGGCTTTAGATACTTGCCTTCTTTCACTTAGCCTACTCTGGAGGCCCATCCACATTGTATTATATTGCAGTGTTTCATCCCTTTTTAAGCTTGAGTAATATTCTGTTGAGTGTTCATACCTCCATTCATCTGTCCCTGGACACATGAGTGGTTTCTTCCTTTTGTCTTCTGTGAATAATATGATCAACATTGCTGCATAAGTTCTTGTTTGAACACCTGTTTCCAGTTCTTTGGCGTGTATACCTTCTAACTGGTTTCTTTTGCTGTTTTTAAAATGTCTGCATTCTTGCTCCCCCCGCCCCCACTTTATTTAATAACCATGTAAAAATTTTGTTTTAGTAAAAGTAAAGCCCCTGTTTAGGCTTCCTGCTCATGTTGGCCCGGCACTAGGCCTCTGGCTCCAGAGGAAATCAGGCCTCTCAGGGCTGGTGGCACGAAGTGGGAGCTCTGGTCTGGGTGTCTCACTGACAACTTGTGTCTGTTTCCGCTTCCTGCAGAGCAGAAGGACCACGGGTTTGAGGTGGCCTCCACTTCCCCTGAAGATAAGACCCCCAGTAGCGACCCTGAGACGGATGCTACCCCATTCCAGGAAGGCCCACGTTCCATCGACCAGCCGGATGCCGTGTCTAGTTTGCCCACGTCCAGCGATATCTTAGTGTCCTACTCCACCTTCCCAGGTGAGCGGATCCGGAGACCTCATCCTTCTAGCCAGCAAGTCCCCTCATCTGCCCCGGAAGCAGCAGTGCTGTGAAGGAAAGACCTGGGTGTGAGTCTTGGTTCTGCCGCTTTGTTGCCTGTGTGACCCTGAGTAAGTTACTTCACCTCTCTGAGCCTCAGCTCAGGGCGAGGCAGTCGAGGCACCTAGAATGCACAATGGAAGGAGGCACACACCCTTGTTTTGGTGTGCCTCAGTCTCCTCACCCTTGTCCTGGCCCTGCCTCAGTCTTCTCATCTTTAAAATGGGAATATTAATTGTACCTTGGGGATCATCATGGTGATTTTAACAAGGTGGCTGGCCCACTGCTGAGCCCAGTGCCTGGCACACAACAGGTGTGACAAATGTTCGTTTCCTTCTTTCTTATCCCCTGGAAGACTCACTTGACTTCTCCAAGCATGGATTGCCTTGTTGGGAAAACAGGAGTCCTAACCAAAGTCACAGGGTGATGGTGAGGATGAAATAAGATCACACAGAGCCCAGAGATGCAGGCTCTGATGTCCATATAGACATCAGTCAAGGTCTGGGGGTGGGCCCACCCTCATGGGGAGGGTGGCTCCCCAGCGAAGCTCTGCCTTTCTCCTTGCACAGGCTTTGTCTCCTGGAGGGATCCCAAGAGCGGCTCCTGGTACATCGAGACCCTGGACAGCGTTTTTGAGCAGTGGGCTCACTGTGAAGACCTTCAGACCCTCCTCCTCAGGGTGAGGCTGCTGGAGGGCCAGTGTGTCCTCCCCAGGGTGGGGGTGAGCAGGGCCCCAAGCCCAAGCTAGAAGTTGCTTCTGTAAGCCAAAGGCTTTCCCTGAGGGTTGATGCTTTTGCTTCTGTAAATGGACGAAGTTACTGCCTGGAGTGGGGCTTCCCTGGTGGCTCAGTGGTAAAGAATCCGCCTGCCAGTGCAGGAGACGTGGATTCGATCCCTGCATCAGGAAGATCCCCTGGAGGAGGCCATGGCAACCCACTCCAGTGTTCTTGCCTGGAGAATCCCATGGACAGAGGAGCCCAGCAGGCTACAGTCCACGGGGTCGAGACGATTCGGACATGACTAATTGACTAAAACAACAAACAGCAACACTGCCTGCAGTGACATTTGCTCATTATGCCAAAGACAGCCTTCCCTGGCCCCTGAGGTCCCAGGCTGACGCATCCCACACTCCCCACTGATGGAGCCAGTCCTTAGTGCCAGCGTGGGACGGCCCGGTACCTGAGCACAGGCCCTGATGGCAAGTCGCAGGCCTGTACCCTCTGCCCCACTGTGTAGTCTTTACTCTTGACCCTCAAGAATCAGGGATCCTCCCGACTCGGGAGGCCCCAGTGAGAATAGCGAAGCACGGCTGGACAATGCGCCACTCAGAGTGGTTGCTCCTCGAAGGGGCTCAGAACATGTGGGGTCCCCTCCTGCTCTGCTCAGGTTTTTTGTGCCACGAGAAGGGGCTGTGAGGGCTCAGACCGCTCCTTCCTTCTGGGGAGGCTCTGGCTCTGAGCTTTGCTGAGCAGAGGAGACGAGAAAAACAGGTGCCGCGCCATCCCTGGCAGGACTCCAGGGGTGCCATGAGCCATGGCCGTGGGTGAGAAAGTCTCACAGGCAGGTGGGGGCCCATCAGGGCTGAGCAACGTGCTCAGCTCCTGGGCCCGGTCTCTTCTCTCAACTTTTCTTCATGTAGACCTTTTAATTTGACTTGAATTTTGTGAAGTTTTGAATTTTCTTTTTAGAAAACTTTTATTGGAGTATAGTTAATTTACAGTGTTGTGTTATTAATAATTTTAGGTGAACAGGAAAGTGAATCAGTTATACATACATTTAACGACTCTTTTTTGATTCTTTTCCCACATAGGCCATCACAGACTATTAGGTAGAGTCCCTTGTGCAATACAGTAGGTTCTTACTGGTTACCTGTTTTATTTTTTATTTTTTCCATTTATTTTTATTAGTTGGAGGCTAATTACTTTACATCATTGCAGTGGTTTTTGTCATACATTGAAATGAATTAGCCATGGATTTACATGTATTCCCCATCCCGGTCCCCCCTCCCACCTCCCTCTCCACCCGATCCCTCTGGGTCTTCCCAGTGCACCAGGCCCGAGCACTTGTCTCATGCACCCAACCTGGGCTGGTGATCTGTTTCACCCTAGATAATATACATGTTTCAATGCTGTTCTCTTGAAACATCCCACCCTCGCCTTCTCCCAGAGTCCACAAGTCTGTTCTATACATCTGAGTCTCTTTTTCTGTTTTGCATATAGGATTATCATTACCATCTTTCTAAATTCCATATATATGTGTTAGTATACTGTAATGGTCTTTATCTTTCTGGCTTACTTCGCTCTGTATAATGGGCTCCAGTTTCATCCATCTCATTAGAACTGATTCAAATGAATTCTTTTTAATGGCTGAGTAATATTCCATGGTGTATATGTACCACAGCTTCCTCATCCATTCGTCTGCTGATGGGCATCTAGGTTGCTTCCATGTCCTGGCTATTATAAACAGTGCTGCGATGAACATTGGGGTGCACGTGTCTCTTTCAGATCTGGTTTCCTCGGTGTGTATGCCCAGAAGTGGGATTGCTGGGTCATATGGCAGTTCTATTTCCAGCTTTTTAAGAAATCTCCACACTGTTTTCCATAGTGGCTGTACTAATTTGCATTCCCACCAACAGTGTAAGAAGGTTCCCTTTTCTCCACACCCTCTCCAGCATTTATTGCTTGTAGACTTTTGGATAGCAGCCATCCTGACTGGCGTATAATGGTACCTCATTGTGGTTTTGATTTGCATTTCTCTGATAATGAGTGATGTTGAGCATCTTTTCATGTGTTTGTTAGCCATCTGTATGTCTTCCTTGGAGAAATGTCTGTTTAGTTCTTTGGCCCATTTTTTGATTGGGTCATTTATTTTTCTGGAGTTGAGCTGGAGGACTTGCTTGTATATTTTTGAGATTAATCCTTTGTCTGTTTCTTTGTTTGCTATTATTTTCTCCCAATCTGAGGGCTGTCTTTTCACCTTGCTTATAGTTTCCTTTGTTGTGCAAAAGCTTTTAAGTTTCATTAGGTCCCATTTGTTTATTTTTGCTTTTGTTTCTAAAATTCTGGGAGGTGGGTCATAGAGGATCCTGCTGTGATTTATGTCGGAGAGTGTTTTGCCTATGTTCTCCTCTAGGAGTTTTATAGTTTCTGGTCTTACATTTATATCTTTAATCCATTTTGAGTTTATTTTTGTGTATGGTGTTAGAAAGTGTTCTAGTTTCATTCTTTTACAGGTGGTTGACCAGTTTTCCCAGCACCACTTGTTAAAGAGGTTGTCTTTTTTCCATTGTATATCCTTGCCTCCTTTGTCGAAGATAAGGTGACCATAGGTTCGTGGATTTATCTCTGGGCTTTCTATTCTGTTCCATTGATCTATATTTCTGTCTTTGTGCCAGTACCATACTGTCTTGATGACTGTGGCTTTGTAGTATAGTCTGAAGTCAGGCAGATTGATTCCTCCAGTTCCATTCTTCTTTCTCAGGATTACTTTGGCTATTCGAGGTTTTTTGTATTTCCATACAAATTGTGAAATTATTTGTTCTAGTTCTGTGAAAAATACCATTGGTAGCTTGATAGGGATTGCATTGAATCTATAGAGTGCTTTGGGTAGTATCGCCATTTTGACAACATTGATTCTTCCAATCCATGAACACGGTATATTTCTCCATCTGTTTGTGTCCTCTTTGATTTCTTTCATCAGTGTTTTATAGTTTTCTATGTATAGGTCTTTTGTTTCTTTAGGTAGATATACTCCTAAGTATTTTATTCTTTTTGTTGCAATGGTGAATGATATTGTTTCCTTAATTTCTCTTTCTGTTTTCTCATTGTTAGTGTATAGGAATGCAAGAGATTTCTGTGTGTTAATTTTATATCCTGCAACTTTACTGTATTCGTTGATTAGCTCTAGTAATTTTCTGGCAGAGTCTTTAGGGTTTTCTATGTAGAGGATCATGTCATCTGCAAACAGAGAGAGTTTCACTTCTTCTTTTCCAATCTGGATTCCTTTTACTTCTTTTTCTGCCCTGATTGCTGTGGCCAAAACTTCCAAAACTATGTTGAATAGTAGTTGGTTACCTGTTATATATTTAACAGTGTGTATATGGGCTTCCGTCGTGGCTCAGACGGTGAAGGGTCTGCCTGCAATGTGGGAGACCCAGGTTCAATCCCTGGGTCAGGAAGATCCCCTGGAGGAGGAAATGGCAACCCACTCCAGTACTCTTGCCTGGAAAATGTTCATGGACTGAGGAGCCTGGTAGGCTACTGTCCATGGGGTCGCAAAGAGTCGGACATGAGTGAGCAACTTCACTTCACTTATGGTATTTGTCTTTGTTTGACTTCACTTAGTATGACAATCTCTAAGTCTATCCATATTGCTGCAAGTGGCATTATTTTGTTATTTTTATGGTGAATTTTAACTTTTCTAAACTTGAGATGCTTGTTCCCTTATCTCCGCCACCCCGCCCAGCACACACATACACATACACACACTCAAGAAGGCTGCAGCCAGAGCTGTTTTTTGTTTTATTTTATTTTTTAAAGATTTTTTTTTTTGACGTGGACCATATTTAAAGTATTTATTGAATTTGCTACAACATTGCTTCTGTTTTCTGTTTTGGTTTTTTGGCCACAAGCCATGTGGGATCCTAGCTCCCTGACCAGGGATCAGACCTGCATCCCCTGCAGTGGAAGTTGAAGTCTTAACTCCTGGACCACCAGGGAAGTCCCTAGAGTTGTTTTTGAAGTTCTGACTTGGCATTCCCCCTTTGGAATTCTTCTTTCAGTGGAAGAGAACTCACAGGCCTCCCTGTGGTTGTGTTTTCACAGGTCGCTAATGCTGTTTCAGTGAAAGGAACTTACAAACAGATCCCTGGCTGTTTTAATTTTCTCCGGAAAAAACTTTTCTTTAAAACATAAGGAGATCAGGACCCCTCACCCTGCCTTACTGTTCACCCTGAAACCTCCCTGCTCCAGCCCTGGCTGTGGCTGAGGCCTGGACTTTTCTGCAACTGTGGCTGGCATCCATCGGAGGATTCTGTGGCTGGCAGAGGCTCTGCTGTTTCCCCACGGGCTGCAGACAGTCCGAGTAGCGTCCAAGTTGGAGCCAAATGCCCAGCCATGGAGGAGGAGGAGCAGAATGCCGTGGACACTGTGGGGCTTTTTGCCCGCGACCCATTCATGGCTCGTGGCTGTGGCCTGTGACCCCTGTGTTTTCTCTACATCAGGGCTTCTCAGCTTCAGCACAGCTGACAGTCGGGCCAGAGAATCCTTTGTTGTGGGGCCATCCTGTGCACTGTGGGATGTTGAGCAGTCTGGCCTCCATCCACCTCTCTTGAGTCTTGATAGCCAAACATGTCTTCAGACATTGCCAAATCTTCCTCATAGACCCCTACTGGGGAACCACTGATCTATAGGAAATTTTGGCTACAAACAAACTAGCATCTCTCTTAGATCAGTTTAGGGCTACCAGAATCTGAAGAGCTAGAATTTGTAAATCCTAAATGAAATTTTAAAAATTATCAAGTTTTTCTATATTGCAGTGTTCTTAAAAAAAAAAAAAAGGTGAATATGGACTCTCTTTCACCCATTTCCCCCTTATTTTGCTCTAACTTTTTATTGTTTCTTTTATATAAAGGAGACTATGGCTTTTTGGGAAATATTTCCCCAGCTCTTATCTCTTTTGAACCCCTTATCCCATCCCAAGAAGTGACTGGGGTGGGAGCCGTGTGTTGGGGGAGGTTAAGTCACTTGTCTACGGAACACAATTAACCAGTGGAGAGACATGGGCAGACTTGGGCCTTCTTCAGTCCAGCCTGTGTCTTCCTGGCTTCAGGACCCTTGTACCTCCCATCCCCCACCCACCTGCTGAGCCTGTAAGCTCAGCTTAAAGACCCTGAGCCTGTTTCTTGCTTTCAGGGCCTTAAACACGAGTACAGTTTTCTAATAAGCCTCTCACCAAGATGTGATTCAAGTAGTTGTCACTTTATTGTTATTTTTCTCCTGTGACCTTTCCAAGTCTGAAACAGTCCCAGGGACTTCTGGTGGTTAGTTATTTTCAATCACCTGCAGGACACACAAGAAAATAATTAGATTAACTCAGCAGAGCAAGCCTTGTGTGCAGATTCCCAGCTTTCTTCCTCCCCACTCTGCACTGCCTGTGTGAATCAGGCAGCTGGAGTTGAAGCAGTTCTCCCCAGGAGCTCTAATGATGCTTGGGAGAAAAGATGTCATCACAGCTTTAAATGGATTTCCTGTAAAAAAAGGAGTCTTAGCCAGCAGTTCAGTTTGGGCTTCAGGGCGGAGGTGGAGTGGGGCTGGGAATTCTTAAAAGTTACATGCCAAATGTATGGATGGGCATGTTTGTAGATGTGATTTGTTTCTCAAAGATTTGAGAGGCCCAAAATTGTTAACAATTGCTGCTGTTTGCCAGGCACTGTTGTGTGCTACGGAAGGGGCTATAACCTGTTTTCAGAAGCTGTTTGGCATCTACTAAACATTCTAACGTGCCAACTCCATGATCCTTTGATGCTGCAGGATCTGTGTAGCATAGAGACTCTGGCCAGTGCAAGGATGTATGTCCAAGGATGTTCATTGCAGCCATATAAGAGGGGAAAATAGGAAAAGAGATGAAAGCTTCATTCATTATATTCATACTATGGAATCTTAATTAGAATGAATAGATATATATGGGCTCACATGTATAGTGCGATACAGTGTTAAGTGAAAAAAACCAAGTTGCAGAACAGTATGAGAAGTAAAATCCTATTTTTGGTTAGAAGACAGCGTGTTTATATGTATGTATATAGATATTTTATAGAGGCACCTAAATAAATCAAGAAGACCACACACCAAGTGTTAGTTATGATTATCTCTGGATGGTGGGATTGCAGGTGTCATACAAATGAGGGGCGTCTACTTTTTGACTTGATACACTCCTATATTCTTTTCATATTTTTTACCAAGCGTATGTATTACCTTCTAAAATAAAAATAAAGCTGGTGAATACTGATGATTCATTGAATAGCTGTTGAAAAGATGAATGCCCCTGGCCACCTGTCTCCTGTCAACTTTGCAGCTCCTGACCTTGATTCGTCACCTGTCTGGATTTGGAACTCCAGGCTGCACACAGTGTGGCCCAGGCTGGGACCACGGCAAGGTTCCACTGGCCCCTCTGCAGTTGCCGGGTGGCCTCCCCCCGGGGACAGCTGGCAGCTTGGCTCTGCTGCTCCTGGAACCTGTCACATGCACATGTGCCTACCCTGACTGCTGTCCCGGGAACGCAGACCCTTGCCCAGCTGCCTTGCAAGCCCTGTTTCCCCTGTTGATTCCCCCTGACATCTGGCCAGGCTGTCAGCAGAGGCCTGCTCTGTTGTGCGTGTGTGCGTGGCTGGGAACAGCTGATATTGGGACCAGAAGACAGGACAGTTGCTCCCGGTCCCTGCTTGGGGCCCCCGAGGTGCTGCCAGGGCCAGCTGCCTGGTGACTCACAGCAGCTGGGGCTGGAGAGCATCCCCGGATTTGGCTGCAAAACACCCTACTTATCCTCCCGTCTAATCCGTCTTGGGCCAAGCTCCTTTGAAATGCTGGTGGCACCTCCAAAGTCGCACTCGTGTTTTCCTCTGCCAAGATGAGATCATAGTTTTTCCCCAGTTGACTGAAAAAAATTTTGTAAATTAATGGCCACTCACTCTCTTCTTGATTTTACATTTTTCTCCAACAAACTTTTCTGGAGCCTCTGGTACCTATAACCACTTGTTGGCAAAGGAAACGCCAACAGACAGACAAATGAGCAAGGAGCCGGCAAGTATTAATGGGAAAACTCGGAGACAGCCACCTGCTTGTTTTGACAGTGCCCATTTGACAGTGCTGTCTTCCTCCTGGGACCGCATGCTCACGGCTGTGGTGTCATATTTGATTTTATAATGGAGTGTTGGTTTGGTCTAATTAAACAGCTCTCCGTAAATTCAACTTAAAATAATGAAATCAGATGCCAACTTTCCCTTCTTTGAGCGCTCTGACACTACAACTCCCACTTGTTCTGTCTCCTAAAAGAGTTGAGTGAGTCTTGATCTAGTTCAAGTCCCATTTTACAGAAGAGCAAACTGAGGTGGTGGCAATGCTGGGGGGTGGGTAAAAAAGTCCCCCCCTGCCAATGCAAGGGGACATGGGTTCGATCCCTGGTCCAGGAAGATTTCACATGCCGAGAGGCAACTACGCCCATGTGCTGCAACTGCTGGAGACCATGCTCTGCAACAAGACAAGCCACTGCAATGAGAAACTCTCACATCACAACTGGAGAGTAGCCCCGGCTCACTGCAACTACAGGAAGCCTGCGCATAACAAGGAAGGCCCAGTGCAAACAAAAAGAGAAAAAAAAAAGTGCCCCCAATCAGCACAGTGTCCTCCTCTTCCCCCCTCTCCCAAACATCCATCTTCAGGCATGACACCTTATCCCTCCCCCAGGTAACCTCCAGGCCTGCCCTTCTTGTGCCGTCTCTCCATGTTCTGGCTGTTTCCACCTACTGTTGATTATATCCATGGCGGCTCCCAAGATTGGTGCTAGTTTTTTTTTTTTTTTTAATACAATTTTTTCATTATAAATGAATGTTTATTCATTGTTTTAAAAAAAATAGGAATTGAGCTGGTTTGGAAGTTTGTGAGGAACTGATTTTGTGCTCACAGGATCAAGCTCTTTGGGGACATAGTCACAGTTGTAGTGGGACCAACTCAGCTCCTGGACTGTCTTGGTCTGAAACACAAAGTCCTGCATCCCAGGAAACCCAGTCCAGGGCGAATTGAGATGATTGGTCACCCTCCAGAATATCTGGGGGACCCTTTGGTTTATTTTTTATCATTTTTTAAACTTGTTTGATTTTAATGAAAAATTCTACCACTATAAACAAGCATTGATTAAATAAATTTATAAAAATTTATAAAAATTTTATCTACCAGCTAATAAAATAACATATATTAGTCTTGTTACTTTGGGCTATAAAATAACCTATAATAGACCTTTCCCCATTAACACAGATATGGCTTTTTGAATATATAACCAAGGCTTCCCTGGTGGCTCAGATGGTAGAGAATCTGCCTGCAGTGCAGGAGACCTGTGTTCGATCCCTGGGTTGGGAGGATACCCTGGAGGAGGGCATGGAAACCCACTCCAGTCTTCTTGCCTGGGGAATCCCCGTGGACAGAGGAGCCTGGTGGGCTACAGTCCGTGGGGTCACAAAGAGCCAGACACGACTGAGTGACTAAGCACCGCACAGCACACATGTAACCCCAGAGCATGTGATTCAGCTTTTTAAAAAAAAACAGCTTGGTTCTCTTTTCCTGAATTCAAGAAGTCATTTTGCCTCTGAAAATCTCTTACCTCTCCTGTAATTATCTAAGAAAGTTGCAATGATATTTTACATCAGAGGTTCTACATAAAATTAAATGTAAATTTACAGTGGAGGTAACTAATTCTTATGTATCACTTAATCAGGGTCATTAAGGTTTAACACTGCTCTTTAGGACTAGTTTCCAACAAGTCTGTGGGGGACTCAAATGATTGGGTTTTGGGCTTTGCAGATAAATGTAGCATTGGGCAGTGGGGTCTGGGCTTACATGTAGATAAAGAAAAGTAAAATACTCCATGAATCCTAGGAAAACTGCTCTTAATGCTGGAGGAGTAATCTTTATTTTCAACCTCTTTGGACAAAGCCATCCTCTATGTGCCTTTTCACTCAACTTATACAGAAACTGTCAAGGCCCATGGGGAGCCCTGTGGAGGTTGCCCAAGTCTGCAGTTTCTAGCTCTCAGGAGGAGGGAGGGGATTCTTAGAGCTTAGGTGGGCATGACTTTCATTGGGCCGGAGCAGGGCGGGGACTTCGGGGCTGACGGCTTGTCCAGTTCTTACCGAATTGATCCAGTCATTGTAGTTGGAGACCCGTGTGAAGACGGAGGGCTTGCGGTAGTAGTTGCAGCCGAGGGAGGACCCGAAGCTGACTATGCCATGCACCTGCCACTGGCCGTTATCCGCCTGGCAGTTCAGTGGCCCACCGGAGTCCCCCTGGGGAAGAACAGAGTTGTGTCAGGAGGGGCCTGGGGCCTTGGGCAGGGGGATGGGAGGGGCAGGGGCTGCTCTTCAGAGCCCTTGTTTTACACATCGGCAGTGTATTTATATTGTTCCACGTGGGTCGCCAAGTTCCGAGGCCAGCCCTCGCAGTCACAGCTCAAGATGGCACCATAATACTGATAGGCACTAGCCCTTGCTCTTTCTGAGTGCCTGGAATGGTGCTGAGCACTTTATAGGTCTTATTCCATTTCATCTTCACGAAAATCTATGAGGTAAGTGTTGCTACCTGGTGGCTCAGATGGTAAAGAATCTGCCTGCAATGGAGGAGACCTGGGTTTGATCCCTGGGTCAGGAAGATCCCCTGGAGAAGGGAATGGCAACCCACCCCAGTACTCTTGCCTGGAGATTCCATGGACAGAGAAGCCTGGAGGGCTATAGTCCATGGGGTCGCAGAGAGTTGGACACAACTGAGTGGCAAACACACACACCATTTCACTGAAGAGAAAAGCAAAACCTCTCAGTCTGAGGTTGTGCAGGCAGTAAGTGAAGGGGCTGAGATGTGTCCCTGAGTTAGAAACACATGCGCTCCACCACCATCGGGAGTTTCCTCCCACTGAGGGCGTTTCCTGGGAGCTGGTCTGCATGGGCAGAAAGTGGAGGTCTCCAGTGTGATCTGAAGGACACAGGAGGCTCCTTCCTGCTCTGTGCTCACTCGGCTGCAAAGTCCACCACATAGCAAGTCTGTTTGGTTAAGATGGTGTGTCTAGAAAGTCTGTGTGGTAGCTACCCTGAAGCGACAGACATGAATGGGGTTAATTCAACAGATAGACCTGAAATCATCTCAGAAAGGTACTGACTCAGCAAATAGGTCCCCTTGTCTCTCTTCCGACAAAGAGGGAAAGAATAAGATTGATGACAGTAATGAGAGACCTCAATGGAACTCAAGGCAGGACTTTCCAGCAGTGAGAGGGTAGACACTATTACAAGGAGAATCTCAAAACATCTTTTCTGGAGACTGCAAGGGCAAAGGTCAGGGTCTCAACCATGTGAAGCTGCTTCCTAGCACTTCTGCCGGCAGGTGGGAGGATGGAGTCTAGGACCCCGACACACTCTCCCCACCTTCAGCTCCATTTTGTTGGGAGGGGATGACTTCCTGGACTCACATTGCAGCTGGAGGTCACGCCGTCACCCCCAGCACAGATCATATTGGTCTTCACAGTGCTGCCCCACCAACTAGGTTGGGAGCATGTGGCATAGTCCACAACCAGCAGTTTACCCTGCTGCAGGATGTCAGGAAGAGCTCCATTGGCTGCATGAGACAAGAGAGAAGGTGTTACAGGGACAAAGGGAAAAAGCAAGTAGGGGATGCCTACTGAATTTTATGCCCAGCCCCTTTTTCTCTGGTCCCTCTTACTTCCCTCCATCCATAGGGTTGCCATGGAAGCAGTCAATTTGCCTACACTGTATCCTCACAGTTGATTGGTCACTGCTGATTGGTGCAGGGGTGAACACCTGTCTCCAGCTAAGCCAATGAGCTCCTTTTCCTGGGAATTTGGGGTTGGGACTAAGAAATCCCCGCCAGAGAGGATATAAATCTGGGAATTGTTGGTAGTGGCCACCATTTTCTTCTAGGGAGAGAAGGATGAAATAGACCCATGAGGAAAAGAAATTCTGAGAGAGGGTTTCCTGAGTTTCTAACAATCTTTCAGTGTCCAATTTTCTTCTGTTCGTTAAACCTGGCTCTCTCTGCCCTTGACTGAGTCTCTCCTTGTTCAGTCATTTAGTTGCATCTGACTCTTTGAGAACCCCATGGAATGCAGCACGCCAGGCTTTCCTGTCCTTCACTATCTCCCAGAGTTTGGTCAAACTCATGTCCATTGTGTTGATGATGCCATCCATCTATCTCATCTTCTGTCACCACCTTTTCCTTCTGCCCTCAATCTTTCCCCACATCAGGGTTTTTTTGCCGTGAGTCTGCTCTTTGCATCAGGAGTTCAAAATATTGGAACTTCAGCTTCAGCATCAGTCCTTCCAAGGAAAATTCAGGGTTGATTTCCTTTAGGATTGACTGGTTTGATCTCCTTGCTGTCCAAGGGACTCTCAAACATCTTCTCCAGCACCACAGTTCAAAAGCTTCAGTTCTTTGTCTCTCAGCCTTCTTTGTGGTTCAACTCTCACATCTGTTCATGACTACTGGAAAAACCATAGCTTTGACTGTATGAACCTTTGTCAGCAAAGTGATGTCTCTGCTTTTTAATACACTATCTAGGCTTGTCAAAGCTTTTCCTCCAAGGAGTAAGTATTTTTTTTATAATTTCGTGGCTGAAGGTGAACACTGAATCTCTTAAATCCTTATAACAAACTCCCCTTTTGACTGAGTTGGCTCCATGGATTTCTACCACTTACCTTAATATGACAATGAGCCTGCTGGCATTTGGAGCCCCAGGTTGGGAAAAATATTTGAATGTGTTGAAAGTAGAGCTTTCCTAATTGTTCCCAATGACACTGCCATCACACTTTCATTACTATCACCACTGCTACTAATGGCCAGGCTTAATAGTATTCTTCACTTGCATTTTATTAGGCTTTTCAAATACTATGCTAATCCTCATGATAGATATTTATTCCTATTTTGACAGCTGTGACACTGAAGCCAAGAGAAGTTAAGCAGTTTTCCCAAGAGCACTCTAATTAACTCTATTCTAACCTGTGTTACATTTTGTAAGTATATGGGCATTTTCCCATCTCTTTTAATGTTCACCAACTGTATTTCCATTTTACAGAGGAGGAAAGTGAGGCTCCAACATGGCTTGCCCAAGGTTACACAGCTAGTGGCCAACATAGATGAGAATAAAATCAAGCACTTGGACCCTTCCCTGGCTCTTGTTGCCTCCAGTGAAATACATTCTGCCTGGGTGTTTTCTGATAAATGAACCAGTGACTGAATTTGTATCTCAATAAGTAAGAGATACATCTCCACTTCTCACTTCTGCTAAGTGTCCATGGGTCCTGTTTTTGCAGATAAGCCAGGCAAGAGGGTGATGTCAATTTGAGTGTATGTGTGTCGATGTATCTCTGTAAAAAAGTGTCACTTACAGGTTTGTCGTTATGAGAAAAAACAGCCACTTATGTGCATGGGCCTTCCTAGAATTTTCCAAATCTTTGGTGATTTCACAAGAGGAGGGCAAGTCCTCTGCTCCTTCTTAGTGCCTTACTGTCATTGGATTTCTGACCCTTAGGGCTTATGTCAAAAGGAGACCCACACGTGGTCAGAGTCTGAGTGGCAAGGTCAGGCGGCACATGACGAGTGAGGTTTGAGATGGGAAGGGGGGACCTTTGTGGAGCTGTAGAATCCTGAGGTCAGGGGGTGAATGCTATTTTAGGCTCTGGCTTTGGGTCACAGGAGGGACTTCCATGCCAGATGTCATGTAGTCATGGTATCAGTGACAACAGCTAACACATCGCACCATGTGCCAGGCACTGGTCTAAGTGCTTCCCATGGATTATCAACAACCTTGTGACACAGAGCCTGTTATTATCCCCATTTTACAGATGAGGAAACTTCAGCATGGAAAGGCTAAGCAATCTGCAGGTGGCCACACAGCAAGTGAGTGGAGGAACTGGGATTTGAACCCAGGCATTCTGAATTCTTATCTATGTGCGTGCATGTGTGCGTGCTCAGTCACTTCAGTTGTGTCCAACTCTATGTGACCCTATGGCCTAGCCCACCAGGCTCCTCTGCCATAGGACTCTCCAGGCAAGAGTACTGGAGTGTTTGCCATGCCCTTCTCCAGGGGATCTTCCCGACCCTGGAGATGAACACTTGTCTCCTGCATCTCGTCTCCTGAATTGCAGGTGGATTCTTGACCCACTGAACCACCTGGGAAGCCCTTATCTGTCTATACTGTCCTCCTTCTTCAAGGCAGCAGGCACTTCTTCCAGACTCCTTGGAGGATGAGTGGAGAGAAAACCCCTGACTGAACAGGGGTGACATCGCCCCCCTCCCTTGGGAGCCATGGGGCTCCCAGCACCCACTTACTCTGCAGTCTTCCCCAGCCCGTGACGTAGCAGACATAGTTGTTGGGCAGGATGGTGCCAGCAGGCGGCAGGCAGCCCAGCTGGATCTTGTCAGTCAGGGGGACAGAGCTGGCCAGTTTGAGCAGGGCAATGTCGTTCCTGGGTTGGAAAAGAAGCAGACCATAACCAGAGGGTTGACTGGTTCTGTCCCAGTTATATTTCTGATTCGAGCCCCAGCTGGGATCACTGAACCCTGTCCCCGGCTGGACTGATGCTGAATCTTCCTTCTGTTGGGGTTACGAGGGATTGGGAGCAGCTATGGTTAAACCCCAAGATTGCATTTAAAAGAAAATTTTGGCCACATTCAGCAGCGTGTGGAATCTTAGTTCCCCCACCAGGGATTGAACCCACACTCCCTAAAGTGAAATACAGAGTCTTCACGACTGGGCCACTGGAGAAGTTCCCCCAGGACTGTATTTTGTCCCTGGTGGAGCTTGAAGACCTAAATTCCTAAAGGCCTTTCAGGGGACTGTTTAAAACAGAGAGGGCAAGTAGGTCTGTCTTGCAAAGTCCACTCTGATGGATTAGTTGCCTGGCAGGCTGTGTTGACAAGGACTCTGAGGTTCTTCCCAGGATCAGCAAGGGAATAAATCCATGATTGCTTGGTGATGTCCATGCTGGCCTTGTACTTCCTGTGTTTGGTTTAGAAAACAGCAGATGTTCAGATGGAAAGAACTTTTTGCTTTTATTCTTCACTCTCTCTTCCACCTTGAGCTCTGCTGTCAGATTTATCCTTGAGTTTCATGTCCTTGTCTAGAAAACTTTTAGCGATTGGCGGATCACATTCTCCATGATGGCTGCAATGAGATCTCCCACCTATTGGTGCTTGTTGCAATGTGATGTTGACACTTTGTCCACTGAGAGTTGAGGGTCTCAGTTTCTTCCTCCTGGCTGGGGATGGGGGGCCTGTGATATTTAGGAAGTGACACCATGTGACTTCTGAGACGAAGTCATGACAAGAGATGAAGCTTCTGTCTGATCTTTCAAGATTTCTTTTCTGGGATCCTAACCTCTGTGCCATGAAGAAGCCAAGGCCACATGGAGAGGCCACGCAGAGAGGCCATATGTAGCTAAAAATCTCTCTCTCCACTCTCTGCCCAGCCATCTCCTTCCCATCTCTTAAAGCTTTTCTGGACACATTTTGTGTCATTTTATGGCTTTCCAGTGTCTTGTCTGTGTGTGTTTCATCTAGTAAACTAGTCCCTTTGGGGGCAGAGACTGACTTATGACTCACGGACTCCTTGCATCCTTTCTTAGCCATCATCAGTGCTGGACCACAGCAGGCTGCCCAGATGAAAGAGCGCGGAGAGTTACGGCCACAGGGCATCCTCTGCTCTCTCCTGGGCTGTGACGTAGAGTCATCAGAAGATTTGGTGAGTGAGCTTTCTGGTCAGTCATTCAAGAGTGGCATCTTGAACTGCAGAAGAGGCCTTGTGTGTGGTTAAAGTACGCAAATTTGAAGAGATGGCTGGGGTTCTTCTTTCTAAAGGCCCTTCTGGAACTGCAGACGTGCTTTGGGGGGATAGGATGATGGATACTTCTGGGTTCTAGGATGGTGATGGGGAAGCAGGAAAAGGGAAGATAACTTTCTGTCCCTGGTGGGGAGATGCCAGCAATGCCACATGGTCGTTATTCATATCTAAGTCAGCAGTCTCCTTAACCACCCCCCGCACTGCCTCACAGCCACGCTTCTGGCCATGGGCTCCCTGAGAGTGGCTGTGGTGGCCTGTGCACCTCTATGCGTCCAGCACCCAGTGTGGTATGTGGAACACGGGTGGGGCGGATGGTCACCAAAGGCTCAGGGTGAGCATGGGGTGGCATGTGCTCGCCTAAGAAGTTGAGGGGTGAAGTAGAGTCTCCCTGCTGGTCGGGGAACCATCACTAGGGTTTTGCAGAGCTCTGAACCCTTGACTAGCTTCCTGTGTCTTTTACCGAGGCTCCCTTGCAGGGCATCAGGGAGTCTTTGTGTTTAAAAGATCTTGTTGGGAGGACATACAGGGTGGAGGAAGGCAGGAAGGACCATGTCCCACTCTGCTCTTGGACTCCATTCCCAGTCATGGGGCCTGTAGAGCCATCTCTTTGTCCTCAGGATTTGGCACAGAATAAATCCATGGTCAGTGTGTGCCTGGGGTGGATGGGAACCCTGTAGACTTAACTGGCAGGAGATCTAGGTCTCCCCTCCCCCACCACCCCCAGTCACACGCCAGTCCAGGCATCTTTGGGGCCAAGAACCTCTCCCCGCTCCCTACAGAAGGAGCAAAGGATGGGACGGCGCCCACTTTTTTCTGTGAGATAGCCCACCCCCAGTCTGTGTCCCTGCCAACCCACCCTGCAAGTGCACCCAGACAGAACGTACCCTTGGGCGAGCTGATTGGAGTTCCACTTCTCGTGTATCACGGACTTGGAGACGGCGACCGTCAGTGAGCCAGACTCACTGGTGGAGAGACTCTGCCTGCCCACCACCACGCGGTAGGTCCTGGAGGAGCTGGGAGAGAGGGGGCCGGGCAGGGAAGGTGAGCTCTGGGCTGTCCTTTCCTCTCTCTGAGCCCTGTGGGCTGGGACACCCCAGTGAATGTACTGGTTAGAGACCAGCTCTGGACAGTGCTGGCCGACCCGAACCAGCTCCTGCTCCAAGAGCCACTAGTTGGCACTGGGAATTTTTCTTTCCTTGGGGCAATCGGTTAGTTGCAACATAACATTATAACTATAACAAAACAGTAATTACAACTACTTTATGCCAACTGTAAACAATAATATAAAATAAAAGTTATAATAATATAAGCTCTATATTACTATAAGGGAAGTGAGAAGGATACAGATAACCGTAGTCATTTGACTTAAAGGGCATTTTTTATTTTAATCTTTAAATTTTATTATCTTTTTTGGCCACAGCTATATGGCATGCAGAATTTCCCTGACCAGGGATCGAACCTGTGCACCCTGCAATGAAGCACAGTCTTAACTACTGGACCACCAGGGAAGTTCCCAAGGCCATTTTTTTTAGCTTAACTCCTCATTTCCTGTTTTTAAATGGGGAACCCGAGGCTTGCTTGTGTGTGTGTGTGTGTGTGTGTGTGCGTGCTCAGTCGCTCAATTGTATCTGACTCTTTGTGACCCAATGGACTGTAGCCTGCCAGGCTCCTCTGTCCATGGGATTCTCCAGGCAAGAATACTGCAGTAGGTTGCCATTTCCTTCTCCAGGGGATCTTCTTGACTCAAGAATCAAACATGCATCTCCTGCGTTTCCTGCGTGGCAGGCGGATTCTTTACCCTTGAACCACCTAGGAAGCCAGCCTGAGGCTTAGGAAGGACTAACTGGTCCAAAGTTTTACTCTCCAGCTCGTTAGTGACAACTCAGAGCTGAAACCAGGACTCCTGAATCCCAGACCTCTGTGATTTCCCCCACCACCTCACAGAACTTGTAAATTAGGTGGAGAGAAGGGACCTCCCCTGACAGTGAGAGTGTCTCACTGGCCCAGTGGAAACGCCAGTGAGCGCCAGCCTGGGTGAGCTAAGCAGAGGCTGTAGCGAAGGAAGAGGACAGGTGAACAACAGATGTCACAGAGCCTTTCCTTTCCCTGTGGGCCTTTATAATGGTGCTAGTTTCACTTTTATTGAGCACTTATTCTGTGCTGGCCCGTTTAATGCATCATCTCATTGAATCCACACTAAATACCCATGGATGCTTCCCTGGTGGCTTAGTGGTAAAGAATCTGCCTGCCAATGCAGGAGACACGGATTCAATTCCTGGGTTGGGAAGATCCCCTGGAGAAGAAAATGGCAACCCACCCCTGTATTTGTGCCTAGAAAATCCCCTGGACAGAGGAGCCTGGCAGGCTACAGTCTATGGTGTCGTAAAGAATCAGACACGACTGAGCGACTAAACCACAATTACTGCAAATATTGTTATCTGCTTTTTTGCCAGTGATGGTATTCAGACTTGAAGAAGTCATTCAAGTCGCTCAAGGGAACCCAGTTCCAGATCCAGAGGCCATATCTAGTTCGCCCCAAAAGGGCAGGAAATGGGCCTCTCCCCCCCATAGTTCCCCTCAGTGCCCCCGCACAGGATGGTCAATCCATATCATATATGTGGGTCTATCAACTGACCAACAGACTGAACCACAGATCGAAGAGAGCGTATTTCTTGGCCAAGAAAGTGGTTATATGCGATGCTCCTATATATGGGGTGGTTTGGGCCATCTGGGCTCTAACTCTGAGAGACGAGTGCTGGCCAGTAGGGTGAGCGGGCGGGGAGACGGGGGAATAGGAATTACCTGATGCAGTGGGCTGCTGTCAGGACCCAGTTTTGTTTTATCAGAGACCCTCCGCAGGTGTGATGCCACTGGCCGCTGGAGCTGTACTGCAGGGAGACCTGGGAAGAAGCACAGGTGATCCCATAGCTGAAGGGCCGGGCCCTCTGCTCGGCAGCATCCCGGCCCGGGAGTGGGGGCAGGGGAAGCTGAGCAAGCAAGACACTTGCCTCAGGTGCAAAATCTAAGGGGGCACGAAGAAACTCTGTAGTCCAGCTACATAGCATTTTAATAATCTTTAGAAAATCAACACAAAAAAAATCTATGATGAGCAAAATGTCACAAATGTAAATAAAAACACTATTAAGAAGTAATTAGTTAAAACAAATTTTTTTTGGCTGTGCTGCAGGGCACGTGGGATCTTCGTTCCCCAACCAGGGATGGAAGCCACGCCCCTTGCGTTGGATGCGGGGAGTCTCAACCACTGGACTGCCAGGCAAGTCCAGGAAGTAATTGTTTTGAATATCTTTCTGCAGTGCGACTTGTTGGGATTTTTCCTTTCTTGGGAGCTATTTCTTCAGGACATATTCTTCCAGTTTAATATGTGTAAAGCAAAATTTTGCTCCCCACATCCACTCCCCGAATCTGTGATTTCCTTAAGTTTTCTTGTCTTGGTAAATGGCAAACCCGCTGTAAATAGTGGGCAGAATGATCCTTTTAAAATGTGAAATTAATTATGTTTCTCCTCTGCTCTGACCTGCCTGTGGCTTCCTGTCTCATACTATGTAACCTCCAAACTGTACAATGCGCTACAAGGTTCTACATGACCACCCTCACCTTACAGGCTCTCATTCCCCTTTCTGCTCCAGCCACACTGACCTCCATGAGGTTCTGGAAACACAACAAGCTCATTTCTTCCTCAGAGCCTTTGCAATTGCTATTCCCTCTCTCTGAACTAATCTTCTCTAAAGTCTTAGCATAGCTTTCTCCTTCACTTCCTGCAGGTCTGTGCTCAAGGTTACATTCTCTGTGGGGTTCTCTGTGACCACCTTATCTAAGAGTATGCACACTCATGTCCACACAAGTGTACACGCATATCCTTACACATCCATGCACACATATGGACACACACAGTTCTTTCCTCTTATCCTGTTTTGTTCTTCATCATAGTGTCTAACATCACCTGATGTTATGAATTTGCCCATTCAATTGTTCACAGTCTCATTCTCCCACTTTAACATAAGCTCTGTGAATTTTATTTCCACTGCTATATTCCAGGTGCCTAGAACAGTTCCTGTCTCATAGTGGGTCCTTAATAAATTGAACAAGTGAGTTAATCAGAAAATGAGGGAATGAATGAACATGGACTCACCAGGGCAAGTGTCTGGTCTCTCTTGCTGAACTTGTCACCTATTGCTCTTCAGTTTTTCCTTGAAGACTAAATCCACTCATAGGAATATGAAAATACTTAAGTGTACCCCTGACGACTCCTCCACTTTTTTTTTTTTAAAGAAAAACTTGTTTCTACTTAGATTTGATAGTTTAATAGGTGTGGATTGGAACTTTAAGATGGTTGCATTTGGCACCATTTGGGTCTCTGTGGGAGCTGTCCCATCTCCTTCCCCTTGGAGTTCCTACCATGGCCAAATAGAAAGGAGAGGGGTGACAGAGAGCACTGCCTGCTCTGACCGTGGTTCCTGGGGAGGAAGAGCAGGGGTGATGCTACTTTTCTCCAAACATCATTTCTGATTATCCCCATGACATTTTCTTGTTTGCTTCACATTAAGGGGACTTAGATTAACTGACTTTTTTAAAACAATGCTTAAAATTAGACAAAATTAAAAAGATACCTAAAAGGATGCCCCACCCCAAAATCTCCAAATAGATGGAAATCATCCTACCGATGTGAAAATTTGAAATAATGTGTAAACATATAATTTGTGGGGAGCAAAATGTGGCCACAAGAGCAAAGGTTAAACCAAATTTGACTCTGTACTTTCCTTCAGGCTAACTGGGTCACTTTGGTCGATTATATAACTTTGATGAGCCCCAGTTACCTTGTCTAGAAAATGGGGATTATAGTGCTTGTCTAGGGCTCTTGGGATGATTAATAATCATAATAGCTAACACTTTAAATGTCTAATAATTTGAACACTTACCATATACCAGACACTGTTCTGAGCTCAGAGTGTAAATAAGCTCACATCACAATCACAGTAATCTCATGAAGCACATTATTCCCACATTACAGACGAATAAACTAAGGCAGTGAATAGAAATTTGTACAACCTGGTCCACATCATAAGTGGTGCTGTATATTTTTAATATTACTCACTGAGAAAGGTAAATTGAGTTGCTTCACTTGTACAGCCAGTATGTGACATAGTATGAATAGTCTGGCTCCAGAATCTATGTGGAAACTTTACACATCCTACTTTATTATTATCTTTTTTTTTTTTTTTGGCTATGCCCTGCAGCATGTGGCATCTTCGTTCCCTGACCAGAGATAGAATCCATGCCCCCTACAGTGGAGATGAGGGGTTTTAAACACTGGGCCACCAGGGAAGTCCTACACACCCCACTTTAATTTTAAATCATCTAGCACTTTATTTTCCAGTGTCTAGTGGATTGTGACCTAGAATCATTATCTTGAGATGAGTGTGGAACAGAAGAGACCTCTCAGCCAATGCCGATCAAATTATATTTGTTTAAAATATTGGCTTTGTTTTAAATTTTGATATTTTGTTCATTATGATAGAGTTTGATTTTTTAAAAATATTGCATTAAAAATTCATTTTGGTTACTGAGTTTTGTGGTGCTTCCTTAACTTTTGCCCCCAAAGTGAGGGTCTCGTTTGCCTCACCCTGGTCCCCACCCTGCTTGACCTGCCCACCCATCCTGATTAAAAAAATCTCCTAGGGAAGCAGAAGCAGGAAGTGTAGTGAGACTCTTCTAAGACTAGCATCAGTTGGTTCCCAAGGCAAGGGTACGTTTGTGTCAGCAAGTGGTACAGAGGTGGAGCAAATGGTCCAGAGGGTGAGGAGATATTTTGGTAGGCAGCATTGATTGATTCTCTGCACAAGGGTGACCTCTACTTAAGGGGGAGGTATGGGCCCCCTCTTCCAACTTCCCAGAAAAACTATATTGTGGGAGTGTGAGAAAAGTAGAACTGGCAAAAATACACAGAGCTAAGTATTGGGTTGGCTAAAAAATTCGTTTGGGTTTTCTTTAGGTAACATCTTACAGAAAAATCTGAATGAATTTTGTGGCCAATCCAATACATAAATTGCAAATTGTCTATCACTGTCTATGACTGAAGCTCTCCTAATTGAAGGGAAGATGAATGGATGTTGCATTCCCTCCATGAAACCTACTGATGGCTTCATGGGGCACTCTGAGCACTCACTTATGTTGTAAACTCACCCCACTCAACCTTTCTGCTCCCAAACCCGTGTATACCAGTTGTACTCATATTGTAATTATGTGTATTAATTAAATATGTAATCAATGAAATATGAGTTCTAAAAGATAGTTGTGATTTACATGGAAACTAAGGTAAGTGCTTGGAAGAGACCAGATAACCATGAATTTTAAAACATTGCTGTGAATTAGGCATAGATGAAAAAACTGAAAAACTGAGAAAAAAAGGTCATCACAATCTGGAAGGGCTGTCAGATTGCTTCTTGAGTATCTCGTAGTCAGTTACTCTACTTTAAATAAATGGAATTAAATGAAAAAGAAATAAAGAAATGGAATTACAGATGATATATTGTGGGGATGATTTATACAAGATAGATTGGTGCCTGATGTGTATTTACAAGTTTTCAATTAAAATAAGTTTTAAAGGATATATGTGTGATTTCTAATAATTTATCTATAACCAACCTTTCAATTTGTTGTTTAGTCTCTAAGTCTTGTCTGACTCTTTGCAACCCCATGGACTGTAGCCCCACCAAGCTCCTCTGTCCATGGGATTTCCCAGGTAAGAATACTGGAGTGGGTTGCCATTTCCTTCTCTGGGGCATCTTCTTGACCCAGGGATCAAACCCAGGTCTCCTGCATTGGCAGGAGGGTTCTTTACCACTGAGCCTATTACTCAATCCCAATCATGTCAGATAAGATAGACTTTACTATATTTATTTCTGTCAGTGTTATCGGAACACTGGGCTAGATGAAGCACAAGCTGGAATCAAGATTGCCGGGAGAAATATCAATAATCTCAGATATGCAGATGACACCACCCTTATGGCAGAAAGTGAAGAGGAACTAAAAAGCCTCTTGATGAAAGTGAAAGAGGAGAGTGAAAAAACTGGCTTAAAGCTCAACATTCAGAAAACTAAGATCATGGCATCTGGTCCCATCACTTCATGGGAAATAGATGGGAAAACAGTGGAAACAGTAACAGACTTTATTTTGGGGGGCTCCAAAATCACTGCAGATGGTGATTGCAGCCATGAAATTAAAAGACGCTTACTCCTTGGAAGGAAAGTTATGACCAACCTAGATAGCATATTAAAAAGCAGAGACATTACTTTGCCAACAAAGGTCTGTCTAGTCAAGGCTATGGTTTTTCCAGTGGTCATGTATGGATGTGAGAGCTGGACTGTGAAGAAAGCTGAGCGCCGAAGACCTTATGCTTTTGAACTGTGGTGTTGGAGAAGACTCTTGAGAGTCCCTTGGACTGCAAGGAGATCCAACCAGTCCATCCTAAAGGAGATCAGTCCTGGGCATTCATTGGAAGGACTGATGCTGAAGCTGAAACTCCAATACTTTGGCCACCTCATGAGAAGAGTTGACTCTTTGGAAAAGACCCTGATGCTGGGAGGGATTGGGGGCAGGAGGAGAAGGAGATGACAGAGGATGAGATGGCTGGATGGCATCACCGACTCGATGGACATGTGTTTGAGTAAACTCTGGGAGTTTGTGATGGACAGGGAGGCCTGGCGTACTGTGATTCATGGGGCCGCAAAGAGTCAGACACGACTGAGCGATTGAACTGAGCTGAACTGAACTGAAGCCTCACATATTTCTTTCATGAGTCCTACCACTAACAGGTCCTAGTAATTTGTGCCTGTGCCCCACCCAGCATTTTTAGTCACCTTATTGTTAGAATTGTTTGAAGATAAGGAGGCATTTACTTTATTGGTAACATCATTTGCCTGTAGTCAAGAATTAATTTGCATAAAATAGCACTGATTTGTTCCTGAAAGCAAGGAATATTTGCATAGAGAGTGATGAATGGATTCTCAGATAACAATATATTTGTAAGCAAGCATCTGATTGGTTACCAGAAAGAATGTATTTGTGAATTTGTGTGGATGGTTTGTAGGCTAGGGCAGATCTTTATCCACGTTAGAGAAGGCCCCTCTCCTTCCACCCCCAAGGTTGACCAAGGGCACAGAAATGTATTTTTTATTGTTGAATTCCCCCATCCTGCCCTTTGAGTCCCCACCAATCCTCATTTTTGCCAGTGCAACAGACCCTGTGGTGGAGGGTAAAGGGCTGATGTTATGGATGTAAGGACAAGGAGGCAAGAAGGAGAGTATGCGGGACTCACCTGCCAGGGCCAGCTGTTGGGCCTCGCATCTTCACCTCCAACCACTCTGGACAGTTGCGGTGGGTAAGTGGGGACCCCACAGCTGAGAGCTGTAGAAAGAGAAAGGGTTGTAAACCCAGGAAGCAGTGACCCGAACAATTTACCCCACACTTCCTGAATTCCCAACCCCCAAATAGAGAATCCCTATTCTGGAAGGATCCTTACAGGTTGTAGAGTCCTACCCTTTGTTGCACTTTTCTGAAATTTCACTCCAGCTTTCTTACAACCACAGGACTGAACCCAGTGGGTGCAGGGAGGTCCCATCCTGAGTTCCATCAGGAGGCTGGAAAAGTGCCTCTGGGTGACAGGGCTTACCTCCAGCCACCAACGTAGACAGCAGTAAGGCCCTGATCATGGTGTGTCTGTAAGGAGTCCTATCTGTGTGGCCCTGGCTAAGGCCCTGGTTTTATGAGTGGGCTTATCAGACAGAGATATACTAAGAAAATTCAATATGGGGATTTTCTCAAAGCCCAATGGAAAAACGGCCTGTGTCCAACATTCTTTTTCCATTTTCCCTAATTGACACCCTGGAAATACTTGGGAAAAGATGCCAAATGTGGATGTTGAAATATGGGTTCTATCCACTTTCAACAGATTATATGTTATGAGAAGAAGAAAAATATTGGCCCTTGGAGTTGTGTTTTCATAGAAAACATTAGGTTGCATGTTGAACAAACAGTTCTAGGCCAGTGATTCTCAATAATGCTGGTATTATCCACCAAGGGGACAATTGGCAACGTCCAGAGACATTTTTGGTTGTCACGGCTGGGGATGGGGTACTGTTGGATCTAGTGGGTAGAGTCTAGAGATGTTGCTAAATATCCCACAAAGGCACAGGACAGCCTGTCACAACGAGGAACGATTCCCCCTCAATTGTCAGTGGTACCGAGGTTGAGGAAGCCTGTTCTAGGCCATACCTCGGCTTGCTGGGTGGCCTAGGGTAAGCCATGGAAGTCTCAAGGCTTGGGGCCTGCCTGTCTATAAAACAAGGGGAGAAATGCATGCCCAGTCTGTTTTGTAATGATGTGGTGAGGATTTGAAAAATATGCTTATACGGGAGAAGCACAAACTAGACCTGAACAGGTGGGGTTGGGCAGTCTCAGAATGGGCAGCTGCGGAGGGCTTTATTAGGATGGCCGAAGAGTATTTATCATCTCCTTCTAGGACCACAGCAGTTTGTACTTTTCCAGTAACTTCCAAATGAGGTCAGAGCAGGAACTTCTTAGAAAAGGAGGCTGACACTCACCCAACATACATGGCAGATGCACTCACATGTCTTATCTAACCTAAGTCTTAAGAAATCTAGCAAAAGCTCCCATATTTCAAATGAAGAAGCTGAGGTTCAGAGAGGTAAAGTGAACTTGCTCAAGATCACACAGCTTCTAAAGTGGCACAAAGGGGATTCCAACATAGGCTGGTCTGATTTCCAAGCTCCTTTTCTTGAGGATGCTGAACGTGGCATTTCAAATGTCCTCCTAGTACTGCAATAAGCCCCTTGTGTTTCGTGGGTAGCAGGGAGCATGAGTGGAAAAAAGGAGCAAGAGTTCCTGATGGATGTTCTTGTTCTTCCTTAAAACTTCATTCTCCTTGCTTATGGTCAGAGCACAGTTCCGGAAGGCCAGGCTCTGGTGAGATAGACCTGCCCTGTGACAACAGATTCTACCTTTTGCCCAGTCAGAAAAGCAGAGAGTGGACTTGAACTGTTAAGACCTGAGTTCAAGTCCTCATTGAGTCAGAACTGAATGTTATAGCTTGGACAGACAAGTCACTGGGCCTGAGTTTCCTAAATAACAATCCAGGCCTGGATTATAGGATTGTCATATGGGTGAGAAAAATTTGTAATTGGCCAAGAATCATGAGGAGGATGAGGGAGCCTGGGGTGTAGAATCCCATTGCACTAGATGTCAGAATACCTGGGTTCTAGTCCCAACTCCATCCCTAACTTCTTTAACAGTTTGGGCTCTTGTTTGTAGTCCATAGCAGTCACTATAACAATAAACTATTCCTGAAGTTTCCTATTTTATCTTGAATTAATGTGAATATGCCATTCTGTTCCATGTATCTGTGTTTATTTTACTATAAAAATAAGATTTTCCTGTAGGAGGTCACTGAGCAAATACAGGTTTGGCGCATGCCATGGGCTTACTCTGTGACCTTGGGCAAGTCACACAGATCCTCTGGCCTGGGGCTGTTTATGAATGAAACACAGAGAGAGACATATGCCCAGCCTATTTCATCACATTTCTGGGAGGGTTTGGAAGTGACAAAAATCTTCATCTAATAGGCTTAAGCCAAAAAGTCATTCATTGGGACACAAGGTGGAAAAGCCCAGGAGCAGGGCTGGTTTCAGGTACGGCTGAATCCAGGGCTCTGGTGATGTCCCCAGCACTCAGTTTATCTCTGTCTTTTGTCTCTGCTTTTCACTGTGAGAGTCCACTCTCAGGCTCCGTTACATGGCCTGTAGGAGCTACAGGTTGTCCTATAGGGACAAGAGGGTTACAGAATCTCTGGTCCAGGGTTTCTCAACTATGGTGCTATTGACATTTTGGATGATGGTTCTTTGTTTTGAGACCCAGAATCCTGTGAACTACAATCCTGTTCCTTGAAGGATATTTAGCAGCAGTCCTGGTTCCCACCCACTAGATGCCGGTAGTCTCTTCCCTCCTTCTCCAAGTTGTGACAACCAGAAGTGTCTCTACTCATTGTCAAATGTGCTCTAGAGAGCAAAACCATCCTCTCCATTTTGCTCCTGTAGCCTCACATCACTCATCTTCAAACCCATCAGGGAATGAGTGAGAGCTTCCTGGTAGTTCCCACAGAAGTCCTGTACCTCTCTCTGATTGGACCTGCCTCAGGTCACATGACCATCCCTGAACCAATGGTTGTGGTGGGAGAGGGGATGCAAGTGTGGATTGGATAGGCTTAGGACCTGGAGGACAAATCCTACCCCTAGATCTGGGCACCAGGCTCCAGATGGAGGTGTGGGGGAGGGACAGCACCAAAATAATAATCCAGGTTTCTGGAGAGGGAATAGAGGCTGGGAGAACAGATGAGTTTTATAGCCCACTTCCTCCCACTGGGGCTCAGTCCCCATTTATATGTTGATGGACAACCAGGCAATCTGTGAAGTTCTAAACTGGGCTGTGTCCTTGAGGTCTCAGTGGGGCCATGAAGATGCAGACATGAACTTTCATGAGATTTATGACTCATTTATAAGGGTTCCTCTGAGAAATCCAATGCTCAGGGGTTAGAGACTTGGGTTTGCAGCCCTGTGCTTCTGGGTAGTGACTGTGGTTTGGATCCTCACTACTCACAGAGTGGTTTGGACCAGCATAGCTTAGGATCTGGTTAGAAATGCAGACTCATGTATCCACACCTACTGATTCAGCATCTGCAGTTTAACAAGATACCTAGGTATTCCCCTGTTTGCTAAAATTTGAGAAGACCTGAGCTAGAGCAAGTTTCATCTATAACTCAATTTTTTCACCTATCAAATAGAACAATAAAAATCTTATCCAGCTCTTAGGGTTGTTGCTAGAATTAAGCAATGGTTTATTCACTTAGAACACTGAGAATTGTCAATGTGCAATAAAATGTTCACTCTTCAGTCCTGAGACCTGCAGACCTCAGATATCAGAATAGCACAGAATTATTCAAACTTTACCATCAAAGAATCTGAGGAGATCAGGGGTTGGCAACCTGTTTCTACAAATGACCAGACAGCAAATGTTTTAGGCTTATGGGCCATATGGTCTCAGTTACAACTATTCAATTCTGCTGTTATATTGCAAAAAGCAGCCCAATAGGCATAGCTGTTTTCCAGGAAAACTTTATTTACAAAACAGATCTGTTTTTCAGGCTCTGGTGTTCAGTAGATTAACGATCTGGGGTCTAGCATGTGTCAGTCACAACAGCTAATGTCTGGGAAGTTTCATTCTTCACCTGGAAAGCTTGATCTGAATTTTGCAGATTATTTCATCACACAGCTGGGTTTATCTTAACATGCATTTTTTTCCTTCCCACACGATCTTCATGGGAAATCGGTGCTTTGGGAAGATGCTCTGTGTTTATTCTCTGCCATTACATGCCCCCTGGCCTATCACCATGTGAACATTTGCAGATAGGTGCTCCTACTTGATGAGTGAGTTTTAGGGGACTGGCCATCAGGGCCTGCTGGGAATAAAGCTCCCCCTCCTAAGGAATAAAAGGGAGAGGGGAGATGTGCCACTGGAGGTCCAGGTATGAGGTCAGTAGTAGTAATGACGTCTCCTGTCACGAGCTTCTATTGGGAGGCTTCCAGATGGAGGTGGAAGATGTGCCCATTTTACAGATGGGAAAACTGAGTCTCAGAGAGGTTAGGTGATTCAGCTGCTGTCACTGCTTGTTAGCCAATAAATGCCTTCCTTTCTACTCTGCCATATTTCATGCTATTGTGTCTTAGATAATGTGAGGGTATGAGAGACTTCCAGGATGGCTCTGATTCTTCCCCTCTCACTTTATCCATGCCATTTGCCTTGCAATTTTGCGATGGCCTCCTGGAAGGAGGATGAGAGCCCCGTGGAGCTGAACTTCCCCAGTCAAACCCAGACTTGACCCCTAGACGTATGAATGTTTCCAGCCAAAATCGGCAGTTAGTCAAAATAAGTCACCTAACTGACTCCCAGCTGAACCCAAGTGTGTGAGCAATAAATACCTGTCTTTGGATGCTACTGAGAGTTTGTGGTTGGTTGTTATGCAGCACTATTAATTATGCCTGAAGTAGCTGATACAGCTGGTGAAGGCCTTTGTGAACACCTGTGAGCAATAACTCTCTCCTCAGGTTTCTATCTGAGTTCAAAATTGCCAGTTTTGCTCAGGATTGTCAGCACACCCACAGCCTCCACCCCTCCCTGGCATGGCCATTAGAGGAATCTGTGTGAGAGGATCCTTGAGAGTCGGGGATTAATGGCAGAATAACGTGGTTGTTAGTCAAACAGGCTCTGGAGTCAGACCACCTGAGTTTAAGTCCTGGTGCCCCATTACTAGCTGTGTGACCTTCGGTGAGTTTTTAAACCCCCTCCGAGCCTCAGTTACTTCATCTGTAAAGGGGGATAATAATCAAGGTTGTCAAGATTATTGTATAAATGAGAACGAGTATGTGAAGTTCTTGGATGGTACGAGGACCATTGGTCACCCTATCCATGCTCCGTGCCTTATGCTCTAGCAGAAATTACTGCCTTGAGATTCCCCCGAGCAGTCACCATGACTTTGCTTATTCCCTTCCCTTAGTCAGGAAAGTAGTGACCCCTTATGATATCCCCAAGAGTATCAGTTAGGTGTGTGCTGAGCTGCAAGTTATGGAAAACCTGACTGCAGTGTTTAAAACAAATGCAGATTTATTTTTCCCCACAAAACTCGATATTCAGAAAATGGTTGCTGGCATCAGATCTGCAGCCTGATGATGTATGAACCCATGTCTCTGTAATTCTCTTGGCCACAGAATGGCTGCTTTAGCTCCAGGCATCACATCCACATTCATATTCATCACAGGGCAGTAGAGCTTGGTGATCCAGAGCATGAACTCTGGAGCCATATTAACCAAGTCTGGATCCCAGCTCCATCCCCTTCTGGTTAAATCACCTTGGGAAGTCATGAAACATCTCTAGCCTCAGTTTTTTCATCTGTGGAGTGGGGATGATATTAAAAGACTATGTCTTAGGATTGTTTTGGGGGTTAAGTGAGGTAAAAATGTAAAGCCTGTAGGACAGTGCCTGGCACATAGCAAGTATTCAGTATGTGTTAGTTATTACTTCATTATTAGAATTGTAAGGGACTTGGGGACAAATAGTGTTAATGTTTAGCACATCTACCTTCCAATATAGAGACAACTGCAAAAGAAGGAGGTCAAGCAGAACCAGGGGGCCCTTGGGTCAAGCAACCAGCAACATCTGTGCTTGGATACGTTTTGTTCAAATGTGAAGACTCAGCCTGAGGTATCACCACCTCTAGGAAGCTGTCGTGGACGCCTCTCACCAACTGACGCTGGTTTAAGTGTCCCTTCTCTGTGCTCCTGGGCTGTATTCCTACCTTCACACTTACACAGTGACCTCGGTGATCTGTTTATGGGTCTCTCTCCTGCAGAGCAGGGGTCTTGTTTGGACTCTCCCTGGATTCCCAGGGCTGAGCTGGTGCTGGGCTTCTTGTAGCCCCCATTGCTTGTTGAGTAAATATTTTTTGAGAATGAGCTTGGCATTGTGGGAGGTCATGGTCCCCACCTCCAGGAACCAAAGTTACTCATGGACCAACCAGAGGCAGTCATAGTTGAGGGTTTTCCTAGGAAGCCTTTAGAGGTGGGGGTGGGGGCATCTCCCTCCTAGATCAGCCCTGGACTAGGAGCCCTGGCGATCCTCAGGAGTGCCTTAAACTAGGGATACAGTGGTCAGGGATCAGGGGCCCCACTTGGATCCACCTCACTGGACACTGTGTCCCTCACCTTTCTGGCCCCATGTGCCCTCCAGGTGGCCTCAGGACCGAAGGAGCCTGAACTGAGCCTCTTGTTTGTGTATTACTGGTCATTTCTTCCTGTGACTTGGCCCAGATTTTTCCTTTTCTGGGCCTCAGTTTCCCTGTCTGTCTAGTGCAGTGCAATCTTGCCCACCTCTGACCTGCTGTGACTACATGTGGAAGCCATTGCTGTTTGATCAGGGTGTGGTGGTTCACCGCTTATGAGATGTGTGTGGGGGGGGGGGGGGGGGCGGACAAATCTCTGGTGTGTCCTTAACTCATGTCCCCTCAGGCACCAGGTGGCCCCCTGGGATCGCCTCCTCCCCCAGCACCTCCAGCAGCTCCCCCTCAAGGCCAAACCAGCCTGAACGAGGGGGCCTCTCTTTGCGTCCTTGGTGTGGAAGGGGCAGCCCCTGGAGAACCCGCAGGGGACACGAGAATCAAGAATGAAGGCAGGGGACTCCCTTGGTGGTCCAGGAGCTAAGAATCCAAGCTCCCAATGCAGGGGGCCCAGGTTCAATCCCTGGTCAGGGAACTAGAGCCCACATTCTGCAACTAAGAGTTCGAGTGCTGTAATTACGCCCCAGTGCAGCCAAATAAATAAATAAATAATAAAAAAAAGAAAGCAGGCAGCTTGAGGGGGAAAGAGGTTTATTGTGGTTGTCAGGATTTGTGGCCTGGGCTCCTGGGGATGAATCACAGCTGCAGTTTCTGGAGAAGCAGAGGACAGAGTGAGGGACTCAGGGCGGCGTGAGTCTCAGCCAGGAAGGAAGGAACGAGCGGGCACAGCAGGTAGTACCAGGCCTTAATGAGCCAGGCTTGCCTCTTGCCCCCAGGGTTGGCCCCCTGGGCACTTCCCACCACCGTGCAAGTGGGCTTAGGACACTGCCTACTCCCAAAATGAACCCTGTCCCTCCTCAAGAGATAGATGGCTATCCATGCCACCCCCTCTCCTGTGTTGGGGCCACATTTCACCTTTGGGAGCCCTGGTGGGGAGCATAGGGCTGGGACAGAAGTGTTTGCTGAAGCAAATGGATTAAAGGGTTGGGGAGTCAATGGCCGTTTCTTTTACTGCACCTGACTCGAGGCTGCATGCAGTAAACAATCAATACTTCTTGAGCAGGTGAATGAATGAATGAGTGAAGGAATGAGTAGAGGAACAAGTGAGGGGTGGGCAGTGAGGAAGGAGGCCAGGGAGGTGCACCCACCTCGTTGATCCAGTCGATGTAGGCAGACACACGGGTGAAGACCGTGGGCTTCTTGAAGGTGTTGCAGCCCAGCCCGGAGCCGAAGCTGACGATGCCTTGCACATCCCAGTTGCCATTCTCAGCTTGGCAGTTCAGGGGGCCACCCGAGTCCCCCTGCACCAGATGGGGTGGGCGTCAGAGGGAGGCTTGGGCCACAGGGGTGGGTCAGAGTGGGGCATGTGAGTTGGCCTCTCTGCCTTGGTACCTCCTGTTTTGACCTCAGTTTGTTCATAGTGAGGAAGGGAGAGAAGATATGATTTGGGAATGACTTGACCTTTATCCTGCTGCTGCTGCTGCTAAGTCGCTTCAGTTGTGTCTGACTCTGTGTGATCCCATAGACGGCAGCCCACCAGGCTCCCCCGTCCCTGAGATTCTCCAGGCAAGAACACTGGAGTGGGTTGCCATTTCCTTCTCCAGTGCATGAAAGTGAAAAGTAAAAGTGAAGTCGCTCAGTCGTGTCCGACTCTTCGCGACCCGGTGGACCGCAGCCTACCAGGCTCCTCCATCTGTGGGATTTTCCAGGCAAGAGTACTGGAGTGGGGTGCCATTGCCTTCTCCGGACCTTTATCCTAGGGGAGCCCTAAAGTATCAGATTAAGTTGTGGTTTGCTGTGCAATCTTGGGATGATGAGAACCCTCTCTGTGCCTCAGTGTCCCATGCCTGAGTCTGAGCTGCCCAGAGAAGTGAAGATGCTGGGAGTTGTGTAGGAGACCCAGGAAAGTGAGGGAAATGGAAATGGGGACAGGGTCCTGTGTTTAAAAATGGGACAGTCTCTGATTTCCCTAGATGCTTCTTGCTTCTGTGTCAGATTCCCTGAGTCCTCTGTCTCCCTGGAGCGATGCAGTTGACGGTATGATGGGACGTGTGCCCGGACTTGAATGAAGTCTCTTCTACAGGCGTCAGACTCATTTAGTCCTCACAGCAGCCCTGTGCTTACTGTTGCTCCATTTTACAATGGGGAAACTGAGGTTCAGAGAGGTCAAACGGCCTGCCCAAGGTTATGCAGCTATGAAGGGGTGGGACTGGGACTCGGACCTAGAGACTGACATTCAGCCTTCATGCTCTGGCCATAGTGTTGGTTGGGGAGGGAAAGGGGGACAGTGACAAGGTTTTCCTAAGTCTCCTGAGCCCAACTGGGACTCAGTCTCCCTCCAGGGAGAGGGTTCCTCATGGGGTCTCCCCACCTCTCACTCCTTTGCTCTCCTCCTTGCCCCTAGCACTTGGCCATTTGCGTTAGGGCTGGGGTGCAGAGTCTGGACACTCACATTGCAGGCTGAGATGACTCCATCGCCTCCGGCACAGACCATGGTTTCCCTCACCGTGGAGCCCCACCAGTCTCTCTGGGAGCATGTGGCATAATCCACCACGGGCTGCAGGCCCTGCTGCAGCTCGGCGGCAATGGGGCCATTGGCTGGAGAGAGAATGGGTGTGACTGGACAGGCAGCCCAGGAAGCCCTGTCTCCATGCCTTCAGGGAACAGAGGGCTAAATGGGGCTGGGCCAGGCCAGCAAGTTCTGGCAAGACTTTGAGGGACATATATGCCTTTTATTGAGAGGCAAGACTCTGAGCCAATGGTCCCAAACTGGGTTAGAGACCCTTCAAAGGGTTGGAAAGGTAAAACCAACCCATAGAAACCCCTCAAGAAATAACTACCATTTATCTTTAATTTATGTTCTGGGGTTTTAATTGTCAATGGTTTCTTTGTAGTTCTCTACCTTTGGTGGCACATGTTAAAAGATTTTTCTCAGCCTCAAATTTTCCAGGTACTGATCTCTATTTTCTTCTAAGTCTTCTGTAGCTTCATTTATTTGCATTTAACCTTTACATTCAGCTGGAATTTACTTGAGAATTCCATTCACTGGAATATACTTGGTATATGATCTAATCTCCTACCCAAAATGGTTAGTTTCATTGATTCAATAGTCACTTACATGGCACTTAGTAGACGCCCAGCCCTGTTCTAAGTCCTTGACAAATTTTAGTCCATTTAATTCTTATAGCATCCTTTATATGCACTTGGCGTGTCTGTCACATGGTATGTGCTTACTAAATATTAGCCATCATTACACAGTTTAAGAAGATGTGAAGATGTTAAGGAAAAAAGGAAACCGGTGGGCAAATGTGGGTGGCATGCTTATTGTGGGAGCCGCTTCCTCCAGGAAGGCGCTCTTGATTTACCAGGGGCTATACTCACTGTAGAGACGGCCCCAGCCAGTGACGTAGCAGGGGTAATCCTGAGTCAGCAAGGCACCCGCCTCTGGCAGGCAGGCCACCTGGATCGTGTCACTCAGTTCCACAGTCTCTGCCAGCTTGATAAGGGCAATGTCATTGCTGGAATCCAAAGTGGAGGTGGTGAATGATAAGACGGCCTGGTGCAGCAAGCAAATGCTGAGAGGCCTGGCCTGTGAGTTGGGAGTCAGGCCAAGGTTGACCAGGGGTCCTTTGCACACATCCCGGACTGCCAGGTTTTACTGGTGGACAGAGATGAAGGGAACAAATAATCTGCCTTCTAATTCCATCACCTGCCCCTGTAGGTGTAGCTTCTTCCCCTACTTGTATCTTCACATCACGACAGGTTTAACAGAGAAGTGACAAGAGCAGAAGCCTGAACCACTGTATCGACCAAAATTAAGCTAAAGTAAATTGGAAATTATGACGGTAAAAATACTTGCAGATTCAATTTTTAATGTTTCTGTGTTGCTGAATGAAAGCGGAAAACCCTAGGCAGACTTGGTTTGATTTGTGGTTCTGCCACTTAGAGGGCTGTGTGACCTGAGACACATTCCTTAACCTCTCTGATCCTCGCGTTCTTGTCTCGGGCTGTGGTGAAGATTAAATAAGAGATGGCACATAAAATGCTTATTGCAATGCGGGCAGGCATGCAGTAAGCATCAATAATGGGGAGTGCTGGCTCATCCCCTGGCTGACAGACTTCAGGTAACATACCATGGGGGCCTCGGGATCCTTAGTCCATGTGTACTTTCTGGAGCCCCTTGGTCAATGATGGGGATGGGAGGGGTGTCCGTCTTCTCTTAGCATTTTGCTATTTTGCGTAAAGTCATCATCTGCTGGCTGTTCAGGGTGAGGATAGGGCCCAGGCACAGGCTCTCTCTCCATCTCAGGGACCCCCTCTTCTTCTGAGCTGCCCCTAGGGGCCGTGTGATGGCTAGCTGGGCACTCACCGAATGAGGAAGGAGTTCCACTTTTCGTGGACAAAGATGGTGTCCACACCCACGTAGAGGGAGCCTGCCTCGTCCTCCACCTCCAGGTTGTTCTTCCCCAAGCCCACGCGGTATGTCAGGGTGTTGCTGAACAGAGCAAGGGGGCCAAGTCAGGGTCCTGCCCCCATGGGTCGGCAGGGTAGTGAGGGAAGTTGGGGCTCTGGTGATGCAGCTTTGGGGTCACTGTGGGACTCATTTGGGGGAAGGCACAGTTCACCCCATTGACCCTTCCTAGGGCACAGGGTAAGGACCCTGGTCTTGGAGTCAAGTCCGTTCTGACTGCTGGGTGGGCAGGCTCGGGCCTCAGTTCCTCACCTGTAAGGTGGGGATAATCTTGAAACTCACCTGCCAGGGATGCTGTGAAGATGAACTAGTCCACACTGCTGTTGGCATGCATTATCTCACCTGTATTCCTCTCTAGCCACCTCCTCCTCTTCCCTCACACAATCCACTCCTGCCACACAGGCTTCCACTTTATTTCTCAAACATGCCAAGTGGACTCCCTCCTCTGAACCTTTGCATTGGCTCTTCCCTCCACCGGTGACACCTTACTTCCAGACCAGAGATTTCTTCCCTTCTTTTCTTTAGATCTTGGCTCAAGTATCCCCTTTTCAGAGAGCTCTTCCCCGGGCCATGTCATTTAAAATAGAAGCCCTCATACTTTTTAGCCTTTTCCTGCTTCTTTGTTTTTCTTCACTACCACTTATTTTGTTACATATTTACTTGTTGGATGGCCTGCCACTCTGTCTTCTACTAGAATATAATAAGTTCCCTGAGAGCACAGACTGCGTTTTCACTACCACGTTCCCTGGCACATCGTAGGCACTCACTAAACACTTGTTGAATGAATAAATGGACAACTGGTTACTGGATATGAGCAGCCTGTTTGTGCCGCTGTCTGGAGTGTGTGCCCTGGAAGAGCAGCGGGCGGGGCGTCCGGGTGACTTCCGGCTCACCTGATGCAGTGGGCGGCTGTGAGGACATGGTTGGGGGAGATCAAGGTGCCGCCACACGTGTGCCGCCATGTGTCATCCTTGAGGTACTGGAGGGAGATCTGGGGGAGGATGTGAAAGGCCCGTGTGTCAGCCCCCAGGGACCCACTCCCCACGCCCCTCTCCACCCCGCCTCCCACCCCCGCAGCGGTGAGCTTACCTGCCAGGGCCAGCTGTGGGGAATGGCGTCCTCTCCTCCCACCACGCGGGCTGATAGGTTGGGCTGGAAGATGGGGACCCCGCAGCTGGAGGCTGGGGGAGACAGGAGAGGGAGAGCACAGGTGAGGGTGCCTGGTGTCTCATTGGGGAAGGGACAGGTGGAAAGAGCACATATTTAGGGGCTAGGCAGACTTGGGTTTGGATTTTCCTGTAAGACTTTGGGGAAGCCATTGAGTTTGCTGGGCCTCAACTTCCCTTTCTGTGAAATGGGTAGAATAGCACTAACCTGGTAAGTTTGTCCTAAGAACTAAATGATGCATATGAAGAGTTGAGCAAAAGGTCTGGTATAGAGTGAAGGTTAAACCACTGAAGGAAACACCAAGGTAGGCTGGCTTGGTGTGAGTGCCCAGGTACACCTGTGTACTTCATCCTTACCCTGTTGTCCCTTTTGAGGCCACAGCATGGTGGGGATGTGTGAACATGGAACCCACAGAATTCCAGACTGTCCTAGCTGTGGCATGGTCAAGAGCAAGTGCTGGGCAGACTCAGACTCAAATTCTGCCTCCACTACTAACCAGCCATGTGATCTTGAAGAAGCTAGTGAACGTCACTGTGCCTTAGGGTCCTCATCTGTAAAATGGGTCTATATTAATAGACCCTGCCTCTTAAGGTTGATGGAGAATCAAATTGGCTCCGGAATGTCAAGGGCTTAGCAGAGCGCTTGGCACAGAGTAAACATGCAGTACACAGGAGCAGCTACTGTTATTATTACTACTGTTGTTATCAACTGGAGGACTCTTAATGAAGTGCTCTTATTTGCCAAAAGAGCCAGTGAGCTTTAGAGAGGTGATATAGCTTGTTTAGGTCCTGCTGAGAGAGAGTGACATTCGAGTCAAGTTCCTTGACTCCCAATCTGGGAGAAGCCTGCTAACATGGAAAGCTGCCATCCTCTGTGCCAACACAGAATCCCCAAAGGAGAGATGCTGATCCCAGTAAGGGTAGGCCCCGATATTGTTAAATTGCTAAGTCGTGTCCAACTCTTTTGCAACCCCATGGACTGTAGCCTGCCTGGCTCCTCTGTCCATGGGATTTCCCAGGCAGGAATACTGGAGTGGGTTGCCATTTCCTTTTCCAGGGGCTCTTCCCAACCCAGGGACTGGACTTGCATCTCCTGCATTGGCAGGAGGGTTCTTTACCACTGAGCCACCTGGGAAGCCCAGGCCCCCCGATGGTCCCCAGGGTACCCGGGGATGAGGCATCTTCTGTGTCCCCAGGCTGATGCTACATCTTTCTGCACCTCATCGCTCATTCTCACCCTGGGGAGGTCAGATCATTGGCCCTGTTTTGCAGATTCAGAAGCAGATTTGCCCAGCAGGCAAGTAGCTCATTTGACACAGCTGATCAGTAGTAATTGGACCCACACTGAACCCCACAGCTCCTTTCCCAAAGCCCTGGAGAGCAGAGGGCCCCTGCCCCCTTCCTTGCCCGAGCTCACAGCCTGATGGCTACAGCTGGTCATGGAGCCTCAGCTTACCATAGGCCAGGAGCGCGGTGAAGACTGTGATGCCCAACATGTTGTGAATGCTCAGAATCAGGTGAATGTCGCGGTGGCCAGGGCAGCACTTATAGGCAGGTGGGGGGTGGGCCCACCTCGTCAAGGCTGAGCTACCACTTGGAAGAAACCTGTTCTGCCAAGGCCTTTTCCCTGACCTTGGGTGGTTACTGTTTAATTTGGGTAGAGATGGAGCTGGTTCGGTGGCATGGATTTCCCAAATATCCAGAGACAGAGCAAACTCTGGCATTGGCAGGTATGGGGGCCCCATCACGCTGCTTGGCCTGACTCATTCTTTTTAGTTGTTGTTTACTAGGCACCTACTATGTGCTGGTTGCCATGCTCAGTAACTCTTGCAGTCCCTTAATTCTCCCAACAACACGCAGTAGACACTCTTGTCCACCGATTAAACGTGACAAAGCTGAGACTCAGAGGGTCAGTGACCATCCAGGGTCACACAGCTGCTCTACAACAGAACCAGGGTTTGAAGTCAGCCTTTCAAATGTCAGCCTGTGGCCAAAAACTGCTATGATGCACCGCTTCCTTCTCTGTCTTTATAGCTCTTTCTTTCTCCCTCATTCAACCAATACTGTCGGATCTTGCGGTTCTCCCTGCTCTGCAACACCTTCTCCCCCAAGGCTGTGGATGGAGGCTGAGGCCCTGGCATACCCTGGAAGGCTTTGATTGGCCAAATTCCTACTTGGAGCCTGCTTAGTTGTCTCCCTGCAAGGCCCTCAGTCTCCCGTTCTTTAAAATGGGCATGTAGGATCGGATGAACTCTTGGGCTCTTTTCAGATCTTAGCTTCCATGATTTAGATGTAAAGGTTGAGTGCTACTCTGGATGCCCCAAAATTCCACCTGGATCCTCGGGCAGTTGGGGTTCAGCTTTGACCTCGGAGAGTCAGTTTACTTCATTTGCCCTGAGGCCTGACTTCTCTTCTTTGTCTCCTTTGAACTCCTCCAACTGCTGTTTGAAGTTGTTTTCTGAGCTGGGCCCACTGGTCATGTTGGGCAACCATGCTCTCACTGGGAGCAACTGGGCAGAGATGGGAGCTGCCTCTGGCGCACAACTAGTGTACATGGCTAATGTGCATGGCTAGTGTGCATGGCTAGTGCCAGTCCCTCCTGACCTGGCTCTGGTGCAGGGAAAACCACTGGCCAGAGGACGCCATCACTCTGGGGGTTCAAATTGCCTAAAGTTATGGTGGTGACACTTGGCTGGCTGACCTGGTCTTCTGACCACCGAGATGAAGAAACAGCCCCAGGAGGGCTGGTGAATATCTGCAGAGAGGTGCCCTGGGGAGTGGATTGCTGCAATTGGAAGGCAGAGGGCGTGGAGTTGGATTAACTTAAAGCTGTTCATCTTGCCTACCCAGACTGTGTGGCACTGACTTAGTAAGTACACTGAAGCCATTCATTCATTCATTCCTCCCGAACTAGCTGAGCAGCTCCTCTGTGTAGGCTCTGGGCTGGGGCCATAGAGAGGATTATATCCTGTTCAGCTCCGCTGGAGCTCCCCGCTGGGCAAGGTAATAAACGTTCCTTTGAATGTTTTGGGCTAAGGTCTGGGAACCCCAAACGAGAGCGCGTTAATCCTGAGTGGGAGCTTGATGGGCACAGGTGGGAAAAGGGCCCCTTTCTGCAGATTCCATGTCCAAAATGAACTTACGATTCAAAAAGATGCATGCAGCTCTGTTTTCTTAGCAGGATTATTCACAATAGGCAAAACATGGAGACAACCTAAATGTCCATTGACAGATGAATGGATAAAGAAGACATGTATACAATGAAATACTTCTCAACCATAAAAGAGAATGAATAATGCTATTGCAGCAACATGGATGCAACTAAAGATGATCATACTAAGTGAAGTAAGTAGAAAGACATACCCTATGATATCACTTATATGTGGAATCTAAACTATGGCACCAACAAACCTATCTATTAAGGAGAAATAGACTCACAGACATAGAGAACAGACTTGAGGTTGCCAAGGGGTGGGAGAGGGAAGGACCGGGACTTTGGGATTAGCAGATGTAAACTGTACGTATAGGATGGATAAACAACAAGGCCCTTCTGTGATAGCGCAGGGGACTATATTCAGTCTACTGTGATAAATCATAATGGAAAAGAAGATATAAAAAAGAATGCCTATATGTGTATAACTGAGTCTCTTTGCTATACAGCAGAGATTGGCACAACAGTGTAAATCAACTATACTTTGATAAAAAAATTAAAATTAAAAATAACAACAACAACAACAAACCCCAAATGAACTTGACTTGAGACTCCGAGGATGCTGAAATCCCATCCTATCCTGCTGACCCTCGTGTATTCCAGGGCCTGGAGTGGGGCCTCCCAGGATGTGGGCACTTAATGTCAGTCAGCCACTCAGGGCCAGACTATGCTGGAAAAATAACCATGAGTGATTTGGCAGAGGCTGGGCTCGAGGGTGTGGGGAATGTTAGGAGAAGTGACGCCAAGGTTGGGAGTCAATGAGGGTGCTGGTGAGAGCCTGAGAAACAGGGCAGGTGCCAGGATGGGGCCCGGTATTTTTAGTTGCTGGGACAGGACTCTGCGGTGGCAGCTGTTAACATCCTGGGTGGGGCCCATTAAACAGGTAGGCCTGGGGATGGCAGCATTTCTCCTCAAAACCAGGTGAAAGTAGGGAGCTGGGGGGCTGAGTGAGGGATTCGGTGTTTGGTGCTGGGGGCTGGGACTTGGTGGTGGGGAGGCTTACTGAGAGGCCAGGACATAGTTGGGGTTTAAGGAGCCACCTCCCTTCCAGACTCCTTATTCCTCCCGTGCCCCCTGCCTGGGCTGGGAGAGTGGCTTCTCACGGTGGCCGAGGCTAGGGCCCCTCCCAGCTGCCTCTGATGGTGGAGGGCCTGGCGTGGGACCGGCGGCCCATTTATCTCACATTCCGAGGGCTTGAGGTCCACGTCCATCACCGGGCCAGCTGGACATTGTCTTCAATTGAAGACAATGCTTCACCCAACATGCAGTGCTAACGGCATCTCGGGCCACAGGTGGCACGTGGGGTGGCCTTTCTCAGGAAATAACACTTCAAGGAGGAAGCCTTCTCCAAGCCGGAAGCCAGAGGCGTAGGGCATTCGGCTGTTGTAGTACCACCTACGTCCACCTGGGGGCAGCAATGTACAGCATCATCTCAAAATCCTGTCCGCCGCCCCCCACACCAGGTTGTACCTGGGAAAGGGGGACACCCAAAGGGAAGAACTTGAGACCTGAGCCCACCTTCACATTGACCAGATGGGGAGACTGAGACCCAGGGGGAGCCTAATCTGTTCAAAGTCCTCTTATAGGGGGAACCCCAGCTTGTTCCTCACCACCCCACCACCGCAGTCTGTAACGGAGGAGGCTTGGAGTGTCTCTGAGTATGAGGGCGTCTTGGCGGGGCTCCCGGGCGCATCAGTCCAGAACCCCTGGGGCCTCGGTGACACTCCTGGTGCATGTCCTCCAGTGAGCTTGGCAGGCAGGGTGGCTAGATGGGTAGGGACGTGGGCTGTGGACTGAATGAACTGGAGCTGCCCCATTTGCCTGTGTCTCTTGAAAACCAAGACCGTGCCCCCCCACCGCCCATGGGCTGACTGTGAGGATTAAATGAACTGATACAGTGACTTATCTGGTGGTCTGGTGGCTAAGACTCCATGCATCCAATACAGGAGTCTTGGGTTTGATCCCTGGTCAGGGAAATAAACCCCACATGATGCAACTAAGCACTTGCATTCCACAAGTAAAGACTCCGAGTGTGGCCATTAAGACCTAGCGCAGCCAAATAAATAAGTAGACAATTTTTTCCTTTTAAAAAAGAGCTTAGACGAGTCCCTGGTGACAGCATGTGTGAGCATCAAACTCAACTTCTCCCCTTAGGAAGAAGGCCTGAGTCCCCTCTTCTCCCTGGCTTCTGACATGGGAGCCACCTGAGCAAATGCTGTCCCCGCACCCAGGTGACCCTGCCCTGTCCACTCCTTTCCCAGCCCCTCCCTTCTCCCACCCCAACAAGAACCACACACACATAAGAATATAGAATTTTATCTTATTTAGTTAAAAAAAATAATCGTACCACCGAATGAAGAAGTAGCTTTTTTTTTTTTGGTGAGATGGGAGGAGAGAGAAAAAAAGCAATAAGCCCAAAGAAAAAGAACTTTTTATATTCATCTGTATAAACATATCCGCTAAGGCAAACGCAATCCAGGGCCAAGGCTGCTGCGTGGGGGTCAGTACCTCCTAATTCCTGCAGATTCTAAGGCCAAAAAAATAAAACCTCTGCAAGGCCAACAGGAGTTGTGTGGACTCTTGGGGCATCTTACTAAAATAAAGAATTATCGAGTTTAAAAAGCAGTGACGCTGTCACGACACACACGGAAAGTTGCATAACTGTGGCCTTGGCGGCCATTCATTTGTTTGGACTGGGGGACGGGCACAGCTTCACGACACAGCAACGGACACGGACACGCACACATGTGAGCGCGCACACGGGGAGCCGCGCAGGGCCGGGCTGGTGGCACAGGCTTGACCACGGCCCATCTGGGGAGGGGCACGGGGCCGGGGGGGGGGGGCTGGGGGCCCCGTGCACTCTCAGGGGGTGGGTGTGACGGGACAGGCTCCCATCGCTGGTGCCAAGGTGGTGAAGGTCATTCGGGGAAGGATGGCGTGAAGGAGCCCAGCCAGGCCCCCTGGCCCGTGCGAACCACTTAAAGCACTTCTTGGACACCTCCTGGGGAACGGAGGCGTGCTGGTTTCCTCTCCCACGAAGGGGCCAAGCCCGCCCCTGCCCCCGCTTCTCCAGGGACCCTCTGGCTGCTGTGGGCCGGTGTGGGGTGGGGGGGGGACCAGGGAGTGGTGTTTCTGCCCCCAGAGCCTTCCCGGCCCATGATCCATGGCAGGGCCGGCAGAGTGTGGGCCCGTGAGGTAGATTGGCAGAGCTGCCCCCTCACCCTGCCTGGCTGGGGCCCAGAGGGCTGGGGTTTCCATGTCAGCTGGGGGGCAGGGGTGGGGCGGCTGGGCCAGGGCCTTGGGTCCCTTAGCCAGGATAGAAGCGCCTCCCCCTTGATTCCAACAGAGAGGAGGCAGGGCTGCAGGAACAGGTGCTGGGGCTGGGGAGCCGGCTGCCACCGATCAGCTCTCTGGGTCTGCGATTCTTGCCATCTGTCGCTCGTCCAGTCTAGGGAGGGGCCCCAGGGCCGCGGGGGCAGTGAGGCCTGCAGGTGAAGGGCAGGTGGCCTCTGGAGTGGGGAGGAGGTGGAAAGGGGGCGGCGCAGGGAGGAGAGGAGTGTGTGTGGAGGGCAGCCTCCCAGCAGGGTGCGCCCTAGAGCCGGGAGCAGGAGCGGCTGGGGCAGGCAGCGGGCAGCCAGGATGCGAAGGAGCAGGACCGGCCGGGCAGCTGGTGTCTCGGCCTCAGGAACAGCAGAGGGAGCAGGAAGAGGCCGGGCCGCTCTGGGAGACCCCCTCGACCGGCTCGTTCACAGACATCTGTAGCTTTTTTAGCATGGTCCCTTCGGGCAGAGCCGAGGATCAAGCTGGGCCTCCGGTGTGCCCACCCTTGCCACCCTCGCCGGCTGGACCGGGTGCCAGGGTTGGGGCCACGTGGTGGGGCGCAGCCTCGCTACTTGAAGGTGGACTGCAGCTCCTTGAAGGCCGCTTTCCGCTGCTTCATCTCCTCCGCCTGCTTCTTCCTCTCCTCCTGCTCTGCCTTGATCTCCTCCTCGAAGCGGCTGGACACGTTCATGGCCTGGACCTGGGATGGGGTCAGGTGGGAGTCAGGTGGTCAGGACCAGAGGAGGTCTCTCTGGGGTCTCTTCTAGTTCTGCTGTGCCCCCCATCCCACCCCAACCAATGCGCTGCCTCCCACCATCCAGACCCTCGGCTCGGCACTTCAGTCACCTCTCTGAGCCTCAGTTCTTCCATTTAGAGTGATTTAGTCGCCAAGTCGTGTCTGACTTGTGACTCCATAGACTATAGCCTGCCAGGCTTCTCTGTCCATGGCATTTCCCAGGCAAGAATACTGAAGTGGGTTGCCATTTTCTCCTCCAGGGAATTTTTCCCATCCAGGGGTTGAACCTGGGTCTCCTGTACTGCAGGCAGACTCTTTACCAACTGAGCTACCAGGGAAGCCCATATTTAGAGCCTGGTGATTAATAAGTCTGACCTCATAGATACAGGGAGAGGATTAAAAGAGATAAGATGCATTCAGTGGCTGTTGCAGAGTGTGGGTCCTGTAAATGTGTGCTTCTGATGTAGCTATTCTTATCCTGTTCCCATCCTGGGAAGCCCAACTGAACCCAGAAACATCCCATCAATTCTAGAAGCCCAGAAGGAGGTGTGAGGAGGCCTTTAGAAGGAATGTTCTTAGCTAACATGAAGATGGGGAGAAGCAAGAACAGGCAGGAGCCCCAGAGCCCTGGCAAGACAGGATCCAGGAACCATACTTGTCCTCTCCACCCGAACCTGTGCCATGCCTGGGGGTGGCTTCTGGGGCCCATCACACTCCCTCCAGGCTGGGGCTGGCAGGGCCAGTGTCTCTGAGAGGCGCTGGGAACCAGTGCTGTGTTTCTGGGCCCGCTCTGCTTTCTCTTGATCCCACCTTTTAAATCCCAGTCCTTTGTGGGTAGTGGCTCTGTGTGCCAGGGCAGGGGCATCTCAAAGTGGTCCTTGTTCCCTCTTCAAGAATACACACCCCTCATCCATCCCTGGGGGAGATAAAGGGGAAGCTGGAAAGGATCGCAAGCAGGATGGGAGGGGACAGAAGCCAGGAACGACGTGGGCCCTGATAGGTGTCAGCTCCCTACCTCCTGTCTGCGGCCTCAGCAGGGACAGGAAGGGGACATGCTGATCCTTCGCCACCCCCATCCTTAAGTGGGGTCAGGGCACCCTACAGCCCCCCATTCCTTACCTTGGCCTCAAAGAAGCTCTTGGCCCCCTTGACACCCTCGGTGGACACGTCGATCTCAGAGAGGCGGGCCAGCACGTGCAGCCCGCTGTCCTCCTGCAGCTCCCCGGCTGCTGCCTTGCGGAAAATCAGGAGGAACTGTGGTGGGAAGAACAGAACACTGATGTCATCAGGGAGAGAGTGGGAGGGGCCAGAACCTGCCCACCCCTGGACCTGCTACAGGCTTCCCTGGGAAGAGAGGTGCTCGCGGGCCTGGGAGCCAGAGGCCTGTGTTCTCCACTCTCCATGCTCTGTATTCCTGAACAGGTTGCTGGGCCCCTCTCTCTCTGGGCCTCAGTTGCCCATCTGTAGAATGGGAGGCTAGGTGACCTATCTCCTGTCCACCCCAAGATCACGGCTTCTGCAGGCTGCTCTGCCCACACTCTGCTCCCATCATAAGCCTCAACTTACCTCTTACTTTTGTCTCCACTGTTTTCTCCAAACCAGTCCACTTTAAATCCCATTTACTGAGCCCTGAAGGTACATGATTGTGCCCATTTTACAGAAAGAGGAAGGCTCAGCACCAGAAATTGATGGAGGAAGGACTTGAACCCAGGTCCTGAGTCCATACCACCATTGTGTGCTGCCCGCACCTTCCTCCGGGGCCACTCTTCTCTTGCCTTGCCTCCTCTATGATTCCTGCTAGCTCCCCAGGGCCCACCTGAGCCTTGACTCTCCAGAGGCCACAGCTGGCATTTAACCCTGTGCTGCCCACGGGGCCAGCGCCATTGCTATCTGGCTTGGAGCCTTGGTTTCCTCCTCCAGCAAACAGGTTCGCTCATGGCTCCCATCTCAGAGTGAGGCTGAGTGAGAGCTGGAGTGTGAAGTCACCTGGCCCAGCACCTGCTCCTCTTGGACCTGCAGTGCGAGTCCCTCCTCCATCTGCCCCCTCTTCTCAGTCACAGCATCCTATTGTTTCACTCTCTGTGCATCTCCCCCTCTGCATGCCAGGACCCCTGGAGCACAGGGTCTTTCTCTGTACTCCCAGAGCCCACATGGGGTTAGGGATACAGGACTTCCTTGATAGTACAGTGGATGGGGAGTCTGACATGGGTTCGATCCCTGGTCTAGGAAGATTCCCCATGCAGTGGGGCAAACCAAGTCTGTGGGTCACAACTACTGAGTATGCGCTCTAGAGCCCATGAGCTGCAACTACGGAGTCTGTGTGCTACAACTACCAAAGCTCGTGCACCTAGAGCCCATGCTCTGCAACAGGAGAAGCCATTGCAATGAAAAGCCCGAGCACCGCAACCAGAGAGTTGCCCTCGCTCTTGGCTAGCAGAGAAAAGCTCACGCAGCAATGAAGACCCAACACAGACATAAATAAAATTAAATCAATCAATAAGTAAAATAAGTGCTCACTACATGAAGGAATGGATGGACCTTCTTCTCACTTAGGCAGCTCAGAATCTCCCTGGGGACCTGCTCTATGATCTGCTGAAACCTCATTCAGCCAACAATAAGCCATTCAACAGTGGCTATTCAAGGACAAGTAGCTCAATGACAAAGCAGGGGTGAGTCTCTCCCTACCACCAAGCCCCCGACAGTGTTGCCCCCCACGGGGAGTAGGACACTCACCTCCCGGAAGCTGAGCTTGCTGTCAAAGTCCTCATCCACCTCCTTGATCATGTTTTTCAGGCCCAGGTGGGTCTGGGGGGCTCCAAGTTTCTCCATCATGAGCTTTAGCTCCATCAGGTCGATGAAACCATCCCGGCCGGCATCGTACCTGTGGGTGCAAAGAGAGGCCTAAGGACATCCTGACACCTCATACCTCACCAGCCAGAGAGGTGATAAGCCACAGTGCAAGAAACCTAGGGGCTCAAAAGTCACCTCCTAGTGAGGACCTCAGCCAAGGCTGCTTTGTGGCCCAGCGACTGCTTGGTTACCTCTGATGATGGGCAGCTCACCATGTGGCCTGGCAGCCTCCTACATCTTGAGAAATGCCAACTTTTGGCCAAACCTGCTACACAGGGAAGCTGAAACCACAACCCCTATCTACTGAGTGAGACATTACAAGCAGGTAGGAAGATTCACAGTATCATACAGGGTACGAACTGGGAGGGTGGGCCTGATGGAAGAACTCACTGACCATCCTTCGGCACCTCCAGAGGCCCTTGAGGGCATCTTGGCTCCATATCTCCCCCTCTCCCCGTCCCCACCCAGGAGGGAGGCAGAAGATATATGTCTAAGGGTAGGGGCCAGGGCTCACAGGAGCCCTCAAAGAAAACTGAGTTTTCCACGTATATTATCTAGGGTGAAACAGATCACCAGCCCAGGTTGGGTGCATGAGACAAGTGCTCGGGCCTGGTGCACTGGGAAGACCCAGAGGGATCGGGTGGAGAGGGAGGTGGGAGGGGGGACCGGGATGGGGAATACATGTAAATCCATGGCTAATTCATTTCAATGTATGACAAAAACCACTGCAATGATGTAAAGTAATTAGCCTCCAACTAATAAAAACAAATGAAAAAAACAAACAAACAAAAAAAATAAAGATTTCCATTTACTCTAAAAAAAAAAAAAGAAAACTGAGTTTTCTGGAATGTGCCTGGGGTGTGTTCAGAGAACAACTTGTACAGGGTGCCTGCAGGAGGGCACAGCGGTGGCTGGAAAGGCCTGAACAATGATTAGGTGATGACTGTGCCTCTGCCCTGCACATTTCGGGTCTCTTTTTCCTACCACCCATGGCCTGGCAGAGAGACAGACAGGGTGAGGGGCAGAGTCTAAACAGCTCACTCGACCGGCTTCCTTGTGGTAAGAGCTTGGGTCAGAGCTGCACTCCGGCCTGTCCCCTGGCGGGGGAGGTGCTGGGGTGCTGGGAGCACATAGCCGGGCGGATGTGGGCGCTGTTCCTGCAGCCCAGCAAGGCCCTCTTATCAGGCCAACCAAGCAACCGCCCTGATTGCCTCCTGGTGGGTGGGGGAGGGTCATCTCAGTGCTGGCCAAGTGGGCCTCCTGAGCCTAAAGACCTTCATGCAGTCCTCAAGGCCTCAAGATGGCTGGGTGACAGTGCTGGGGACAGTAATATGACACAGAGGGGCTGAACTCCAGACACCTTCTGCAGACTTGGAGTTCCCACATAAACACTCATCTCATTTCTGTCCCCTCTTCAAGGGCTCCCCAACTCCCTTCCCCCATCTCCAGGTATACTTCACACAACTATGGACAAATCTGACAGCAACCAGCTTTTGAAATCTTATCTTTGTGCTGGGAAATTTACCTATTTCATTTTACTTAATCTCCTACATTTAACACGAAGGCTCAGAGAGGTGAAGTGAGCTGCCCAAGGTCACACAGCAGTAGAGGAAGGAGCTGGGCTTCTATCCCACGTCCGGAGGGCTCACAGACCTGCACATTTGCTGGGCCCAGCCCCCCTCCACACGTCCTGGGGCTGCCAGCAGAACAGAGGAGCGCTGAGCAGAGCATGTGTGCGAGGGGTATAAATAGTTCACGAGCAAGTGAGTCAGTGGTTGGAAGTGACGCAGCACAGGCAAGACAGGTCTCTGGGAAGCCTGCAGGGAACATAGGGTCTTGAGGCCTCATCCCCCACCGTGGAGAGAGGAGGCTACAGCGCGGGCAGTGGCCACAGCCCCGGTGGAAGCAGATAACGAGAGGATGCAGGGGAGGACTGTGGGACTTGAGAAGGTCAGGAAGGCCGGTGATCCCGTGGTCCGGACTCCACTTAGAGCTGGAGGGACCCTGTGGGGGGCACAGTGGAGCCCCTCACCTTCCATCTTTGGGGTCTGTTTGCCAGTTGGTAGCAGGCGGGGTGGCTGCTCCTTGAGCCTCAGTGAGGGGAACTGGAGCAGCCCTGGGGCGGCCTGGGAGGAGAGCGGCCCCACGACAGAGGAGTCAGTCTGTCCACGGTGGGTCATGCGGACGCCCCTCCTCAGTGTCCCCGAGGAAAACAAAGGCCCGGCCTCTTTCTGAACTTGGGCTCCAGTGACGTTCGGTGAAGACATGTCAGGGCTGGAGCCTGGCTTCTAGGAGACTGTGCCACTGAGCCTCCTGCCGAGGCCAAGAACCCCTGGTATGATGACGACCCTTTCGTAGGGTCATTGCGGGGACTGAAGGGGTTCATACGTGACAAGCACTTAGCACAGCGCTGGCTCCAGAAATGGCAGCTACCAGCACTATCATGAGACTTAGTTACCTTTATGAAGCTCCTACTATGTGCCAGGCGGTTTCTCTCTACAACCTCTATGCTCAGCAATCCTGGGAGGTCAGTTATGGCCCCACGTGACTGATTAGGGAACAGGGACTATAAACGTCTGGGCACTGGCCAGCGGTTCAGTCCCCCATCCCTGCGTTTCCCACACTTGACTCTCTCCACCGCCCCACTCGCCTTCCTGAGTCTCAGTGTTATTTACTGCTCAAGCGTTTCTCCCGCAGCCAGGGGTGGCTCAGTTTCAGAGGAAGTGCAGATAAAGTGTCCACACTTGGACAGAAACGAGGGCTCTGGATCTCGGTCTCTGGCAGCTCCCCGGCCTGTCTGGGCTGCAGCTCAAACCACGGCCTGAACCGCTGTCTGCGTCAATCAAGCATCAATCAATTACCGGGTCTGGGCTCCCATCCCTAGGGGGACAATTCTGGCCGCAGTGCCGGAGAATCAGTCACCAAGGGGAGGTGACAGAGAGTAGGGAGAAGCAGGTGCTGGGGTGGGAGGTGGTGCCCCAGAGGTGGCAACACTGTCACCCCCCCAACTCCCCACCACCACCCTCCCCCGTCGTCCAGGGAGTGGACATCCACCACATGCCCTGGGCTCTGATGTGGGCGGGCTCTTGGTCATTGGATCAGTTAGATTCTTCCTAGGCAAATCCTGGAGGTTTGTGCTCACAGAATCTCTGCTGAAACTGACCCGAGTCCAAACTCCAGTTCTGCCGTCTGTGGGCCAGGTGACCCTGCTCAAGTCACATAACCCCAGGCGCCTCAATTTCTCCATTTACACCGTGGAGATCAGACCCATCTCAGGCTCAAGGCAAGGGTTAAGAGAGGATGCACATAGATTCTGAGCGCAGAGGCTGGCCCACAATAAGTACTTCATGAATACACACTAATTACAGTACCACTGCTGAATTATTATTATTGTTAACATCTACCATTAGGGTTTGAGAGTAAAGGAGATTATGGATATACAAAATGGGCTTTCCAGGTGTTGCAGTTAGTAAGGAACTTGCCTGCCAATGCAAGAGATATGGGTTCAATCCCTGGATTGGGAAAATCCCCTGGAATAGGAAACGGCAACCCACTCCAGTATTCTTATCTGGAAAATCCCATGGACAGAGGAGCCTGCTGGGTTACTGTCCATGGTGTCACAAAGAGCTGGACATGACTAAGCCCATACTGAAGCTGAAGATCCAATACTTTGGCCACCTGATGCGAAGAGCCGATTCATTAGAAAAGACCCTGATGCTGGGAAAGATGGAAGGCAGAAGGAGAAGGGGACAACAGAGGACGAGATGGTTGGACGGCATCACCAACTCAATGGACATGAATTTGAGCAAGCTCTGGGAGATGGTAAAGGACAGGGAAGGGGAAGCCTGGCGTGCTGCAGTCCATGGGGTCGCAAAGAGTTGAACACGACTGAGTGAACAACAGAGCCCGCACATGTATGCACACAAGGATATAAAACACCTAGTATGTAATATGTGCCTAAAACCTGCTAATTTGATTATAATAGCTCCACTGAGAACTTTTAATGTGCCAGATACTAGTTAAGTACTTTGTACATATAATATAAAAATAGTGATAATAACAGTGGTAAAAAATACAATTTCTTCCCCAGTCCTGAAGGTGTATGGCTGGGAGGAAATGCTTGCTGTAGAGTGGCCTGGAGGTAGGGGGTGGACAAGATGAATGAGGGGTCCCACGAGCATCTCCCCTGAAGGTCCAACTACTTCCACCCCAACCCCCTTTAGGCTGGATTCAGAGACCCTGCCACTTGGGGAGGTGGAGAAATATAATCTTTTGCTCTCTCACTGGGCAGAGAGAGAGAGAAGCCCCAGTCCTGGGTTACCCTCCTGTTCCTCCTCTGACAGAGAGGGAAGTGAGAAAGGGGGAGATGGTCACTGTGCCACCAGCAGGAGGATGCCTGGCAACCCAGGAGAGAATGGTGTTAGTAGGATGCTGGGAAACAGGCATATCCCTGGCTGGGGAGACCCTCTCTTCCAACAGCCCTTGCCCTGAGCTGGAGCTGAGGCTACAGGTAGCTCAGAGGATCCAGGCAAAGACTCTGTACACAAGATCCGTCTGGATGCCTGGTCTACCCGCTTCATGTCATGTAGGGAAGTTGGGGCCCAGAGTGGGTAGCAAGCAGTCCAGGGTCACACAGTTAAGAGATCAGCAAGTTTCCAAAAGCTGTAAACTTTCCTCCCTCCCTGCCTGCTTCCCTCTTCGTCCCATGAGAGGTCCTGAATTCTCAAGCCTGCAGGGCTGGGGGAGGCTGGGCTGAGAGGAGAGGCTTGGGACCTGCCTGGGAGGACCAATTCCATCCGGAGGGACTGACAACAAAGCTCCTGGGCTGGGAGCTCAGCACTTTTCTCCAGCACTGGAGGGAGGCTGCTGCACCTGGCACTGTGCCCACATTCCTACCCCCCTCCCCCTGAACAGTTCTCAACAGGGAGGGCTCAGCTGCTGCCGCCCCGGATGCTGGTGACAAAATCCCCTCCCATCTGTCCTTGAAAATGGAGCAGCGGCCACCACCCGGGCAGACTTTGCCCCTTGGGG